TTCATATAGCTTAAAGAAATCTCTTTGCACAGTTCTTCTAGAAGGCAAAATGAATTTAGGCTGCAAAGTAGTGCTATATTTTCGAAAACCTTCACCATCTACTGTTCGAAAAGGCATTTCATCAATCACAATCATCCTAGCTAGTGCTTTCCTAGCTTCAGAAGTATTAAAGGATGCTAGCCGAATTCCATCACCCACAGTTTGCTGAGATTTGTCAATGACAATCATACTTTGCTTCTGGTTTTTAGCATTCAGTAGCTTCACATATTCTTTGCACTTTTTCAATTCAATGTGATTCAAAAGATTGCTGGTTCCATGTGCCCTAGAGCCAGCCAAGTACTTCTTTTTGCAGTAATTACATGCAGCCTTAGGTTTATCAGTTCCAATTGTCTCAGGCACCATAGTAAAGTGATCCCATGCTTTAGAAGTTTTTTTGGAATCTTGAGGTTTACCTTTTTCCGCAGCATTGTCTACTTCAGGAGGCTGGGATGCAGAAACAGGAGGATGGGAAGCCGGGACTGGAGTGCTAACAGCTTGGGTTACTCCAGCAGCTTGGGTTACTCCAACCTGCACATATATAAAAAATACACAAAATAATCAGTCATTCAAGCAGCTTGTACGTGCGTGGTAACTTTTATCAAACTTCATATGGAAGATTACCATTTATTCTTGAATTAGTCAATCATACAAACAGCAAAGCATCAAGGTACAAACAAAGATTGCCATTTACTGTGCAGCAAGATTAAGCAGCAGATCATCAAGGTACAAAAAATATATATACAGCAAGTTCAAGCAGCAACTATTAGCCAAATATTATCATTCACTATGCACTTAGATCCATCAGCAGAGAATTCTCATGTCCAAACAAAGATATAGAAAAGAGGACACAAGACTAGAATTAGTCAACGACAAAGAACTTGAATTAAGTTTATTCATGAGACCGTATATACAAAAGCAGCAACTTTAATTAAGTTTAGCATAGAAATACAAGCTCAAAGAATGAACTGACATCATTAGCAATAAGCACCAAAAAGCTACTGTGTGTTGTGTAATAAAACTAGAGTTGTTGTGCTCTGTGCATCAATAAATTAATTGAATTAAGTTTAAGTAGAGCTGATGTGCGCTTTGCATCAGTAAGCAAATAGGACACGTACAAGATTAGAACGAACTGTCATCAATAAACTAGAGCTTCTATGTGCTGTGCAATAAAACGAGTGCACATGGTCTACTAGGTTTGTTGAAATTTACCTCTTGTTGTGCATCCACTATCAGACCAGAAGTAGAGGACAAGAAGCTACGAAAACTAGAAGCTGAGAAAACCGGATACTGCAAATACTAGAAGGCCAAAAGGCTGCAAAAACTCTATTGAAAATTACGATTTAGGGTTCATGAACTTTTGAGAAGTTGAGCTGTGGGTGGAAGAATGAAGCTCGTACCTTTATATAGCTTCAACCCACGGATGAATTGAGTTCCTTCATAGGCTTGGACAGATCCCGACGGCCCGACGCTTTCGAGATTGCCTTCAATTGGCATGATTATCGGGTAGAGAATATGATTTAGCAAGAGGTTGGAAAGGGGCAGGTCGTTCTAATTCCGGAAATAGATTGGATTGGAGATGTTGATCGGAGAAATTTCTTCGGGGAAGAAGGATTATCCACTGATCCGTTCTTAGAATATGGAAAGAATATTGATTTCGTTCGTTTGGGGTGGGAGAAAGGGAAGACTATTAGGGGAGCTGCCGATTTGGAGAGGTTGCTGCTGGCAACATTGCAACTTGCAATGGGAAGCGGGTTTGCGGGTGACCCGCACACCCGCCCGCAACCATCCACCTCCTTGCGGATCGCCACCAGGCCCATCCGTAATCCACCCACAACATGCGGATTGGATCATTTTGCGGGCGGATCGGGTCATATCCGCGGGTCACCAGCCTGCATGCCCAGCCCTACTGCTCCCCCCATGCCCACGTGACAGTGGGCTTCCCCGTCGGCCTTTTTTTTTTTTGTCTTTCGCTTTGATTTTGGGCCCCAGGTGACTCTGGTAGGTCTCAAACTCTTCAAGTTTCGACATACTCCAAAGTCTTCACATCGAGTTCACCAAGAACAACATCTATGGCACCCATGTTCTCTTGGAGGCCTGCAAAGTCACCGGTCAGATCAGGAGGTTCATCCACGTGAGCACTGATGAAGTCTATGGGGAGACTGATGAAGATGCCGTTGTAGGAAACCACGAGGCTTCACAGCTTCTTCCGACGAACCCTTATTCTGCAACAAAAGCTGGTGCTGAGATGCTTGTGATGGCTTATGGTAGGTCCTATGGGTTACCTGTGATCACGACTCGTGGGAACAATGTGTATGGACCTAATCAGTTTCCTGAGAAGCTGATTCCTAAGTTCATCCTCTTGGCTATGAGAGGGATGCCTCTTCCGATCCACGGGGATGGTTCAAATGTGAGGAGCTACTTGTACTGTGAGGATGTAGCGGAGGCTTTTGAGTGCATCCTTTACAAGGGAGAGGTTGGCCATGTATACAACATTGGGACAAAGAGAGAGAGGAGAGTCATTGATGTTGCCAAAGATATATGCAAGCTTTTCTCTATGAATCCCGAGTCGAGCATCAAGTACGTGGAGAACAGACCATTTAACGACCAGAGGTACTTCCTTGATGATGAGAAGCTGAAAATTTTGGGCTGGTCAGAAAGAACTATTTGGGAGGAAGGGTTGAAGAAGACTATTGAGTGGTACACTCAAAATCCTGATTGGTGGGGTGATGTCTCGGGTGCCTTGCTTCCTCACCCAAGAATGCTGATGATGCCTGGTGGAAGACACTTTGATGGTTCTGAAGATGGAAAATCGGGTTCTTCTGCCCCAAACTCTTATTCTAGTCAGCCCAAGATGGTGGTTCCAGTTCCTAAAACTGGAACCACTACTCCAGCAGCTTCTTCTAACAAGGCGCCTCTTAAGTTTTTGATCTATGGTAGGACAGGGTGGGTTGGCGGTCTCCTTGGGAAGTTATGTGAGAAGCAAGGGATTTCATATGAATATGGAAAGGGTCGTTTGGAAGATCGTTCATCGCTTTTGGCAGATATTGTCAATGTCAAACCCACTCATGTATTTAATGCTGCTGGTGTTACTGGTAGACCAAATGTCGATTGGTGCGAATCGCACAAAACAGAGACCATTCGGGCTAATGTTGCTGGTACGTTAACATTAGCTGATGTTTGCAGAGAGCAGAACCTCATCGTGATAAACTACGCTACAGGCTGTATATTTGAATACGATACTGCTCACAAGCAAGGCTCTGGGATTGGGTTTAAGGAGGAAGATAAACCAAACTTTACTGGTTCTTTCTACTCAAAAACTAAGGCCATGGTACGTGGGGGGGGGTTTTTTTTTTTCTCCCTGAATTTCCTTTAATGTTTCATTAATAGTCAAAGGAAAGTTCTTATTGAGTTTTTGCTTACGAAGCGGAATTATTTTCAGCTAGGTATTAGTTTTGGTTCTGTGATTATAGAATTTTAGGGTGTTTTGATTAGACCAAAAACAAAATAGTCATCGGTGGAATTTACTAGGTAATAGTTGAATAAGTCGAAATTCACTACACTTATTGCTGAAATTTAGTATAGTTAATGATGTGGAACTTTATACTCAAACTTCTGCAATTGCTTTTACGTTTTCCGGGTTTGTTTTCTTGAGCTTTTGGATTTCAAGCAATCTCTTTTATTTGAATCAAATGTTGATGCATTTTCTTTGAAACTCCTTCCCAGTCAGGTTGAGGAGCTATTGAAAGAGTACGAGAACGTGTGCACACTCAGGGTGAGAATGCCGATATCATCAGACCTAAACAACCCAAGAAACTTCATCACAAAGATCTCTCGATATAGCAAAGTGGTCAACATCCCAAACAGCATGACCATTCTGGACGAGCTTCTACCCATCTCCATCGAGATGGCGAAAAGGAACTTGAGGAGGGGGATCTGGAACTTCACAAGAAGTACATCGACCCTAAGTTCACATGGACCAATTTCACATTAGAGGAGCAAGCCAAGGTCATAGTTGCACCGAGAAGCAACAACGAGATGGATGCCTCCAAGTTGAAGAAGGAGTTCCCGGAGTTGCTGGGGATCAAGGAGTCCTTGATCAAGTATGTGTTCGAGCCCAACAAGAGAACAAAGGGACCTCCATCGAAGAAGAAGAATCTGGTTTGAAGACATCTTAGTTTGGTGCAAATAATGGTTCGTGTTGGTTGGTGGCTCAGGGGGGGTAAATGAGTGTTTAGCCTACTAGGGTTATATCTTTTGCTTACACATCATTCATTTCCTCTGGAGCTTCAGTTTCATTATTTTTATTCTTCAGCAGCCATATTCTGAGAACTCTGATGGTAATGTGTTTCTAGTAGGGGTAAGAGGCATGTGCTAGAGTGATGATTTATTTGTGTTGTATTCTTTAGCTTTAGCATAGTGAGTGAGGCAGAGTCAGTTCAGCCAGTTGACTCCTACTGTCATTTGGTTGCTTCTGCAAACTAATATGCAGTTTGTTAGTTGAGTGACTTCTCTTTCAACACATTTATGTTCCACAGTTGTTTCTTTCCCATGAATTGGTCTTTAGACTTCTGATTCTTTAGCAGTTGATGAATGAGCAGGAGTTGCTAGTTGGTGTGGATTCTCCGGTTTTCCAAGTTTAGTTTACATATATTGCATTACATAACAGACCTGATATATAGATAGCTTCATTTTCTGTCTGATAATGATATACATTGTACATACAAAGATATATACATATATAGGTACAAAGCTCCAAATATAGATTACAAATTTGGCTTTTGGAGGGTGTGGAATGTTTATATCTTAAAAACCACTTCTCCAACACTAGAATCTCATCTGTATATATAAAATCAACCTTTTACCAACACTTAGCCTCTACAAAAAAAGACATAATCTTAATGGTACTCCAGGACTCTCGGGATAAATTGGTCTCTTCATTTTTATTCTACCAGAAGACTATTTTATGAAGATGCATCGGCCAGTTTCTTCAGAAAGGAAACGACCTCATCTGATGATCCAAGCGTATACCGAGCATTTGTTCTTGTTCTCCCAACTGCACAAGAGAAGTAGTTGTCTCCCTTCAGATCGAGCACATTCCGCGAGATTGTCTCAGACGATGATGCCCTACTACTACAACAACTACTACTAGTAGTAGTACTACTGCTACGCCCGCTACTGCTGCAGATGTAACTTGCAGCCCACTTTTTCTCTGAAGACAAGACAGCAGCCTGCTGCTGTGTTTTGTTGCTTTGATGAGATGATGATTTTGATGCTCCTCCTTTGCTTGCTGGAAGCTGCTTTGAAGGGCGTCTTTCCCCGGGTGCCGATGACTTTGTACTATCGGTTTGCTTGGTCCTCATCACACCCAGGCCATCGGAGGGAAGCTCTGGCTCGAAGAATGTGTATACATCTTCATCCTGCAAGCAAACGATGATGAACAAAGGCAGCGATAGACTCAACAAATAATAAACCTACACATATGGGTATCTCTCTATGACATCTGAGAAGCTCTTCAGAATTACCTTCCCCAGAACACACAAGACGTAGTCGATGGGAGTTGTCATTTGCTTGCTATGAACAATTTCGCCCAAGATACGATCGATTGCAGAACCCTGAATAAAATATGGGGGGGGGGGGGGGGGTAAACATTGAATCAAAATCAAGTTCAATGCTCTCTGTAAAACACTTTTCACTTACAGTTAAAGTTGTTGCTTTACCTTTGTTACACCGACAGCTCGAACCTCGACTGATCGACTACCTTGTACGACGTCAACCGATGCATTTGAAAATGGGCCCGTCCAGAGGTGCTGCAGCATGTCCCTTGCTTGAAGTCGCCCAAATTCTACGTCTGTTACATAAAGATCAGAATCACCATATACAGTAGCAGTAATATAGTTGAAGACATAGTCCCTTGGAGGACAAGTTACCTGCATATTTGTAGTTCCACACGAGTGATGTATCGCGTAGTTCATAATGTGATCTGAGTGTTCGCTCCATGAAGTACTCAAACACTTGCTGGAAACAATTTAAAGGTAACATTTCTTTAAAATCGGCACTCCAAAATGGACAAAGAAGCAAAACTTAATTCACCTTTACACTGTCAACCCACTCCATGTTTAGGTGCTCCGGCATGGTTGTCATCCACTCCCCCTTTGTATGACATAAGAACATCCCATGTTCTGCCGCAAGCCACATATCATAGTCCCTGAAATTCTGTACAAATGAGGAACACCATTCGTTGCGATTAGATAATGACCAATTGTTTGTGACACCCATTAATGTGATTAACCCAGTAATGAGAAGGGTAGGCATTCTCACCTCATCTAACAACCTTCTGTCGCTGCCACTTAAGAGGACAATTGTCGTCTTTGGATCACTGCATAGGGCCGTCAGAGGTCCCTTCAAATCTGGGTGCAGTTTAAGCTCCATCTCTTTTATTTGGTCACCTCTTCCTCCTGGAGTATCTACTTGCTCTGTTAATGTAGCATTGAATCCCTGTGAAATTAATTGACAGGAACATGACTGAGCCAATCACAAACATTACATAGTTCTATTCTAGACTTGGTTTACTACTCAAGGAGTGTTCCAATTATGAGTATATAACATGCTAAACAGGTCATCTGGTTAGGTGTATTACGAAGAGATATACTATCAATAGACTTGAACAAATATATCATTTTTCGTTGACACTTTTGATTTGTTTGAGTGTATTAGGCACTGTAATCTCAAATGCATTAGAATGATGCAACTCAAATACACGAGGGTAGTTTTCATTAAAAAAAAATACACGAGGGTTGTAAGCATTTGAAAATGCACTCCAGAGAAGTCGGTCCCACGAAAGAAAAATGGTGCATTCTTCAATCTAGGATATGTTCAGTTCTGAAGTATTTTAGAAACAATTCTACTCCTTTTCTCGAGGCGATGTTTTTGAATGGACAAACTGGGGCACAAAGACAAAGGCTTAAGGGTTGAAAGCATACCAGTATGAGCAATCGATTGTGGGAGTTGAGATAACATTCAATCGCATCTCCCTGTGGAAGCCCAGGTGGGACGTGCCTCGTCCTTAGTTGTGCCTCAACCACTGTATCATTGAGCTCACTGTCCAGAAAAAAATACAGCAATTTAAGATGGTCAGAGTCAGAATCTCACGTATGCGATTATCGATACAGTAATTGCATGTCAAAGGAAGAACACATACTTTCTGAAGTATGAACTTCGGTCAAAATAGAATTCGTGAACTCATCATAGAGAATCCACGCATTCTAAAATATAATTTGAGTTCTATGAGAATGTATGATAATGAGGTACCTCACAAACATTTCTGCCCATTCTTGAGCTGTGTGGGTTGTAACATGGTCAAAATTATGATGGTGTCGTTTCTCTCTTTCCTCAGCAGACATGGTCAAAGCTTGACGAATTGAATCGGCAACTTCGGTAATGTTCCAAGGGTTCACAAGGATTGCCCCGGCACCTAGAGATTGTGCTGCACCTGCAAACTGCAAATAGATTAGATTAGATTAGCTAGAAGGTAATGTGCCACAAGGCAACAGTAGCAGAAGAATGGTTGAATGCACACACGTAGAAAATGAATCAAAATCGGCTGACTAATATCTAAGTACCTCGCTGAGAATAAGAACACCTCTCTTTGAATCTTGGCATGCTACAAACTCATAACTAATGAGATTCATTCCATCTCGCAATGAGGTTACAATCGCTACGTCTGCAAGACGGGAATAGAGATCATGACATAAGCACACAAAGTCAAAATCCTACTAAGGATACTTGTGTAGATCAAGGAACATAAAATTAAACTAGCATAAGTTCCACGTCTATGACTTTAAACAACCATGCAAGAAACATGGTCGACAATTTCAATTGAACTCGGAAAAAGTTGCAGTTAAATTACACATCAAAAGAACACTGTACCAGTAACAGCATATAATGCTCATAGGCCAAGAAAATCCAAGGACCGATCCTGCATTAACATAAGTCTATTTCAGGATACAATCACCAGCCGTCTGGTGACCAAATTTACGTAAAAGAACTAATCACGATATTACATGGAAAGACCGGAAACAGCTTCCTTTGTTTCCACTAACAGCTTACAAAACATATGGAAAGAAGATGAGTTAAGTTGACAGTAACAAACCAGGTGATGTATTGGAACAGCAGTCAGTGTCCCAAATCGGCCATTAATGCGCCCAACGATTTCATGAACCTGACTTGTAAGTTTCTGATCTGTACACATGTGACAAATATGATTTATTAGTACTTCAAATGAATACTCCAAACAAGAATAAGGCATGTTTTTCTTTTTGCTGTATGAATCAAAATAACTAGGAAGCTTACATTCAGGAACATCAGTTCTTGTTGGCACAGCAATTTGCAGCAGAACAACTTTATCACGCCATAGAGGGTTCTCCTCAAGAAACTTCTCAAATGCAAGTATCTTCTGTGGTATTCCCTTAATCATAACGAGACGATCAACCCCTAGCATCACCTATTAAAGAGTAGGACGTTTACATTCAAGAATGAAGAAACTAAGCCAGTGACTTTAATCAGTAGGTTGCTTTCTCTTAAGCAAGTAAAACAACATATAGAGGTTAAATTCAGATTAAACCTTACGGCCACGAAACCTTTCCGTCAGTTCTTTTATGTGCTCCTGCACCTTAGGGAGCTTAAGCGCTGATATAAACCTTTCTGAATCTATCCCTATTGGAAACTGAACATACAAAGAAGACAAACAAATCGTCAGTGTGCTAACAAGGACTAAAAGACAACCGAGACAAGATAAGGACAGTCAAGCAAACATACAGCTGCCACCCTAGTTAGCTTGCCTTGATCCTCAACTCCTTCAGGTGTCCCTTCAAGTCCAAGAATACGGGTACAAGCACTAACAAAGTGCCTTGCATAGTCATATGTATGAAATCTGGAAAAAGAAATTGAAATTGGTATTTTGTGTGTAGACAAGATATAATGATACAAGGATAAGAAATGAAAATGATATTGCCCGGCAAAAACATCAGCAATTTAAGAGGTTACAGGAGAGTGCTACAAGACTTGGTCTAGTAAGGGCTTACCCTACTAAATCTGCAGCGAGAACTGAACGGAGTAGCTCTGATCTAGAAGGCAGTGTCCTGTGGATTTCGGAGGAAGGAAAAAGCGTGTGGAGAAACCAGCCAACTTTCATGTTACTGTTGTATTCCTTGAGGCATTTTGGAAGGAACATAAGATGGTAATCATGGCACCAAACAACATCCCCATCCTCTTAGTGCTTATTCACTACATCAGCAAACATCTGATTGGCCTTCTTATATGCAGCAAATTGTGACTGGAAGCTCCTTGTTGTGGCGAGGCGATCTTCTTGTGGAAGGCCAAGATAGTGAAACAGAGGCCACAGTATATTGTTGCAGTAACCATTGTAATATTGATGGACAATCTCTTCGTCAAGGAATACAGGTATGCACCTCTAATGCAGTCAAAACAACGAAAAATTAGAGGTGGAAGACAAGCTCAATGCATAATCACAAAAGGAAAACCAACCAATATTTCATCGCACATAATGCTTACTTTTTCAGCCAAAGCTTTTGTAAGTGCCTTTTGTCCTACCTCATCAGGCACATTAACACCAGCCCAGCCTATCCATCTTGCCTCAAAATCATTCACACCTTCATTACATGATCCAAAATGCATCACATTCTAGACCTTTTCCCATATGGATGCTATATTCTAAAAGAAAATTGGTAGGAATTAGAAATTACTCATAAGGAGTATAAATGTTTTTGACAGCATACCAAGAAGAGCAGTAACAAGACCTCCTGCACTGATTTCCAAAGACCAAGCATCTTCACCTCTTCTAACAGCAGAAACCGGCAGCCGATTAGCCACCACCAGCAACCTCTACCTTAAAGGCCTGACATCATGCCTTGTGGCAGCAGCAGCTTCTTCCAGGTACTGTTCAATGTAGGAACTCTTCTGAGGTTCACTATTCTGTCTGAAGCGGAAGTCTAGTAATTCACTTGATTCACCACCCCTGTGACTATGATTACCATTTGCCTCAGCCCTATTGCTTCTCCTCAGCTCTCTCAGCTCCCTTTCCCTTAGAAGCCGCTCCACACGACCTGGGTACGGGGTTGAGTTACCGTGGTACTGGTTTGCAGGCATACGCTCAAGCCTTTAGAACCAGACCCTTTCTTTCACAAATGCACCAACTTATTACCAGCACCAAGATGATCCTCAAAGCAACTGTATGACCTACATTCACAAATCTTCACATAACAACATTTCACTTAAACAGAAAGCCAGATAACAATACTGCCATCCATCAGCAGCTATAAGCCACACAATCATGTTTCAATTGTCACCATCTAAAGGACCAAAAAAACACAGATAAACAAAAAGAGAATGGGATCCACAAGAATTGCACGAGACAAACACTTAATGGGGTCTCTTCAAATAAGGAGCTCGAGACAAATATATGAACAACTAAAGCTATTTTCAACCATAATTCTCATTTGACAACAGTGCAAAGTCTCGAGCTTTGAATTCAACCCACATAAGATACAACACTAACAAGTCGCCAACTTTAGCAAAGACCCTTATCGTATCATCAAAACCCATGACAGATTGGAGCAAAAATAAACTAACCACTACAGAAAGAGCAGCACAAGGAACTTTAAGCATGGAGGGGGGCAACAAAAATTTACACAGCACAAGATACACATAAGAAGAAAGGAAATACCTTCAATGAGCAGACTGAGCAATCGCGTAGTGAGGCAGAACAGAATGTGGGAAGAGAAAGTATTTAGTGTGAAGAGAGAGTTTTTGAGAGAGATGATAAAAAGGAGAGGTAAAGGAAAGCAGGTAAAAGGAGCAGCAGATTCCTCGTGAGAGGTTCACAGGGTAAACAGTAACGCAGAAAAGAGGCGTCCCCCCGCCCTTCTGTTTGCTTTACTCCTTCCTTCTTCTCCCTCCTCAACGCAGAGCTGACATCCAACCAATCCTCCTTGTCTGTAAATTCTTCCATTATTCCTCTCTTCGGGTTCGCTTTTTCTTCTTCTTCTTCTTCTCTTCCTCCCTGTATTAACTCCACTTGCCTTATCAGCTTTGTTTTGGTTTGGTTAATTCTTTAATTGGATTATGTTCTATGTTAAGAATTTGTTGATACGTCTTGCCCTGTCAGTGGAGCTTTTCAAAATTGGTCTTCATACTACAATGGACTGAAGACTTGCTAAGAAAAGTGGATTACCAAAGATTTTGTTGAACTTCCCCTGAAAAGCTAATTTGGTTGGACTCACGTCTAAATAAGTTATACCTGTTGCCTTTCAAATTTAATGAATGTCGTAATAACAAATACTTTATATCGGATTAGAGGAACCGATCATCGATTAAATAACAAAATTAGTAACTTGTTTTTCAGTGTTTTAGTACTAAGACAAGTGTCCCTTTGAAGAAAAAAAGTGTTTGCTATAGCATTATGTGACCAATGCGTACTCAACACAATAATCGTGCATTAACAAACTCACTTAACCTAAATCGTAGCTTTAATGATGACAATTACCCGGCATAAGTTACGGTTATAACATGGTTACCATCTACCTTCGTGTCCATGTGTCGACACATAAGGTTGGTTATATGATCTTTGCACTCCTGGCCATCAAGTGATGGGTTATGGATCACGCAATCGAATAAGATTGTGGAGAGCCAATTGCAGCAACCACCATCATTGCACTAGTCTAATCCTGTGTGATCATTTGCTTTCAAATTCGTCATCTCATTTTTAAAATGCTAAATACTTGTTCGATTGCATTTCATATCAACGAATGATGGTAAAATAATATAATTTCTTTCTCGATAAACAAAAGTGGAAGTCATCCTATAACACTATGACATTATGATATCATATCAAATTGCTCTCTTTTATACGGTGATAGAAAACCTAATACATTTGAATATCCAGTGTTGTTCCCATTCAGTCTCTGTTAAGACTTGAGGTGTAGCCTGCGTCATGTTGTTGCAAGAAGCAATAATCAGATTCAGAGGCCAATAGAAGAGAAGATCGACGGCTGGTTTCGAAACTGGAACTGGACCGGAATCGCATTTCTCAGCCACCGAATGATATATTATGGGCCATTTTGAGCCCAAATTCCCTCGGTACTCACACACGTGTACAACGACAAGCTTCAGAAACTAGGGAAAATATCAGTGCACAATTTCCCCCGTATTCTCCCCAACAAGAACCAGCTCAGTCAAGAAGTTTCTTTTAATTTCTCCCTTTCATCCCCTCTAGACTAGAGGCTAACTAAAACCATAAATCCGAGTTACCAACCAGATCCTCTCTCCCTACCAAACAGTTTGCAGCTCTTGTGGCTTCATCTGATCCTCTTCTTTTTATCTTTTTTTATTCCTTTTTATTTGCCACCAGAACGAAAAAGATCCCCTCAGTCTTTCCATCCCACTCCAGACAAGTTGCCAATTTGGGGGTTTCCTTTCTTCCACTTAGAGAAAAAATATCCACAAAGTTTCCAGCTTTACTGCAGAAGAATTTGGGGAGGGAGATGAAGATACAGTGCAACGTATTTTAGGCGGCGGAGGCGAACGTGCTGTGCTGCGCAGACGAGGCAGCATTGTGTTGGGCCTGCGATGAGAAGGTGCACGCCGCCAACAAGCTGGCAAGCAAGCATCAAAGGATTCCGCTTACCAGCTCTTCCCCTCAATTGCCCAAATGCGATATTTGTCAGGTGAGTTCTAATCATCCTGGTCTGTGGTGATCCTCTTTCCAATTTTTTGCTTATTTGGGTTGATTTTTGTGATTCGTGTAAAACCCCTGCATAATGGGTTGTTCCTTCTGTTATTTTCTTTGCTGTATTTTGGGTTTGGTTTTGTTTGAGTTGTGGTGGATGGATCATCCTTAGGTGCACTTGCTGCTTCTGCTACTAACTGGTGTTTGTCCTGGTGTATATGAATTTCCTAGCGATGTTCTTTTTCATAAGTTAGGCTGGGAAGAATATGTTTTCGACATGATGAGATTAGAGTGGCAAAAAGACTGTGTCTTTGAACTTAAGTAGCCCGAATTGTAAACCTGGTTCTAGTAGAATGATAAGGCATGCTTTCGTTTGAGGAGGCGAGTAAGGAAAAAGTATGGGGTCTGGTCACGAATCTGTCCTAACAAATCGAGCTATTGATACGATATAATTCTCGAGGAATTTCTTGAACAACAACAATTCTGATTTTTGGTGATAAACTAACTGGGGCTCTTCTAGTACTTCACCCAACCCGATGGTTTCATACCATTGTCTTAATTCATCTCTACTAGCTCTAACATATGATCCAAGGTTACTGTCCAGTATAATGGCAGACCCTATTCATGATTGATCTGTACTGAGGTTTTCTTATTTATCTCTGAGTATATGCGACTTAAAGTTATGGCCAAAGCTCCCGCCATGCTGCATTGGGTAGGATTTCGGGAAACTTGTGGAGGATTACCACTTCTAGCAATTTAGGCCAGGCCTATGTTGAAGTCGGCTATGGACCTAGGGAATACGGCCACGAGCCTGCATTCTAGAAAGGAAGAATGCCAAAATCATTAGGCACAACTTTGATGTAGAAAGATGTGCATAGTGGTTCTTGATCCTGCATAACACAATGAACATTGGTCTGGCGTAATAATGAGACCTCTTCTTCAAATGTTCATGTGAATCCGCAAATCTCTGAGATCACTCTATCTGAGAACACATCCTCCACCTCTCTTTTGTACTATAGGGATATTGCTGAGCGGAAGTGAAGGTGCTACTAATGACCTTAGGAAGTGTTCTTATTTTCAATTGTTGTTATCTTAGTTTCATTTTCACGATGACTGTCTATAATGGAACCTTCTTTATCCTGTTGTCTTGTTGAACTGATGATAAGATATGATGATATTGCATCCGTTGATGGTGAGAGTAAAGGTCAATGTCTTTCTTCATTGCAGGAAATGGCAGGTTTTTTCTTCTGCCTAGAAGACAGAGCTTTGCTCTGCAGGAACTGTGACTTGGCCATTCACACAGCAAATGAATATGTGTCTGCTCATCAGAGATTTTTACTTACAGGAGTGAAGGTAGGTCTTGAGCCTACTGATCCTGGTGGATCTTCATCCTCAGGGAAGTCGCCTTCCGGAGAAAAGCCATCGGCGATAAAATCTCAATCTATCTCTGAAAGAGTCACACCAGCAATTCCTTTCGCTAGTTCCTCGAATGAGACTCCATCTGTGAATGGTGGTGGATTAAGGATCTCTGAGCCTTCTGCAAAGGTGCCTTTTTCTGAGGGTTATCAGGCTGGAGGCATCCAACAGTGGCTATGAGTCTAACTGAGTTGAACCAAAGTTACAGTTACATGGGTAATGGTTCATCAAAGGTATGCATTTCTCTGTTTCCATTGCAACTCTTGATTTCGATGCATCTTCAGATCTGTTTCTTTCCTGGACTTGGTATGGCTTCTCTTTTCACAATATTAATTGTGCTAAAAGCTGGTCCTTACCACTGTGTGAACTATGATGGACATTCTAGTTAATTTGGAGAAAGAACTATGCTAAACATATCCCCGCAAGTTGCATGCTACCAAAAGCCCATTATGATATGGATGTAAGGAAATGATATAAGATTTGATATGGGACTCTAATAAACGGAATGAACCGATATTTTATAGAGTATTACTATATTAGAGCGCTTGATGGTCGAAAATTCGTGTGTTTGGACACTGGTTACCCTCAATGTTAATGCTTATATTTAACCAGAATACATGCTGGGCCTACTGCTGCTTTTACTTGTTTCAACAAAACAGCCTTTTGGTGTTTGTATCAGGCTGGCAGTGGGAGGCGTGGAGACTCCGACAACTCCTCTGAAATGATGAGGTCGGGCGATGACGAAGTGGATAACGACGGCGAGTGTCTCGGTCGAGCTCCGGACAGCTTTTGGGCAGTGCCGGAGATGCCATCACCACCGACTGCCTCGGGGCTCTGCTGGCCAAGATCCACCAGGGAACAAAACTGGGATCATGAGGTGGTATCTGTACCAGATATAAGCTGTTCAGGTGCTCACACCGACTGTGATGGTAAGAATCAACATGTTAGAGCCCGAAAGAGGCGGAGGCAACAACAGCAGCGTTGGATTACTCCCTTTTGATTGCCGCTCTGCACCCTTTCGTTAGTCTTCAATAGAGGTTGATTTGCATTCTTCCATGATTTCTGTTGCGATCCTGCTCTTGCTTTTGCTTAGGATCGCGAAGAGCAAAATGGCTGATGCTTTCAAAGTGGGCATTTTGAGTCGAGGGTGATGTTTTCAGAAGAATAATGTGATGAAAACTGATTGTGTACTGTGGTAGACGACCTGCTGTGAAGGAGAGTTCTTAATTTGCAGCTGTTAGTAAGTAATGTAAAGTGTGATTGATTTATGGAGTTTGCTCTTACTACTAATGAGTAATGACACGACTTGATAACCAAGTAACCAACTCCTATTCATATAACAGAATCAAAAGCAAGCACGAACAGCCGTAAAGTTCAGACCTTTCACCACATGAGACCTTGAGATGGACCTCCGGTGCCTAAACCACCGGAGAAGTCGTCGGTGGAAGAAGGGGGGAAAAAACAAGTGGCAGAGGTTGCTTGGCTTCCCCGGACTGGAGTTCGAATCCCGACCATGAAATCCGAGCTGGTTACACGTTCTCCACGGACTTCACCATCACTTCCATCAACTTTCCGGCCGATCGCCGAGCAGAATGAGTCGTTGCGCGCGGATTAACTTAACTCTCACACAATGCTAATTATGGCATTTGTTTAGTTGGCGGCACTGTGACTCATTTTCCCGCCAAAAGTGTCATCCCCTTGGCAGCTATTTACCGCCAAAAAGGCTCCCCGTCCACGCCCATCTGTATCATCCCGCATTCTCACTCTCCACTTCTTCAGCAACTCTACGAGTTCCTCCTTCGACTCCGACGCATTTCCTCCCCGGTGAATGATGAAGCCTCTCGACCTGACTGCCGACAAAGGTGAGTTCTTTCACCCTTACTCCGCTCTCAGTCGAACAATCGACGTTTCCCCCCTCTTTTTGTTGATTTCTTCTTTTTTGCTTAGTCTCTCACTGCAATTCTGCTCAGATTTCGCCAAGGAGTTCCTGAGAGAGTTCGTCGATGCCAATGGTGAAGCTAAGTACATGAACATCCTCGTGAGTCTCCTTTCTTGGCTCTTCGAGATTTTCACCCCCTTCAAAACTCTAGTATTGAAAAATGAAAACCCTAGATCTCCCTGCTACGCATTGTGAATAGAAATTGCGGAATTGAGGGATGAATCGATGTTATAAAGCTTGTCTGATTGTCCGCCCTAACATTTGTATTGTATCTGCTACAGCAAGATGTTGCAAACCACAAGGTTCGCGCGGTTCACATTGATCTTGACGATCTCTACAACGTAAGTCTCTCTATTTATTTGGGTGTGCTGTTGCTTTCTGTTTTTGACATTGGGAGACTGGGATATGGTAACTCTAATTTTTGCCAAGTGACTGCTGGCTGCAGTGGACGGGCTCGGATGAAGATTTCCCTAAACGGGTTACTGAGAATACCAGACGATACCTGGGGACCTTTGCCTCTGCAATTGATGAGCTATTGCCTGAACCAACTGAGACGGTTCCCGATGATGACAACGACATACTAATGACGCAGAGGGCCGAGGACCCAACGGAGAGTGCGGATGGTTCTGATCAGCAGCAGAAAATGCCTCCTGAAATCAAGCGTTTCTAGTAAGCTTCTTCACTGAACTAACACTTCCTTATGTTCGTTTACGTAGTGCAGTTGGAAAGAATCGATTTTCCTAAGATATTGGGCTTGCCATTCGCATGTTCTGTGATTCTGTTTATCCTATGAATAGCTTTGTTTCCATTTTCACATTGGGTTGTATTATATGCTGAAATGGTGGGTGTTGTTTTGCTTTTGTAACCCCCATTCATTTTATTTTTATTTGAAAATGTGGTTCTAAAAAATTGTTGCTGGAACAGCCTGCTTACATGACAACTGCACCCCAATAAATAAAAGTATGTCATCATGATATGGCTGCGTAAAATTTGTTCCAGTGTTGATATGGCTGCGACTTATTTCTGTATACAGTGAAGTTTACATTAAAGCAGCTTCGAAGGACAAAAAATTGATCATCAGATCAGTCAAAGCTTCCAATATTGGTCACCTTGTAAGAGTTTCTGGTATTGTGACACGGTGTTCAGATGTCAAGCCATTGATGCAGGTTGCTGTGTATACATGTGAAGAATGCGGCTTTGAGATATATCAGGTAAACCACAGGTTGATTGAGTATGGACTGGATTGTATACTTTGATTAAAAAGAAGGCTAGAACTGATCCTCTGACCTCTCCATCTGTTTTACTTTCAATTTGTGCTTCTGTTTTCCAGTTAAGTATATTGGTCTTCTTGCATTCCTTGATCGTAAGTGTTTATCTATTATTTAGGAAGTAACTGCACGGGCATTCATGCCTTTGTTCAAATGCCCGTCCATACGCTGTGTAACAAATAAGAGAAATGGGAACCTTATTCTACAGCTCAGAGCATCCTAGTTTCAGAAGTTTCAGGAGGTAAGTCACTGCATTCTAGTATGCAAGGGAGCCAACATGCTCAGAGCAAATAATGATTTCTTTTACTTGTTCTGGTAATGATCTGCAGGCTAAGGTTCAGGAGTTGGCAAAAGATGTTCCAATGGGCCATATTCCACGGTCCATGACTGTTCATTTTAGGGGTGATCTGACAAGAAGGGTGGGTAACTGCCTTAATACCCTTTTGTTCATGTGAAGCATGGATAAGCTAAAATAAAATTTTACCCAATTGCTTAAGGGATATATACTTGTGCTTTTGGTTTGACAAGTGATATTGAAGCTGTTAACTTGTCCCGTGCTGTCAGGTTGCCCCAGGTGACATAGTTGAATTGTCAGGAATCTTTCTTCCAATTCCATTTACTGGATTCAGAGCATTGCGTGCTGGCTTGGTTGCTGATACATATTTGGATGTGATGTCTGTCAATCATTCCAAGAAAAGATATGAAGAGTAAGGCCCTTTGAGTTTGTCTATGGCAAATCACTTACCAACCACCGAGTTTCTAGAAGTCCTTCCTCTTATCATATAAATTTGTTTTCATTTATTCCCTCCCACTACCCAAGTATTGTCTTTAAACAGAGTGAAAGAAGGAAGCAATTATTTGGCGTCTTTTATAATCTGCATTGTTGGTTGTGTTTTAGTAACTGAATCTTAAGCTGTCCATTTTTACTACAGATGCAATGTGCATGTTTATGCATTTTTAGTTAGGTTGCACTTTAAGCTCAACCAGGAAGTTTGCAAGGAAATGATAAAATCTAATAAAGTGCTTTTATTTAGCAAATGGGAACTTTGATGTTGTAGGCCTATATATCCCAATTGGTGTTGAATTAGACAGAGATCTGGCAGAAATTACGATATGTGAAGTCAGATTTTATTTTTTCTAACTGTTTTACAGTCAATGAGTGCTTACACGTCACCAACCTGGTTATGTATCAGGTATGAGCAGGGAGGTGATGAGGAAGAGCAAATTATGCGACTGGCCGGGGATGGTGATATATATAATAAGTTGGCACGGTCATTAGCACCTGAAATTTATGGACATGAAGATATTAAGAAAGCTTTACTACTTCTCCTTGTGGGTGCTCCTCATAGGAAATTGAAGGATGGGATGAAGGTACCACGTTCCCTTTGCGAAGGGACTGAGATTAATTACTTACTATCAACAATGGTCTTAATGCATGAGTGCACATCTTTCATTTACGTGGAGTTGATAGTAACTTGTAAGTTCTACTTGTGCCGATTTTCCTGATAACAAATCCAGATTAGAGGAGATCTACATATATGTCTTATGGGTGATCCTGGAGTGGCAAAAAGTCAACTTCTGAAGCACATTATCAATGTTGCACCCAGGGGAGTGTATACTACTGGCAAAGGAAGCAGCGGCGTTGGTCTAACTGCTGCTGTTCAAAGAGATCCAGTTACAAATGAAATGGTCTTGGAAGGCGGGGCTTTGGTGAGGTTCATGATTTTGCTCATCACATCTGCATATATTTGTAGCAATCACTTTTGCTTTCTGCATAGCAATCCGATGTCTTGTAAAGTGAAATTTTATGTCATATGTCAAACTTTAATGAGTTCTTCATACTGTTTCTAACTTCTCTTTCCTAACAAACTTGTAACTATTGACACTCTGTTTCAGGTGCTTGCTGACATGGGTATTTGTGCAATTGATGAGTTTGACAAGATGGATGAATCAGATCGTACTGCAATTCATGAAGTTATGGAACAGCAGACTGTCAGCATTGCAAAAGCTGGGATCACCACTTCGCTTAATGCAAGAACTGCTATCCTTGCTGCAGCTAATCCAGCATGGTATGTGCTTGCTTCCTCTAGATTTTGAGACGCTTAATCCCACATCAACTTCTCCTTCCCCCACTGATTAGTACAAGAGTTTCGTTATCTGAGTGTCGTTTCAATCTTGACATCATGCAGGGGGAGATATGACATGCGGAGAAGTCCAGCTGAAAATATCAATTTGCCTCCTGCTCTTCTATCAAGATTTGATCTTCTATGGTTGATTCTTGATAGAGCAGATATGGATGCAGATCTTGAATTGGCTAGGCATGTTGTTTATGTGCACCAAAACAAGAAATCTCCTGCTCTTGGTTTTGCTCCTCTTGAACCATCTATACTCCGGTGAATACTAACTTTTGATATCTCCTCAATTTTCATGTTAATTTCTTGGTCCTTGTGCTGCTTATTCTTTTGATACTTCATCTCTATTAAAGTCCCTGAAGATACTTCATTTTTTTTAATCTAAGCTAGTGCTGCCTGACCTATCCATATGATGCGATGCTCCAGTGTCATTGTTCTATAATTGTACACAGCATTACATATTATCAAAATGGAAGAACTAGCTAGCATACAGTTGTCTATTGAAAAACAAAATATTAACTGAGAAAGAAAAGAACAAAATCGGTTGTCTATAAGTGAGTGAGAATTATTTAGATGCTTTCAAGTTTCAACTGCTTATGTTGTCTATTAAAAAGCAAAATGGCGAGCTGACGACTGCTTGTGCTGCAAATTCGTTGTAGTGCATATATTTCTGCTGCAAGGAGATTATCGCCGTTTGTGCCCAGGAACCTTGAGGAATATATCGCAACTGCGTACTCCAGCATTCGGCAAGAAGAAGCCAAGTCAAATGCTCCTCATTCCTACACAACCGTCCGAACCCTGCTTAGCATTCTCCGAATATCAGCTGTAAGTCCAACTCATTCTCATTCAAATTGTAGTGGCAGTCTGCTCAAGGTAGCCAAATGCTATGTTAGGACAAATGTATCACAAAATTGCCCAACCCAAACATGAATGAATGAGTTTGGATTTGGTTTTCTGTCACAAGTGGAGTGAGTTGCGACTGAATCCTGTATTACATGTCATTGTGAGCTGTTTAATGCAAACTTTGTTACAGGCATTAGCAAGGCTCCGGTTCTCAGAGACTGTGGCACAAAGTGATGTTGATGAGGCACTTAGACTAATGCAAATGTCGAAGTTCTCGTTGTATTCTGAGGAACGTCAAAAGTCTGGTCTGGATGCAATCTCCGACATCTACTCAATCTTACGGGATGAAGCTGCAAGGGCCGACACAATGGATGTGAGCTATGCTGATGCTCTTAACTGGATTTCTAGGAAGGTAAGTCGGACAAATTTGCATTTACTTGAGCCTGCCTGCAATGGGTAAACCCAATGGTCAGATTACTACTACTAAGTAGCTGATGTAGATTGAACTTAAAGTAGTTTTAGCTGGAGGCATTATTTATGTAAAGCTTCCTTCTAGTTCTCACCGTACTGCCATCGTTTTTTTTATTCAAACACAGGGCTATAGCGAGGCACAGTTGAAAGAATGCTTAGAAGAATATGCTGCTTTGAACGTGTGGCAGATCACCCGCCCCAGCTTCTGACATTCGGTTCATTGATGCCTGAAAACTGGAATCCCATACGTGTTACAGATTGGCTTTGGCCTTTGGCTCTTCTTCCCCCCTTTAATTCTTTCTGGGGAACGTTTAGTGTGTGAAATGAATGTTAGGCCTACTGACAGTAGTATTGCTTCGTTCTGGTAAAAGGACAACTAGTCATGTATAATTTGTCAGCATGAAATAAAGATGATTGAATTCCTATGAATGTATGTACATGATGTGATAAGTGTATGAACTCGATCTTGATGTACATTCGTCACAGATTTGATCTTAACTGTTTGGAGGACCATTCTATAAGGGAAAATATTTGGGGGACAAAATAACGGTCACTAAAAGACACAGTCGCGTAAACTTTTATCACGAACAAATTGAGATTTGCCCGCAATAGTCATTGGTTACATTGCTGACCAACTATCGGATTGGTCACAATTGCTCAATGATTTGGCGACTAAATTCAGAAATGGTGATAAAATCCGAGATGCGGCAGGTTTCACATTCTCCACCGCCCGTAACCACAAACTTCCAACAACATTTCGTCAACTATGAAATAGAACAACACTTGCATTTCATCCTGTGTCGAGGTAAAAAGGGTATGTATAAATCAAACCAGTGAAACTAACGGTTCAATGTATAATAGTAGACGTACGGGAACAACAATGAAGCGTATTGACTTAGCAAGGCTATGTAAAACCTTTTAGAACCAGCAATGACATGAAAACCTTTTACAGTCTATCCATTCAGTCGCCTGTCTAGTGTCTACCTTGGCCATGCTCAAATGGTAGTAGTTAGTCAGCAGTGAGCAGCAACTAATCCCCTTTCAGACGCGGTCGTCGTCTTGCACCAGTACTGGCACACGCCAAGCCGAAAGATGCGACCATTCCAATCACATAACCTATCAACACGCCGTATGTAACACATATTGGCCATTCCTGAGACAAGGAAATCCAAACTACATTACTAGCACATGATAAATCAGGTGTTCATGATCATGTAGAATGTTAACACTGTAACACCTAAAGGCTATGTCAGATTACTCGACTTGCAACCAATGTCTAGAGACAAGGAATGAATGGAGACACCAAAAGTTACCTGCCATGGCCTTTCCCAATCAAGTGGCATAGGCCAAGCTCCCAACCAAGCTCCAATCACCGCACCATGTGCTGGTATGCAAAGCATGTATTCCAATAAGTCATTTGGCCTGTCCCAAAAAAACTCTCTCAACAACTTGGTAAAAGTTAGAGAAAATTCGGTTTGATCATATGATGCAAGAAGGTTCAGTTCCCTGCCTAAATGCATAGTATAAGTATGTTAGGCTAAGACCTTAGGCTGGGAGATGAACAGTAAAGTGCATTGAAAGCTTACTCTGTGCGTGCAAATATGCGTTGCCAGTCTCTCCACGATGAACCATATACAGAAGCTACAGGAACAACCTGAATGCAAATATTGTTAGCAAGTACTGCGAGGATTAATAGTTTTGCAAGGCTAAAATAAAAGGCAAACCCATTGATGTCGCATTATGTTCTTTATGTTGAAAGAGGCAGTGAAAATATACAAAATGCCTCGCACTGATATTACAAAACTGGTCATAGCATTTGGGGCTCAATTCACCATGCCGTAGACAGGTTGAATTCAAATCTATAGGAAAGTTCTTCAGAAATCACTAAACAGAGGATTACGAAAAAAAGCCCCTACAAGTTCAGTAGGGTACGTATATTTACTCACTGTGAGCGATGACATCAGAAGAGACCAATTACAAGTCTTCAACAAGTACCTATCACCAACATGAAAAAAGAAAAAGAAGAAAACAGATTAATAAGTATAGGTTCAGCTGTTTAAATAAATGTGCATACACTACATAATTTCGACAAACCCATTATAACTAAATGACCCAAGCATAACAACAGATTTCACATACAAACTAAGTTCAGAGATTACTGGTCGTATCAATGTGTTTGAGGCTATAAGAAGCACACACAAACATCAACTCCGATAACTGATTTGACAACCATGTGAAAATAAGTGAGTTTATTCAGCCACACAACACTACATACCGGGAGCCAACAGGTGCGCCTAATACAATAGCTACAGCAGCATGCACCAAGGCTCCTACATATTTCAACAGATATCAAGGAATGTCTGTGTTCAAACAATATTCTTATATAGAAAGCACAATAGAGATCAAATTGTAGGGAAAGGAAGAGATGTAATAACAATGAAAACATAAAGGAACAGTAACTAAGGGCAGCTGAAGATAGCGACTTGTATCCCCAAACCTAGCCATTGGAGACCTAATAGTATATGCCTACAGTCTTCTGAAGACATGGCTACTGTGAACACTTATACAAGTATCTGGTGGGGCCACCACTACAAAAGCTGACCTCTACAACTATAACATCAAATCAATCTCGTAGTTCATATTCCACAAAAGAAATGGTTAAAATACTTCAGGATAGTGCCACAAAAAGCATGTGAAAGGATTCTGACAATACAGCACAAATCTAATCGACACTTTGGCTCACAACTAAGTCAGCAAGTGAACGACGAACAGAAAGAACATAATACAGAAAAATAAGGACCACATTTGGTTCTAAGAAAAATGGATGATTTTGTTGGAATGGCATGTGCAGTCTACAACATATAGAACAAGTCCAATGCACACACAATTATGTCATGGAATATCTACACTCTCTAGTGCCTTACTCGTGAAGAAGAAAACAATAATATTTGCCTATTGAATCTAAGGGAAAGAACAGAAATCAACACTAACCAATAGGTAAAGCGCATAAGCCTCGTCCAACGGCCCTCAAGAACTAGAAAATGAGATGGAGAAAGGAGAAATTAATATATTGGTGACAATGCACAAATAAACCAACATTTCATTGCCAAGAACATCTTAACTGCCTGAACAATCTATTATATGACTACAAGCAAGTTCTATTTAAAGTTTAAACATCTAAAATTGATACAGCTTGCACATGCTAAAACATGTAAAAACTGAGAGAAATGATAGACATGCAGCACCGAGCAAAAGACATAGACATGAAAATGATGAGTACCGAGTGTATTTCTGGGTCTCTCCGAAAGCGACTATAAAGAAGTAATGCAGCTGGAGTCTCGACAATCTAGCAGAACGAGAGCAACAAATAAGAAAACACAAATTATGCTTTCAGAATCTCATAACTCGTAAGTAATTTAAAAAGCAGAAAGCGATGAGACCATACCCAAATCAAGCGAGTCGTGTCTGAAGGATGAGAAACAAGATGGATGGAGTACCAACGATGGGCAATCCACAATCCAATACCCAAACAAAGTCCACATATTGTATGGACCAAGAAGACCTGCAGGATTGAGATTTTGCATCCAGAGGCTTCTACTGCAACAGAAGTCTCCTTACTCTTGCTGTGACTTCTACTATCATTCATGCTTGACAAATTTCTTTGGTAGGAGTGGTTTACAGCAAACCCAAAATCCAGTACTGCAGCTGCAAGTCTGACAACGCAAATGCATCCTTAAGTATTTCAAATACCGAATTAGACAATAAGATAAGTCAAATCACATTAAAAGGATTTCAGTATTTGACAACTCAAAGCACAATCAACTGAATACGATGAATCAAATCAAAATTGAAACTTTATACCACAATTGTACATTTGTACTCGAACACCAAATATTTGGCGTCAAAACGATTGAAAGTCAATAATAACGCACTCCCATTGTCCATATCTCGCGTATTATGTACACAATAAGCACGCAAGCGAGATCAACAGGAAAAAAAAAGCTATTCAAAGGGCAAGGATCCAAAAGAAATGAAATCTCACCGTTCGTCTCCCAGAGCACCACAAAATGAAATCGTCAAAACAGAAGCTCGTCGGACCTTGGACGACGACAAGTAGGATACGCAGCGGAGAGATATGGTGACGACGGCGACGGCTGCTCCGAGAAGAAATTTGGCGGTCGACGACCGTCCAGTAACAGAATAATCGCGAAGGAAACTGATTTATGCACTCGGATTCGTTGTTTGCTGTGAGAAGTGAGAACTGAGGAATCAAAATGGGATTGGGCTCAGATGGCGCTCAGCCCAGTTTGTTTATTATTGAGCCCAACTATTATTTACGTGTAAGCATAGCCCAAGCCCAGCTGGAAGTGGCCCACTTCCAGGAACGGCCTCCAACAAACCATTGCCAACACCGGCAACACGTGCGCAGAAGCGCGATGCGATTGCATGATGTCTTCCTAGCCGTCCGAGGGACGGGATACGGTGACAACTCCTAAGGGGTTATCAGATTCACAACCCACTTCATAGCTCTTGGATACGTTCTCTCTCCTATTTTTTTTTTTCTTTTTTTAAATTAACGGTTAAGATTAAAGGAAGAGTATTTTTGGAAGGGTAAAAATTTACCACACCCAATCATTCGCCCTACAATATAAAAAGAAAAAAAACCATAACTCCTCCATCCTCCCTCTCTCTCTCCTCCCTCTCTCCCGTAGCCATCACTGTCTCTCCTCCCTCTCTCACAGAGCCCTCCGCCATCTCCACCGCCGACGTCGGCGCCCCTCCGCCTTCAGCCGCCTGACGAGCGTTCAACCGCCATCTTGTCACCGCCGGCTCGTCGCAACGCCACTTTGCGCCCAAGGATTTTGTCCTCCGTCTCTGCTCCCACATTGAATTCTCAAGCTACTTGCTTCCTTTCCTTTTGGCTCCTTTTCCGGAAAGGGTTTCGCTGTGTTGACGAATTTGATTCCAGGGGTCGTCAATTTGGTTCCTCTTTGGTAATTGAGGGGAAGGAACTGTGGGTAGATTTACTATGTCTACACCGCCCTTCCGCCTTCAGCCGGCTCGTCGCGAGGTCACCCTCTTCCCCTACCTCTCTCTCCCGTCACCGACTCCCCTTTTCTAGATCTGGTTTTTTAGTAGTACCATTTTTTTCTGGTAGCGTATCAGTGATAGTGGTACCTACCACTATCATCTGCTTTTTTGTGTTATTCTCTACTGATATCGCTACTAATGCTAGTGGTAGCGCTACCAGTGCTAGTGGTACATTTATTCTCTACTGGTACCGCTATAATGGTAGTGGTAGCGTTGTACTGGTAGCGTACCACTAGTACTGGTACATTTTTTAACGCATTGGTAGCGTACCACTAGCACTGGTATATTAATTACTAGTAGACTAATGGATTGGTACACTTTTTAACGCACTGGTACATTTTTTCAGGTTGCCGGAGGGACTCTGCCGGAGAGAATTCGCCGGAGAAAAAGTCTGTCCGTCGATGCGGAGTGGCCACTGGAGAAAGGAAGAGAGAGATAGATAGAGATATTAATGTATAGGATTTAAATTAAAAAAAAATTGTATTTAATATGGGTTTTTAATTCCCAATATAATTAATACACAAAAGGTAATTAATATATTCCTTTTTTCCATAACCAAAATACACTTGGTTGTGAATTTGACAACCCCCTTATGGGTTGTCACCGTATCCCGTCCCGAAGGCATCATGCAATCGCATCGCGCTTCTGCGCACGTGTTGCCGGTGTTGGCAATGGTTCGTTGGAGGCCGTTCCTGGAAGTGGGCCACTTCCAGCTGGGCTTGGGCTATGCTTACACGTAAATAATAGTTAGGCTCAATAATAAACAAACTGGGCTGAGCGCCATCTGAGCCGAATCCCATTTTGACTCCTCAGTTCTCACTTCTCATAGCAAACAACGAATACGAGTGCGTAAATCAGTTTCCTTCGCGATTATTCTGTTACTGGACGACCGTCGACAGCCAAATTTCTTCTAGGAGCAGCCGTCGCCGTCGTCACCATATCTCTCGCTGCGTATCCTACTTGTCGTCGTCCAAGGTCCGACGAGCTTCCGTTTTGACGATTTCATTTTGTGGTGCTCTGGGAGACGAACGATGAGATTTCATTTCTTTTGGATCCTTGCTCTTTGAATAGCTTTTTTTTTCCTGTTGATCTCGCCTGCGTGCTTATTGTGTACATAATACGCGAGATATGGACAATGGGAGTGCGTTATTATTGACTTTCAATCGTTTTGACGCCAAATATTTGGTGTTCGAGTACAAATGTACAATTGTGGTATAAAGTTTCAATTTTGATTTGATTCATCGTATTCAGTTGATTGTGCTTTGAGTTGTCAAATACTGAAATCCTTTTAATGTGATTTGACTTATCTTATTGTCTAATTCGGTATTTGAAATACTTAAGGATGCATTTGCGTTGTCAGACTTGCAGCTGCAGTACTGGATTGTGGGTTTGCTGTAAACTAGGGGTGGGCAACGGGAAACGGGTATTTGGGTATACACGTACCCGTCCCGTTTTTTAAGGGTTACGGGTACCCATATTACCCATAATATTATGAACGGATGGGACTTGGGATTGTACATTCCTAATATGGGTACCCGCGGGTTACCCGCAAATACCCGTTTGGGTAATGTGGGTACCCGTTTTACCCATTTGCAAACTCTAATCCATAGAAAGGGAATGTCCACTTCGCCACGAAGATGAAACTTTTCTTAGTAAAGAAACAAAGAACGCTATGTGAACATAATACTTGTAGACTCCCTCTTGTTAAATGAAACTTCTTATTTGATAATTTGGTGCTTAGAATGATTTATTTCTATGCGTTGTGATTGTTCATGATTTGTGTTGAATGAAACTTCTTATTTGATAATTTGGTGCTTAGAATGATTTTTTCTATGCGTTGTGATTGTTCATGATTTTTGTCTTGTGATTGTTAAGCAAGTACAAGTTAAGTTTAAACTTTTGTTAAAATTTGAGTGATTTAAACTTTGGGTATTTATGGGTAGTATGGGTACCCGTTATCCGTCCCGTACGGGTAATGGGTACCCGTTTCTCATATGGGTTTGGGATATGGGATGGACTTTGACCTCCAAATGGGATTGGGTACCCGTTTAAAACGGGACGGGTATCCCGTCCCGTCCCGTTGCCCACCCCTACTGTAAACCACTCCTACCAAAGAAATTTGTCAAGCATGAATGATAGTAGAAGTCACATCAAGAGTAAGGAGACTTCTGTTGCAGTAGAAGCCTCTGGATGCAAAATCTCAATCCTGCATGTCTTCTTGGTCCATACAATATGTGGACTTTGTTTGGGTATTGGATTGTGGATTGCCCATCGTTGGTACTCCATCCATCTTGTTTCTCATCCTTCAGACACGACTCGCTTGATTTGGGTATGGTCTCATCGCTTTCTGCTTTTTAAATTACTTACGAGTTATGAGATTCTGAAAGCATAATTTGTGTTTTCTTATTTGTTGCTCTCGTTCTGCTAGATTGTCGAGACTCCAGCTGCATTACTTCTTTATAGTCGCTTTCGGAGAGACCCAGAAAGACAACTAAAATATCTCGTATAATCACCCAGTATCTTGATCCGAGTTCAATATCCTAAGCAATCAAACACATAACTTTCGAAAGAGCATCATACAGCAACAGAGTCCCCAATTGCATCAAGATCTATTCTTACGATAGCAGATCCAATGCCAAAGACCAATTGAAGCGAGATGCGGGAATTGGATCCAAAAGGAGGAGAAGCAAATTCCCATGATGGAAACTTCCTACATTTGCTGAGCACCTAAATTGTCTATAGCTCGAGTAACATGCAAAGATTCCATGCCAACTACGCTAAAAGAAAAGAACCCAGAAAGCAAATCAACTCAAGATTCACGATCAGATCTACGACGAAACAAATTGAGCAGTACCCAGATCGCAGAATTAACTCAATACCAGAAAACTTAAGAAGCCCGTGATCGTGCAAAGGTGAGAAAGCAAAACAGGACAGAGGGAAAAGGAATTGACTTACGAATTCAATACAGGTCAAGACGGAGGTACCCAGATAATCCCAAGAAGCCAAGGGGAGGGATGAAGAAGAAAACACAGAGATTTGCGAGAGAAAAGAAAAGAGGTAATAATGGAGAGGGAAGTTCGGAAGAGAGTCCCGCATTTATAGTGAGAGCTTGCTCTCTGCCTCTCTCCCTTTTTCGTGTCGATTTCGTGAATGAATGAATGTATGTGCAATATCATTGCGCTCCTAAAACTACAATTAAATCAAAATCAAAATTAAGTATCCTCTCCCATCATTACTTAAGGGGATGGCGAATTACGGTTTAGTCCATATAACTATACATTTGTAAGCTTTTGCACCCCAACAGGCAACAATTGCATATTTTGCTAACATATCGTTTGGTATAAATGAATTCCATAAGTTTTGTGGAATTCATTTTGAAATGAAATCTTTTTGTGTTTGGTATTTAAAAGAATTCATTTTCAATTCTAAATTTTGAATTCTACGGAATTGGGGCTAGTTATAGCAATTCCGAGGAATTGAGATAGAATTTCCAAATGAATTCCACAAGTATTTACTAATTATAATAGAATTACATAGTTACCTTCTTTTATTAACTAAATTACTTATATAAATGACATACCAAACACAAGAATTCATTTGACAATGAATTCTACACGGTAATTCATTTACAATGAAATGAATTTTCGATTCATGTGGTACCAAACGATCTGTAAGTAAATTCTTCGAATCATTAAAATACACTTTAATTGAAAGATCACATAATCGATCGAACTAGGTATTGTCAAAACATTTTCCAAACAGGTCGGATCTCTTGTAAAATTTACTTCTTCCATATTAATATCAGAAGAACATTGGCCAAAATGGAGATTGTGATCATAAATGGGTTGATGTCTTTTCAATTATCCTTGGATCGGGTTGTTCAATCATTCACACCCATGAAGAAGAGTTGAACTTGCCTGGCATTGGAACGATTAAGGGCTTGCGTATCCGACTAAATTCTCGTGTTATAATTTCTATGATCCTCCTAAACAATAAAACAACATTTAAATAATCGTCATATTCATCTTATTTTTTTATCACTCGTTGTTAACTCCGGATTTAGATGTTGAACTTGCCCATATCTATTGAAATTATAGCTTTTGGGGGAGACTAACTATTTGACAAATTAGGGCGATGATTTACTACATTCATTTGGTTTTTTTATCCGTCCTGCAATAACTAAATTTAAAAGTTTATGTACCGGACAATCACCATGAGAAAGTTCAATCATCAAATCGATCTTCTTGGCAACTTTAAATATCTTGAGGATAAAATGGGGGATGAGATACGGTGACAACCCCTAAGAGGGTTGTCAGATTCACAACCAACTTCATAGTCCTTGGATACGCTCTCTCTCGGGATGAGATACGGTGACAACCCCTAAGGGGGTTGTCAGATTCACAACCCACTTCATAGCCCTTGGATACGCTCTCTCTCCTGTCTCTTTCTTCTTTTTTTAAATTAATTGTTAAGATTAAACCAAGGGCAATTTCGGAATGGAAAACTTACCACATGAGATCATTTCCATTTTCCATATAAATACTTTTTATTACAAAAAAAAAAAAAACAGACCCTCCCCCCAATTTCCTGCGTCTCCCTCCTCTTCCCCTCTCACATATCTCTAACAAAAAAACTCTAGCCGTCAAGAGCTCCACCACCGACCTCCATCATCGTCGACCTCAATCACCATGCAGACCTCCATCATCGTTGTCACGACCGCCTTCCTCCTCACGCCGACGTTGTCCCCGCCTTACCCGCTGCCCTCGTCGCCCCAGCCGCACTTGTCGCCGTCTTTACACCACTGTCGCCGCCTCTGCCTCCCCTGCCGCCGCACCGCTGTCCTCCCCCCGCGCCCCGTCGCGCCGCTGTCCTCCCCTGCCCCGCCGTCGCGAGGTCAAGACTCTTCCCTGCCTCCCTCTTTCCTCATCCCTATTTTTTTTTCCAGATCTGATAGTCTCTACTGGTACCAATACCACTGGTAGCACTATTGGTACCAATACCACTGGTAGCGCTATTGGTACGCTATCACTACTCACTGGTACCAATACCAGTGACTCCCCTATCATCTGGTACCACTATCATTTGTTTTTTTTTTTTTTGTGTGTGTTATTCTCTACCGGTACCGCTACCAATGCTAGTGGTATTGCTACCAGTGCTAGTAGCGTTGTGTTATTCTCTACTGGTAGCGTTGTACTGGTAGCGTACCACTAGTACTAGTACATTTTTTACTGGTACCGCTAGTACTGGTAACGTACCACTAGCACTGGTATATTAATTACCAGTAGACTAATAGATTGATACACTTTTTAACGCATTGGTACATTTTTTCAGGTTGCCAGAGGGAGTCTGCCGGAGAGAATTTGCCGGAGAAAAAGTTTGTCGGTCGATGCGGAGTGGCTGCTGGAGAAAGGAAGAGAGAGAGAGAGATAGATAGAGATATTAATGTATAGGATTTAAATTTCAGAAAAAATTGTATTTAATATGGGTATTTAATTCCCAATAAAATTAATACAAAAAGGTAATTAATACATTCATTTTTTTCATACCCAAAATACCCTTGGTTGTGAATCTGACAACCCCCAAGAGGGTTGTCACCGTATCCTGTCCCCTTCTCTCCTGTCTCTTTCTTCTTTTTTTAAATTAATGGTTAAGATTAAACCAAGGGCAATTTCGGAATGGAAAACTTACCACATGAGATCATTTCCATTTTCCATATAAATACTTTTTATTACAAAAAAAAAAAAAAAACAAACCCTCCCCCCAATTTCCTGCGTCTCCCTCCTCTTCCCCTCTCACATATCTCTAACAAAAAAACCCTAGCCGTAAAGAGCTCCACCACTGACCTCCATCATCGTCGACCTCAATCACCATGCAGACCTCCACATCGTTGTCGCAACCGCCTTCCTCCTCACGCCGATGTTGTCCCCGCCTTACCCGCTGCCCTCGTCGCCCCAGCCGCACTTGTCGGCGTCTTTACACCACTGTCGCCGCCTCTGCCTCCCCTGCCGCAGCGCCGCTGTCCTCCCCCCGTGCCCCGCCCCGCCGCGCCGCTGTCCTCTCCTGCCCCGCCGCCGCGAGGTCAAGACTCTTCCCTGCCTCCCTCTTTCCTCATCCCTATTTTTTTTCCAGATCTGATAGTCTCTACTGGTACCAATACCACTGGTAGCACTATTAGTACCAATACCACTGGTAGCGCTATTGGTACGCTACCACTACTCACTGGTACCAATACCAGTGACTCCCCTATCATCTGGTACCACTATCATTTGTTTTTTTTTTTTTTTTGGTATTCTCTACTGGTACCGCTACCAATGCTAGTGGTAGCGCTACCAGTGCTAGTAGCGTTGTGTTATTCTCTACTGGTAGCGTTGTACTGGTAGCGTACCACTAGTACTGGTACATTTTTTACTGATACCGCTAGTACTGATACATTTTTTAACGTACTGGTAGCGTACCACTAGCACTGGTATATTAATTACCAGTAGACTAATAGATTGGTACACTTTTTAACGCATTGGTACATTTTTTCAGGTTGCCGGAGGGAGTCTGCCGGAGAGAATTCGCCGGAGAAAAAGTTTGTCGGTCGATGCGGAGTGGCTGCTGGAGAAAGGAAGAGAGAGAGATAGATAGAGATATTAATGTATAGGATTTAAATTTCAGAAAAAAATTGTATTTAATATGGGTATTTAATTCCCAATATAATTAATACAAAAAAGGTAATTAATATATTCATTTTTTTCATACCCAAAATACCCTTGGTTGTGAATCTGACTTGTCACCGTATCCTGTCCCTAGACCCACTTTGGCAGTCTAGCAATACCCTTCTTGCATTAATTCCACTTTATAACTGTACTCCATTAATAATAATAACAGTCTGGTATACAATTCCCTTTCATTTACTCCTTTGGATCTTCATGTTCTGTACTCCTTTCTTTTCCCATTGTAATGACCATTTCGATAGACAGCTCATTCACATTCGCATCCAAGTATCGAATGGAACGAAAACAAGTAGCGGCGCAAGTAGTAAGACCGATGGAATATTGTATAGATCATACGGGTATGTTGGAAATGAAGTTCTTGACGTAGTAACATACATAATCAATTGAACCAAACCATGTTTTTGTCGAGTATTCACAAGACCATCGAGATAATTTCAAATGTAACAAAACCTAAGCTTCCTAGTTTACTAAAAGTTTGATAACGGAGACTTGGGTAGAAAATTTTGGAAATTTAGGAGGACCAAATTGAAGAAATCTTTGGCTCTCAGGTTTGAAAGAACCAAACAAGCTTTTCAAATTCAAATTTTGTTTTTTTTCCTCTATACCCACTTTCCAAAAACAGAAGACCCCCCTCTGCCTCCAATATGTATCGAAGGTGATGCTTCTAGTCTTTAAAGATGCTGGTCCATGGCATGCCAATACGTTTCTTGGGCAGTGAAAAAGAAACTTACTTTCAAAGAAAACTCTTTTTTCTTTTCCACTCTGTAGATATTCTCTCTCTGTGTAACCAAACAGTGGCCTTCTCACTTCTCAGAAAAAGTGGCGGTACTGTCTTATTCCCACCACAGTCGACAAAACCTCTGCCACTCCAAGACTTCCCTCACAAACAAAACGGCAGAAGTGTGACTCACGCGCCGCTGTGAGCCACCGTCCACCGCGCTCAAGTTTTTAAAAGTTCTCCCCCGTTTGAGGAAAAAATGCAGACAAGGTTCAGAAACAGAGCTTCTGCCTTCTGCCTCACTGCTCTGTTTTAACAACAATACAGTGAAAATGAAAGGAAACCCCTTTCAGATCATATTTTGATTCCTCGGGAAAGAAGAAGAGACCATTCGATTCCCTTAACAAAGGACAAAAAGATGGAGTCTTTCATTTTTCCAAGCCGTGTTTACAGAGTCCACCTTTATGCTCTGTTCTACACTACCTCTGATTTCCCACCCCCAAATTATTATTATTATTTTTTTTTTTTTTTGGGTTCATTCTTTGTTTCCAGAATGCTGAGCAACAGAAAAGAGATCCATGCTTTGATTTTCCTACACCACCCACAATCTTACCTATTTCAAAATCCATGCATTTTGAATCCATCTCATTTTTAACAATTCGCTATCCAAATTCACCTCTCGCAATTCTTTCCCTCGATGTACCAACACGGATCGTTTGAGCACACAGGAAAGAAGAGACGCAAACATAAAGGAAAGCAAGTTAATGGAAGAACTGACCTGGGTTCGTTGTCCACGGAGCACGAGAGCTGAAGGCACAGAGAGAGAGAGAGAGAGAGAGGGTAAATGGTTATATGGCTTTTTGAGAAGTCCAACTAGTGGAAGGAGAAGAAGGTAATGGGCATGTCGATGAAGGCGAAAGGCTTTAACTTTTTGAAGAGGTGGAACCGAATGGAGTCCGCTGGAGTATTAATGAGGAGGGCAGGAAGCAGTGGCGGAACTAGGATTGTTGGAGAGGTGTGTCGCCGCTAATATAGAATAATAATTAAATAAAAAAATTAAGTAGAAATTAAAAGAAATTAATTTATGAAGTTCACAATGTCATTTTACAACGAATCACGACGACTTTTCATCTGCTGAAATGTCTCTAAAATACATTCATCACTTATGCTGCAAAGCAAATGTTTTTCAATATACACAACTTAACAATCATTTATAAACAATAATATTATACTCTAACCCCCAATGTGTGAACCGCAATCCCCAATTCACTAACCTAACATAAGATTCATTTAATCTTGAAAAATGAAAATCAATGATTCTGATTCGTCGAAATGATTGTTGAGTTTCATTTTAAGATTGACCAAATTTTGCAGTTTGGGTTAGAAAATTAGGGATTGGGGTTCACCCATTAGAGGTTAGGATATAGGATCATGCCTCAAAGTCCGGTTAATTATTTATCTAAATACCGAAATCCAATTGGCGTACGGTGGTCGGACGTACGCTAGCCTGAACTTATATTTATATATTTTGATAACTTATGACAATAAATTTCCATAAACACAATGGAGTTGTGTCGGATACAATAATCAGAGGTGTGTCGGAAATCCCGAGATCAAAATTTTAGTACCGACGAATTAGAGGTATTTCACAAAATTTTCGGGCGGAGGTGTGTCAGATGACACACCTCCCTTGTGCCTAGGTCCGCCCCTGGCAGGAAGGATGAAAGAACGAAGAAGAGGATTGAATCGTAGTGGCTGCGGGGGAAGTAGTACTAGAGCTACTACTTGTGTAGAGTAGAAGTACTAAATAGTAAACAGAAATAAAATGGTGGGGTGACTAGGGACAGGGGTGAAATATTAATTACTGCGAATATTTTGACAGTTTGGACTCATGCTGTCAAAACTTACTCGATTGGTATTTTTCGAACTTTGGAGTCCATTTTTTTACCTTGAAATGTGAGTTCAATTTTGAATTTTGAATCGATACGATTTTTAAGTCAAAACCCATTTTAGCGTCTCATTTTTTGAGTACTTGTAGAGCTGTGATGCACTGGACATTGGTTATGCATAATGTATCGAATTCATCCCTGCTACGAAGTCGAGTTGTGGTAGCTATTGGTACAAGAGTTTTCGCGACGACTTCAGGAAATAAAATCGTAGCTAAGCTGAAGCATTGCCTCTAAATTGTCAGCCAAACACACATCAATGAACCTGAAACAGAATGATTCCACTACTCTTCTGAAAATGTACCTTACAGACACACAGAAACATCTCAATTCTTTGCCCTACAGCAATATGAATGGCTGATAATCTAAACCGACAATCGTGGGGCTGACAACTATTCTGTTGCTATACAAACGCTATGGAACCTACAATGGTCGATATGGAAGTCGCACCATTCCAATTTCTACGCATAGCAACGGACACAAACCACATCCCTTTCGTGGTTTTTCCTTGTTCAACGTCGCTATACCTGTCGTGGTACTTCATAGCATATGTTTGGGCGAGAACGTACGTTTGACACTTACAGGTGAGCAAGGAATCTGAATCATTATGGGAAAACTATCCAAACAAACATTTTCATTCACTAAACTATTATATGGTTGCCAAGTGATTCGAGCAAAGATCTAGAAGAAACCCACAGCTACCTCTCTCTCTTTCGAGTTGTAGTTGATGAGCCATGACAATACAACCTCAGAAACACCTGCCCCGACCTAGATTTGGAGATCATTGCCACGTGCTTCCTGTCGTTACAGCTCGAGCCTCAGCAAGCGAAACTGCCATGGCCAGCATCATCTGCTCCTCAAAGCTTTCAGGAAGAAGAGGTCCTCCCATCTCATTCAGCAGTGGTGGCCGGGAATCTGAAGGCGGCAATGGCGATAAGGAAGAACTTCCACACTCTTCTGCCGTCGTATCAGAGGAGCTTGTCGAGTAACTCGTGCCTGCTTCGGCAGCAGCATCGGATCCACGATTTCCGATCCATTCTGCATCGTCCCTTGTCACTATGATTTGGCAATCAGGCGACACATTGCTGGAGCTCTCAGGTTGAGCATAAGTATCTGCGTGCTGCTGGCTCAGCGTGCTGTAGAAGCTATTGTTACAGTGTACGTCATCTGTTGACACGACATTCCCAGGGACCATCTGCTGACGTTCGGCAAGGGCTGCAATTGCACAGGCAAGACCGCCAGAAGGAGATGATGATGATGATGAAGATGATGAAGCAACAACCGGTGGTTGAGCAGCAGTGTTTTGTGGCATAAAGCATTGTGTCCCATACTGCTCGGACGAAAAATCATAGGACATATTTCTTGGTCGGCTGTTTCCCTGCAATGTTATGATTCACCAATAGAGAATTCAGTATTTCCTCCCTTGGAAGAAGTGGAAGTACATAAACAAAGGTAAAAGAAAACAAAAAAAAAATAATATATATAGAGAAGAAAAGGGAAGATGTTCAAGCTCGGACATATAGTACTACCCTACAAGAAACTTAAGTATTGAACAATCAAGATTTCTCAATTCATCAAACTGAAATCAATAGTCAGGGTAACATTAGTAGGAACCACCATTCAAGCAAAGGCATCACCCACCTCCACGGCCAGGGAATGAATTTGTAGGGCCTATCAGTCCTATAAGCAACAGCTATGGTAACCATAAGGGATTGGCCAAGTGGTAGTAGGGAATAAAAATCCTCTAGTCCAACTTAGGTTCAAACCTCAAAGGAATATTCACCGGGCACAAGGAGCAAAGGATAGATTGAATCAACACCCATCACTCACTATCGTATTGACCAAGCTAGATGAGGAAATCTACAGACCCTTCAAACCTCAAAGGATAGATTGAATACACACACACACACTTGATGCTGATGGTAGGTTACTACTTGAGCAAATAAGATGTCAGCAGTAGGCTTCACTGTTGCCAGACCATCACAAAGGATGTCAAAGGGATGTAGGACTTTTCACTTCGACAATGTTGACCTCTTGCATGTCCACTACAAGTTAACAGACCAGCCAACTTTTGTATGGCAATCATCAATCCATTACGACATTCTGGTCGCTGACAACTAAAGACTTCTAATGAGGCTCTATCTATAATTATTCTATTTCATACTGCAGCGCATGACAAATACAAGCAGGAAAGGAGCTGGCTGGTGAAGCCATCACACTCAACAGCAGAGGACAGACTGGCAGTTGGCTGAGCCAAGGTGATGGGATTATACCAACCCTACATGACCTAATTCGATTCCAAACTATATCTCTACATGGACCATGGGTCAATAGACAAATTAGGAGGTTTAAAGAGAGTTTAGGAGCATTCAAGATGGGTGAAAATAGGTCTACAAACAAAACCTACGGGTTAATGGAGAATTGAGGATTTCTTACAACTATCCTTGTCCAACAAGGATTTGGAGGAGATGCTTAATTATTGTCCATGTTGGTTTAAGAGTCTTTTATTATATTAGCTTTATTTAATTTCTTAAGTATGAGTGTTATTTGTTTCCTACTAGTAGAGTTATTACTTTTCAGTTTCCTAGGTGTAAAAGGAAGTCTTTCTGTTGGGTTAGCCTCTCTATAAATAGAAGGCTTGTAGTTCAGTTTTATTCAATTCAGTATTCAGATTTCAATAAGAGTTTTCAAGAGTTGCAAGAAATATTTCCTTGTGATTTCTTAGGCTTATCAACCCCTGGTTGTGGCGCCTTGCCCGAACCTTATCACCGACTGGTGTGGCGGTTCTTCCTCCATCTAACCTACCAAAACCCCTAAATTTCCCAATTCCTTTCAATTTCCAGCAACCCGAGCTATTTTATTGACAATTAGAGCAGTTTAGGCACATCACAAGGCAAGTAGCAACAGAAACCTAAATGCTTTTGCAGGGTAAACTACAGTATTTCAAATTTCCAGATTAAGTTTTCTAGTCCTTCTGCACGCACTGTATGCAAACAAGGAAGGTAAATCTACCTGAATAGAAAGCCAGATTGCCTCCATTACCATAATATCCTCGAGATCAAGGTCAAAGTCTTCATCCCTTCAATTAGAGAACATTCCAAATTTGAATCAGCACCAAATATCAATTAGATTAGCCGCTGCTATCATCTAAAACGTATACAAACATATATTCAAATGCCGGTACATGAACGACAGGTATACTTAGGATTCTTGAATAGCTACAACAAAGCACTCAGTAATTAATGTCTCAAACAGTAAATAGAAAGTAGAAATACTACCAATCAAAACGATGTTGCTAACAAAACCAATCCTTTCCAGAAGAACTGTTCAAAACCTTAATTTCCCATCATCTACAATCACTAGCATATGAGTGGCAACACATGAACATGTCTAACATCCTATAGGTGATGTATCTGGTGCACAACTCTCAAACAAGCACCATGCATCAAAGGTCGTATCACAACAAATAGTAAGAGTAGACCAGCAGTCTAGTTCCCATCCCAGAAGTATATGAAGAACCTAATCATGTCTAAGCATTTCATATAAGTAAACCGGCTGTCTAGTTCAAACTGCCCTAACAATGATTATGAAACGTATGTGGACAACATGACCAAGCTATTGAATATATTGGATGATTGGCTGCCATACTACTAATGACATGCTTCAAAACCTACCAAAGGAAATAAATTCAATGTTCACTCAGACAAAGAGCAAGGGTAGAACTCAGTTCAGGAAGAAATGATTGGAATCGGCCACCAACTAATTCATCCAATAAACTGATGCCGCATACAGCAACCTACTAAAGTTATCAACTTTGCTAATGTCTACTAGCTTGATGAAGGCAATTCCCATCATGATTCACGACCCTATGCCCCCACCTATGTAATGAACAAAGCCATAAACAGAAGGAGATGCACAATATACCTGTTTGGTCTAGACAATGCAGGATCTCTGATAGATGGTTGAGAAGAAACAATTTCATTGCTTTCTGCTGATGCATCGGATGGAACTTAAAAGGAGGAAACTCAAGGCATTCAGTACACCCAGAAAGAAAAGTGAATCCAGGTAAAGACAGCAAAACAGAGTGATGATACCTGCTACAGAGCCACAATCAATCTCCTCAGGTGCAATGTTAGAACTGGAAGAACTTGATTCTAGCCTTCTATGCATTCTGTCCTCTTCATCCTGAAGCTCTTGTTGTCGCATCCTAATCTTTGCTTCTATTACTCTTTGTTCTTCCTAAAAGAATTGCATACCTTAGCCACATGATAGTGAAGAAATGCAATTTCCGAATGAAGGTAAATTTGGTAAAGCCTTACAATTTGCTCCAAACCCTTTTCCTCTTTGTTTTTACACCACGATATTCCACAGCATAATTTGACGTTTTACAGAATGGACATCTGCTAAAGTGAAGTACAGCAGGCATAGAACATACGACTGAAAGGTATGAGAAGGATGTAGAAGGAACAGAAAGAAAAAAAATACTAGAACCTTGCAGAGAAGGATACTGAGTAGGACGAGTTGAATTAGGATTTTTCATCTGCAGAAAACATTCTGTTGCCAAAAAAGAGAAGGAAAAAAAAAATCAGAACTACCATATTTGATCACTTGAAACGTTTATCCACTTATGTTAATGATCATTACCTGTACAGATCCCTTTCGTGCAACATCGTGATCGGTTGAGGCTTGGGTAATACTGAAACAAAGCCAAAAACAAAAATCACATCAATGTCAAGCTCTTCATAGTATAAATAAATATTAAATAAGACCTCCCAATTCTAGAACACATTTCTGCATTTCTCCTTAACAACCAATGAATCAGAAGAAACTTATAAAAAGAGATACAAACCAGGAAGCAAATAGGGCACTCTTCATGATCATTGCACGACTCCTCGTCACCAGGATAGCAAGGTGCGAGCTTGGACTCAAGAATGAGTTTCCTGAGCTTCTTATGGTCTACGTCTTTGTGGACATATAAACCTTGTGGCTTTGTATACCTCTCATCTACCACTTGCCTCCTCCTTCCCAACTTATTACCCATTCAACAACACTTGTGCCTATTTGTGCTCCCCCTTTTCTTCCGCGAGCACAACAGCAATGAGAGCAAGATGAATGGAAGAATTGAAGTGCAAAATTCGAATAGAAGGAATTCCACCAACGTACTATCTCTAAATCCCTAAACCATGGCGACAGCCTATCGACCCAATATTACTATAACCACCACAGTATATGCTTCGTTCCAGACTCTTATAGCAGGAATCCATAGTTTCTTACCAACAATCCTGCAAGCAAACAATCCAGCAGCAAGAGTAAATTTAGAAACAATCCATTCCACATAAGAGAAAGCCCCAACAACCATGCGGCACAAAAATACCAACTCATTCACAGTTGGGGACAAAATTGTTTCTAATTCCGGCAGCATATGGAGATCACTACAATCCACAGATTTCACAATTCCTAAAAGCAGCAAGAAAAATTCCACCACACTCGAGAACTGTAACTGGGAAACAGAAACGGGAAACTGATTGCAGCAGGGACGAATAACTGAAAGCAGAGCGGAAAATGGCTCCCGCTACTCCCCGATCATAATACAAAAGAAACGCAGCAGGCAATACGCAACACCGACGAAGAGCTTTGAACCATGAGAACGCGTCTAAGGGACCAAAGAAAAGATAGAACTGCAGCAAGCAAGAGCGCGAGAGAGCGAGAGGAAAGAACCTGGAATCGTGGAAATCAACAGGGATAGAGACAGCGAGCAAAGAGGAGAAGAAAGAAGAAGGAAGAGAGTCTTGACGTTGAGCTTCCGTCTCCTCACTGGTATGAAATGGAGATCGAGACAAGGAAGAACTGAAGAAGAAGAAGAAGAACTTTGTGGTTTTCGCGGCGGTGAGAGAGAAAGGACAAAAGTCGAGACGGAGATTGAGTGCGACGAGAAAGAAAGAAAAGGATGGAGAGTTCATCCACTCTTTTTTCCTTTTTAATTAAATTTACTCGGTCCCTTTTATTTTATTAAATATTGCCGCTTGTTTTATTTTTGCGTCACCCACTCAACCGGGAAATTGGATTTTAATTTAACTAATTTAATAATTTGCGCACCACCGTGTGTCTAGGAATTTTTTTAAAAAAATTTATAAAATTATGACATTAAACACAAAGTGCAATAAATTCACGATTTTGCGTCATAAATGATTATGATCGCGGTTGAGAGCCAACTGGCTCATTTGCGTGAAGTGTGTGGGAGTATTCACCAACCATTCGTGATCATTGGTGATTTCAACGCTACCCTCCATGAGGGGGAAAAAGATGGAGGACGGGCTTGGAATGCGACTCAAGCCAACAGCTTGCGGGAGTTTGTCCATGATTTGGGACTCCATGATCCAGGATACCAAGGGGATCAATTTACCTGGACCAACAAGTGAATGGGGGAAGCGTGCATTCGTGCTAGGTTGGATAGGGCCCTTTGTTCCCAATCCTGGATAGATATGTTTCCGGAGACCTTGGTCAAGCATTTTACGGATCAGGGGTCAGATCATCGTGCCCTCCTCCTTGCTGATAAACCGTACATTCGGAGTAATCGGCCTCTTTTCCGATTTGATGCTCGTTGGGCGGAGAACCCGGAGGTTAGGGCAATGGTCCAGTATGTCTGGCAGGAGGAGTTGCAAGGTACCCCCATGTTTCGTCTTTGGGAGCGCCTCAAGAAACTCCGCCACCTGCTGTATGATTGGAGTAGGGCGGGTACCACAAATTCCCTGCGGAATATTAAGACCCTTCAGGCTGAGGTTGACCGGGTCAAGTCCATCCTTCCGGTGGATTGGGAAGTGGTACGATCCCTGGAAATGGAGCTATCTCGTCAGTGGGATGCGGAGAAGGTTTACTGGCAGCAAAAGTCAAGGGTCCGATGGCTAAAGAGAGGAGACCAAAACTCAGCATATTTCCACACGGTTACGCGCGCTCGTCGAAAGAGAAATTTTGTCGCTGGGCTCCGGGATGATGAGGGTGAATGGGTTACGGAGGAGAGTGGGAAGGCTAGGATTGCTACCAGCTTTTACCAAACTCTATTCACCTCGGAATCCCAGGTGCCAAATATGGCTGATAGGGTGGCGAGCCTCCCCATTTCCCAAACGGTTACTCCGCAGATGAATGAGCTGTTAACAGCGGCGGTTTTGCCGAATGAGGTTCGGAGAACGGTCTTTTCGATGGGATCGAAGCAGGCTCCGGGGTCTGATGGCTTCACCGGTAAATTCTTCAAAGCATTCTGGGATGTTGTTGGGGCATCGGTAATTGAGGCAGTTTGCTCTTTCTTTTCGACTAGTCGAATGCTCCGGAGTTTTAACCATACTTGGCTTACGTTGATCCCTAAAGTGGATTCTGTGGAAAATATCCGTCAGCTGCGCCCGATCAGTCTCTGTCAATTCGTTTATAAAGTTATAACCAAGATTATGGCGGAGCGGCTAGCGGGAGTGCTCCCTCAAATTGTTTCTGAGGGGCAAAATGCGTTTATAAAGGACCGGCAGATTATTGATAACGTCCTTCTTGGGCATGAATTAATGCATTATCTCAAAATAAAAAAGCAGGGGAAGAAGGGGTACATGGCTCTAAAGGTTGACATGGAAAAGGCCTATGATAGAGTCGAATGGCCTTTCCTTCTGGCAGTTTTGGATAAGATGGGCTTTAATTCGATCTGGCAAGGATGGGTTCATGAATGTCTTAGGTCGGCTACTTTTTCGGTCCTGATGAATGGTACGCCTTCGGGCTTTTTCGGATCCTCTCGGGGACTCAGGCAAGGAGATCCGTTGTCGCCTCTCCTGTTTGTGCTTTGTACAGAGGGGTTTGCGGCCCTTCTTCGGAAGGCGATCTCGGAAAAGAAGCTAGAAGGGGTGAAGGTGGCGCCGTGTGCTCCTAGGATCTCGCATCTGTTCTTTGCGGATGATTCTTATCTTTTCTTGCGAGGTTCCCTCCAGGAGTGTGAGAACTTAATAGTGGTGCTCAATGAATATGAGGAGCTGAGTGGCCAGCGGGTCAATCTGGAAAAGTCGGCAGTCTGCTTTAGCAAAAATGTTGCCTTGGCAGATCAGGAGTTTTTGGCTACGATTCTTGGGGTCGGTGCAGTGGGGGTTCATGATAAGTACTTAGGGTTACCCATGTTGATTGCCCGATCCAAGATGGCGACATTCAGGTATCTGGAGGCGAAATTACTGGAGCATTTGCAGGGGTGGAAACGAAAAACTTTATCTTGGGCGGCCAGGGAGACGTTGATTAAGTCAGTTGCTTTGGCCTTGCCCCTGTATGTTATGTCATGTTTTCGGTTGCCCCTCTCTCTGTGTCGTTTGTTGGATAAGCACGTGGCCCGCTTCTGGTGGGGAGTTGAGGATGGGCACCCCAAGATTCGGTGGGTGTCCTGGCGGAACCTTTGCAGAAGCAAGCATGACGGGGGTTTAGGTTTTCGCAGATTTGAACATGTTAACCAGGCTCTTTTAGCAAAGATCGGCTGGCGGATTCTCCATGAGCCGGATTCCCTCCTGGCCCAGGTTTATAAAGGGAAATACTTTCCTCAAGGATCTTTTTTGACTGCTACTGCCCGGTCTCGGCCTTCTTGGGGTTGGCAGAGTATCCTGTTTGGGCGTCAGCTTTTGGACGCAGGGTTAAGATGGCAGATAGGCAATGGCCTCTCGGCCTCCCTTGTTCATTCTAAATGGATTCCGGGGCTTCAGCTGGATTCCCCTTGCTATAATCCCCGCATTCTGCCAAGTGGGAGTGATCCCGTGGTGGCGGAGGTTATTTGTCAAGGGGAAGGGCGTTGGGATGAGAATTAGCTTGGTCAATGGTTTGACCTTTCTGTCTGTGGGGCCATTAAGGCTATACCACTTCCGCGGCGGAATGTGGAGGATAAACTTATCTGGCATAACACTGCTGATGGGGTGTTCTCGGTTAAGACGGCTTACCATCTGGCAGTTGAGCTTGACAGGAGAAGGGGTGGGTGGCGGGAATCGGTGAGCTGGATGGATAGGAAAAGTTGGATCCGGTTGTGGGAAGCGAAGATCCCTCCAAAGTTTAAAGTCTTTGTCTGGCAAATTTTGAATCGGGCCCTGCCAACCACAGAAGCGCTCATTGATAGGGATGGCAACAAAACCCGAACCAACGGGTACCCACCCGACCCAACCCGGTCAACGCGGGTAAAACCCATTTTGACTGGTTTTGGGCCGGGTTTGGGTTTAAACCCGTTACACTATTCACCGGGTCGGGTTGGGTTTGGGTTTAGGCAAACCCGCCCCATGGGTACCCGCCCACACATATATAATTACTTTCCCGGTATATTTAATATTCAAAATAATATATCTTTCTTAAATAACTAATATTCTTTATGTTTTGTGGAGACACGTATAATTTGTTCTTTCTAATTGTTTAGAATGAAGTTGATATTATGAAGTGGAGAGTGAAGAAACTTAGTTGACGAGGAAGAAGCTTTCAATTAATTTTATTGTTTATAGATGTTTATCTTTAATTTTGAACAATTTGTATTGATCATTTGCGGTTTGCTTGTATGCTCTAGATTGGTGTTTTTTTGTATGATTAATTTATATGAGAAAATTGATGTTAAACTTTTATTTTGAAAGAAACTTGTTGTTGTAAATTTTTTACCGCAAAAACCCACGGGTACCCATGAACCCGCGGATACCCAGCGGGTTGGGTTGGGTTTGAGTTTTTCAAACCCAACGGGTTTTACCCTGGGTTTTTTGGGCGGATAAACCCATGGGTTTGGGTTTGACAAAACCCGCCCCAACCCGACCCATTGCCATCCCTACTCATTGAGAAGGAGGTCCCTGTGCTACTTCGGTGCCCGGTTTGCTGGGAAGGGCCCGAGACGTTGGAGCACTTGTTTCTCTACTGCCCGGTGGCACGGGCCCTCTGGGACTATTCGGGGTTGGATTATTTAGGGGAGGCTTTGCCTCGGCACACGTTTCCTCTGTTTCTAAAGCGGATGCTTTCCCTTGTCCATGATCCGTCGCTATTTATGGCGGTGGTGGCCATCCTCTGGCGGATCTGGCGATCGCGAAATTGGGTTGTCTTTGAGGGCAAACAGTTTGGGATTCCGGCTTTGATGCGCCAATTTCACCAGCAATTTGAGGAGTGGGTGGGGCTGTCGGTTGACCAGAAGCCAAGGAGGTCTTTCCCAGTGGTCCAGACCCCTGTGGATGACTCTCGGTTGGTTTGCATGTGGGATGGGGCAACTAGGGGAGGGTCACACTCGGCTGGTGGGATGGTCCTTTGTGATCCGGGAGGGGCGGTCATTCGGGCTAAAGGAGTGCAATTTGCACAATTGGATGACCCGATGGTGGTGGAGCTGCTTGTGCTGCGTGAGGCTATTACTTGGTGTTTAGAGTGGGGGTTGTCCGAAGTTCGGTTCGAGGGGGATGCGAAGGTCATTATTGACAAGATTAATCAAGCCGATTCGCGTGACAATCACTTGGGGGCGGTCCTGGAAGAAATTTGTCAATATTTTGCTGCCCATCCGGGGTTTAGTGTGCGGTTTGTAGGTCGGGATAACAATAGAGTAGCTCATTCGGTAGCTAGAAAAGCCCTCTCTTTGTACCCGAATGGGAATCGTTTGTTTGATTTCAGAGCCTGGCTGTTTTCCAGAATGTAACTATCTGTTTTGATGGAAGTAATATATACTATCTTTTGACAAAAAAAAAACAAAAAAAAAAGTAAAACAGTACTTGGCACTTGCCTACTTGGAAATTGGAATGAGGAATCTCCTCCCTCTCCTCATATAACATTGGGCCAGAGATGCGGATCCACTCAAAGCACACATACGTCTTAGCCCATATCTCCTCGGTATACAGGCCCATAAACAGTATAAGCCCACTACATTTCCATGTACCTAAAATGAGGGGTCAGAAGCATATATGCTTCAATGATTTAGCAATTTCACCACCTGTTTCGATCCGATGTATAGTACAAACAATCTCCTTAGTTGAGTTGGATTGTTCAAGCCTAGACAACCAGTGAGAAGTTGCCTGTGATTGAGAGGAAAATATTCGCTAGGGTCTTCAAGAACTGGATACAAAAACCAGTAGCTCGATTTGTATACATGCTTAGTTATGTACCGCAAATGTGAACCTGGATTTACACACATATCCATCACAAGATGACAGAAGGAACAAACACTAGTAGCTCAATTTGCCACGCCCTTCGCAGGTGGTGCAGGATCGGGAAGAAGAGCACTTGGTACAGTAGCTCCATTTCTTCGGAAGCCTGAAGAAAATTTTCATTTCATTCGGGATTAAAACTTTGAATCGTCAAGGAAAGGCATTTGTCCAGATAGCTATTTATCATATGATGATATGCTGCAAAATTTTCACATGAGGAAGAAGCTTGAGGATGTATCGTACCCTGCAGTGTAGCGAGTGGCCATGTTCTTGGCGCTCTTTCTTGCTTTATCGGCATTCTCATCCGACAGTCTCTTCAGCACAAAGCCTTCACCTTTGCATTCAGGACATATCCCAGAACCACCACATGCTTCGCATGTTATCAATGGAATCTGCAGCTCCATAAAACTACACCATTTAGAGCATTCCAAAACCCTTTGTGGAAAAAACTTGGAGCATTCGATGAGATGTTCATGTTCAGGTTACCTCATTTGCTTCAGCAGCGGCTTTGTTTCTATTGACGAGCAGGGTCGCTGCTGCACCTACAACAGTAGCCGCAATTGCCACGGAAGCAGCTGTTTCCACAAGAGCACAGGGTACTGTGGATAGTTTTCTTCTCCTCTGATTTTGAAAAGTCATGTCGATTGAGAAGCAGCCAGCAGAGGAATCTTGTGCATTCCAAACTCTGGACATGGAATCCCTACTTGCTTCACAAATGTAAAAGTAAGAAGTTTGACCAGTGCATAGCATAATGCATAGTAGAGAAAATAACTTAATAGGCTTCATTTCATGACCAAGACAACACAACAGTAGCAAATTACTCAACCCAAACTATCATTACAATAGAAACCAGAAGACTGCTAAACGTGATGCTATTCGCTGGAAGTAAAACAACTATACTTACACAATGGCGCCAGCTGTACTTACTAGCATCAAAGTTGGACATATCAATACAGGTTGTTTAAACTACTTGGAATCAGTTTCCAGTCCTAAAGGTGTAAATGGCAAGAATGAAAAACCCAAAACAGACCTTCAACAAAAATGATAAGTTCAGAGTTCCACCTCTTCACCAAAACCTTGACGAAACGAAAACCGTAGCAACAACCCAACCCCAACTGATGAAAAAGAAGTTGAGGATTTATGGGAAATATACACCATCACTCAAACAAGAATAAAATGGAAAACCCACTTCACTGCTAGTTTGGAATTCCATAGAGTAGAACCCAACTCATGTTACAGAGCAATACGCCCAGAGCTTTCAAGGGAAACAGTTCATGAGATTTAATGTAGATAACCCCACAGCAGCGAAGTGACAACAGTCATAAAATGTTCTGCCAAGCATTATGTCAAACACCTTCCCTGCGTGAGACATTAAACCAAAGCACCAAGGTGTATTCAACAAACGGAAGTAAACCCACATCTAAACTACCGGCAGAGGAAAAAAAAAACAACCTACTGCAAGCAATAAAAGCCGGGAGCTTTTTCCCCGATTTCCATCCATGGGGCAGCTCATCAATTAGCTGAAATCTCACTCCATTACTTAGTTGCCAACCACTCTAATACAGGAAGGAAGTCGAGGTTAGGTCTTCTGTAGGACTTACTTCTGCTGAAGGCAGGAAATGATGAAAATTTTGTAAGGGTGAGCTCCATTGAAGAGTAGAGCTTTAAAGCAGCTGCGCCGGCGGTACCAGTAACAGAAACAACCACCTTACTACCTCTTCCTCTCTGAGACTAGCAAATAGCAATCCGTGGCTTATCTTGTTTTGTTTTCTCAGAGAGTCCAATCTTCCATGCGAGCCCTTCATAGTCTCGTAGAATTGCAGTTTTGCCACATCAAACGCTGCGTTTTATTCTGCAGAGATTTTGGGCTACTGGCTAGTTGTAGCTGGTTCCTGATCAATCTCCACAACCTGTGTTCATTTTCATTCATGTCTCTTCCTTTGCTCTGTTGTTTGAGGTCACGAGGATCCGATTTATGGGAGACCCTAAAGCTCCCGCCCACCTGGCATCCACATACTCATCATCGATCGATCGATAATCATCATCTTCATCACCACCATCAATCATACTCCTCAAAACCATCCAAGGTTTCTAGCACTCTCCACCAAAGATATGAAGAAGTGTAGTTGTTAGCTGTAGCAGGGTTTTGGGGTTTGAACCAGCAACATTGCTGCTGCTGCTGCTGATCATGTTCATAGTGGTGATGGGAAGGAGCGATGGCAGGCGTGACATCAAGCAGCGGCCATCAAGTGTTCCCAGCGCCACGGTGAACGATGTTCCTCTCCTTATCATGATCCATTAGCGAAAGGGAAGGGTTACATGGAGCTGAGGAGGAATCATGGTGGCAGCAGAGAAGGGCAGGTGGTTACTGGGAACTTCGTCTATTCACCTGTTAAGAGATGCTTCCTTCTGTGACTGTACAAATGGAAAAAAGGAGCTAGGTACTAAGAATTCAATTTTTCTTTAGTTCTTCAGGGAGGAGGCTCATTGTACATAGTTGAGAATCCCACGCTCAGCTCGATAACTATCCGACCACTTTTGGCATTAAGCTCAGGATCAAATCCTCAACAGAATTTCTTCAACTATTATTCAGATCAATCAACCAGCGGCAAAGGTAGAATTAAAGATCCAGCCATACACAGAGAAAAGCAGTGAAAATAAGTAGTTTATAACTTGAGCTTAAATAAAAAACAGTACAGAACATCAATAAAGCAAGCAGATGTTCAAAGTTGGTGCCCGCCCAATTCCAGAATAGTACACAACAAACCCCAACCATCAAACAAACCATAGAAAAGATGCCCAAAACCAAAAGGGAACCATTAACTTGTTTCTCCACCAGAGAGAGCATTACCACTGCTACAATCTCTTGGGGCTGGTGGTTGGATTCTTTCAGTTCATTTTCGCCTAACTATACAAATCATCGTCATCAGCTCCACCCGCTGGGGTCGAGAACGGATCAGATGCTGCTGCACCACCCCCGGCAGAGGTTTCTGAGAACTTAAACTCTGATCCAAAGCCCCTCGACTGCTGCAATGTCTGAGCAAACGCCTGGTACTTCCTGATATCTGCATCACTCACACTGCGACGAGCATACTTCATTGACTCCTCAAAGTGTGCCGCCTTAATCTCGGCCACCTCATCATCCACATCCTCGTCCATTGCCTCAGGATTGTCCTTGTTTCTCCTCTCCTTCTCAATGTCCTGTAACATCCACAAACACCACGCACAAAATTCAGAATGTTAAGAATGCGCTTAATTGCTGACCTTTTTAGGCAGGTGAAAATACAAAAATATGTAAAATACCTTCTCAATGTTCTCCCTGATGGCATACTTGCAAGCTCGCTGGCATATCTCAGTGATGTCAGCACCACTGAACCCTTGAGTGTACTTGGCCAATGCCCTCAAGTCAACATCCTTCGAGACTGGTGATTTCCTCAAGCATGCTTTGAAGATCTGATGACGTGAGTCCTCATCAGGAAGAGGGATGTAGATCAACTGGTCAAGACGTCCAGGCCTGAGGAGTGCTGAATCGATGATATCGGGCCTGTTTGTTGCGCCAATTATGAAGACAGTCTTCTTTGCTGACATACCATCCATTTCAGTGAGAAGTTGATTAAGAACACGATCAGCAGCACCGCCTGCATCACCAACACTGCCTCCTCTCTGCAATTGTATTATATAGCAAATGAGAATTATGACCAACAACAATACAACATGACACAAATAGCATCCAACAGAAAATTCAGGTCGAGGGACAACGAAAATATACCTGAGTTGCAATGGAGTCTAGCTCATCAAAGAAAAGGACACATGGTGCAGACTGTCTGGCCTTGTCAAAGATTTCCCTGACATTAGCTTCACTCTCTCCAAACCACATCGTCAGGAGCTCAGGACCCTTGACACTGATGAAGTTTGCTTGGCACTCATTGGCAATTGCCTTAGCCAACAGAGTCTTTCCACAACCTGGAGGGCCATAGAACAGAACTCCCTTCGAAGGGGACATGCCAAATTTCTCAAACTTCTCGGGATGCTCCACGGGATATTGAACAGTCTGTCAAACAAAAGCATATATATCAGCAGCAAGCAATGCAGTGTCATAAATTAGCAATTAGTATGGAAAGAGGGTGGGGGTAAAACTGAAAGGAAAGAATAATACCTCTTGAAGTTCACGCTTAACATTCTCAAGCCCACCAATGTCCTCCCAGCTACAGTTTGGTACTTCAACCACCTAATACATGGAAAGAAAAGTCAGCAATTAAGTATAGTTGGATAAAAATCAATCCACAAACTAGGTCGATCTGAGAAAACAACTCACAGTTTCTCGCAGAGCAGAGGGATTACTGGTTCCAAGAGCAGTTTGAAAGTGCTCATTGGAAACGGCCATTGAATTCAGTATCTCTGCATCAATGGTGTCATCCTCCAAATCTATGACATCCATCTTCTCTCTGATGCACTGAAGTGCGGCTTCAGTGCACAAAGCAGCAAGGTCAGCACCAACATATCCATGGGTATCTTTTCCAATCTTTTCCAGATCGACCTACAAAAAGAAGCCATTCCAGTGTATTAGGAAATCATCAACATAATCAATAACCCATACTGAAGTTTAGCATTCAGCACAACAAAAATAGGGAACACAGAGGGCAGTCAGATAAGCAGTTACTCAACCAATAAAAGAAAAAAGGGGCCAGTAACATACATCATCAGATAGCTTCATATTTTTGGTATGGATGCGAAGGACCTCAAGACGTCCAACCTCGTCCGGAACACCAATATCTATCTCCCGATCAAACCTTCCAAACCTTCTCAGAGCTGGGTCAATGCTGTTTGGACGATTGGTAGCGCCCATCACAATAACATGGGCACGGGATTTAAGACCATCCATGAGAGTCAGGAGTTGCGAGACAATACGCCTCTCAACTTCCCCATTTGTCTTCTCCCTCTTAGGGGCAATGGAGTCGATCTCATCTATGAAGATGATAGAAGGGGCATTCTTCTCAGCCTCTTCAAAAGCCTTCCTCAGATTACTTTCACTCTCTCCGGCCAACTTCGACATGATTTCAGGCCCATTGATGCAGAAGAAGAATGCACCAGTTTCATTAGCCACGGCTCTGGCTATCAATGTCTTTCCAGAACCAGGAGGACCATAGAGCAGAATACCCTTTGGTGGCTTCACACCAATTGATTTGAAGAGCTGAGGATGCCTTAGTGGCAGCTCAACCAACTCACGAATCTGGGCCATCTGCTTTCTGACCCCACCAACATCATCATAACCAACCTCATCTAACCTATCCTCATCCTCCCTTCTCACCGGCTCCCCCTCACAGAAGATCTCAGTATCCGGGGCAACCACACAGTACTCCCCTGGGTCAGTTTCAATGACCTTGAACTCTACACTTCTCATGCCACCTCTAACGAGAAAGAAATCTCCTTTCCTCACAGGGCGATAAGCCTCCAGGAAGTAAGCTGCGGAGAAAAAGCAATGTCAGAATCTAATAGTCCATGAATAGGCAATAAGAGATTGAAGAAGAAAACTTATAGAAACTCACGCTTCAGATATGCATCAAAAAGGTTTCCAGTAACCCCTTCAATAGTGTCATCAATTGGAAGTATGTGAACACGCTTCCCATATTTAACATCAGGGCATTGGTGCACAGAAACAACATCTCCAAGTCGCACCCTCAAGTTAGACCTGACAACCTTGTTCATTCTAATCTTTGGCTGCTCACAAGTCTCATCAGCGAGAGCAATGCAGATAGTATCCTTCCTTTTCTTGCCCTGTACATCAAATTACAGTCAGAACACATAACAACACACCCACCCAGCACAAACGCAAAAAAGGAATAATGAAGAAAACAACATTCAACCGAGATATCTTAAAAGAGAAGGCTTGAATCAAGGAACTTGTGATCAAGTATCCCCTTAGCCGACAAAACTGACTACGATAAGCAATTTGATAATACAGTTCAATCCCAAGCTCATCACACAGCATGTGCTTGCCACAGGAGCAACTACCATACACCAAACCAGGAAAAGCAAGTCCATTAAACAAACTCTACAACAAACCCTAGAATCAAAAACTCCTACACCAATCGCCACCGCAATAAACAAAAAAGGGACAAACCCTCCACCCTCTGAGCATCAACACAACACAAACCCCAGAAAGGAAACAAAATAAAAAAGGGGGGAAAAAAGGACAAACCTTGATGAGAATGGTATCACCGCGGAAGAGCTGGAGCTTCTCCATGGTATCGGGGTGCATCGCGACGACGGAATTATCATCGTTGACGGCCTCGTCAACAACCAATCGATTAGGCGACTTCTTCCGCTCCAGAATCGCGGTGGAGAAGTCCTTCTTCCCCGATTTCCTGGCAAAACCCAAAAGTCACACAATCAGCGATTGAATCAAGCCGCCACCAGAACCCGACGGGGGTAGGAGAGCGATCGTCAAAAGTTACACAATAGAGCGGCTAGTAAAGAGGAACTTACGCATCGGACGATTCAGGCTTGTCGGCCATTGTTATCTCACGGGGAGAGCTGGTTAGTAAACAGGCTGGATGAAGGAAGGAATAATAATGGATGGAGTGATAGAATGAGTTCTCTGAATTTTGAGGTCGATGAGGGTAGGTTGTTAAATAGGGAGAGGCGAGGAGAGAGAAAGAGTCTGGCTTGTTTACCAAGAGAGGTAGGGGTCTGTTTGGTTACGCTGCTTAGGAGCTATTCCGATACGGATTATGAAATTCCTCCCTTGGAATCCCGGATTTCGATCAGAGTAGGGATTTTCTCTTGTTATGTGGGCTGGGTATTTCATTTATCTTGAAATCCACTGTTGGGCTTGATGCCCTTTCTATGTACTTGGCGGGCTTTTGCTGGGATGGCAATTTGGAGTGTGGATTTTCCGATATACAACCCGGATTTCCGTCTGGGGCTGCGGTAGTTGCTGAATCTTCTACCGGTAGGTGAACAACTATGTGGATTGATGGGCTTACTAGGTTTGATAGTTATAAAGAGGATGGTGCTACCATATTGAACCCGTTTCTGAATGGATATTCAATCTCATTCAATCAAGGCGAGGCGAGTAGAATTCACTGTTAACATGTTTAGGGTCAGCTGCGAGTGTTATCTGATTTTAAGATTCGATCAAAGTCATCTTTTTTTTTACCACCAACAATGCTTTGTTTTCCTTTTTCTCTTAGCCCTCAAATAGTCCAGAATAGCCCATATACCCTTTGCTTTCCTTTTTTTTTTTGGTTGTAAAAAGAAGGATGCAAATTGCATCCCCAACTTAGATTAGAATGTTCCGCTCTTGGGAAATTTCTCGAGCGTCATACGTAAGCCAAAAGTAAAGGCCAGGGTCGCACACATTGAATAGACGTATGCTAGAATTAACATCTTGACCCTTATAGACCAGGAAGTAATCGGTAAGATGGTAAAATTTGAGTCTTTATAAATATGATTGACTTTAACAACTCATTCCCTCCCTAGACGCTCTCACAACTGGTGTGCGATGAGGTCGTGGCTCTGATCCGTATTGGTACAGTTCTTGATGATATCAATAGTTGTTGAGGAGTCCAAGTTGAGATGACCTTTTCTGTGTGCTTTATACAATGCAATTTTCAGATCTTCTGATGCTTCCTTCAACTCTGCCCTTGTAATAGAGCATGTGCCCAGATTTGAAGTGAAAGCAGATGTGCATCTCCCCAAGTGATCTCTTAGTAATCATCTTGTTGCTGCATTTCCGTTCGAGGCATTCCAACTTCTATCACCTTGCACTTGAATCCAACCTTCGCTCGGTGGCTTCCAAGATATGAATCTCGTTTCGCTTTCGGGTGACCTCATGTTGCTAATCTTCAACATACTTTGGACACCTATATATTGATGTTCTCGCAAACCTCAATCCGTTGAATGAGGTCCGCCTCAAAGAAGATGCACTCGTCCATGGCTTATTCGTTTCTCTCCTTCCAAATATTACTGGGAATGATCCCAAACATGATTCCAGTGTTAGTATCTTTAAGGTTGCTCAGTAACTGATCCTTGAAATTTGCATCCTCCCTCGCATTGGATGAGACATAGGCAAAGTGAGCCAAAACTCCTCTTGTTTTCCTGCAGCTACGAATAATATGCTATGTAGTCTCCTCTAGTGTTTTGCAGAAGGGGCAATTGTTGTTGGTTGTTAATCATCGATTGAATCTTTCCTTGTAGGTTAGGAGGCGGTTGTGGGATGCAAAACACAAGAAATTTTTAATCCTGCTAGGCCGTTTCCATCTATCTTTATCATCACCAGGGTCTTCCGATGTACCTTGGGCATAGGCAGACTTAAGATGAAACCCGCCATGTTTCTTCAATCTCCAAAGTGATTTGTCTTCTCCAAATCTCGCAATTGTGGTTCGACTCCTGCAATCAATGTAAGGAATTCCTCTAGTAAGAGCTCTCTAAGACGACTCCAGTCTCACTCCCTTAAATTAGTCACTCAACAAGCAAATGCAGATGGGCTTTCTTCCTCGGTAATCTCCTTCAAGAGGAAGTCGCCAAGGATCAGCTCACAGTCAAGCCAAGAATGAATCCAGAATCCTGTTGTAGTGTCATCTCTTATGCTCCAAATGGCCACTAACTTCATAAGGGGCATGACTTTCAAGCTAGCTCCAAAATCTTAATTCGACAATGTCCATCTCGCTATTGTCCTAAACTCACTTTACTAGTAGATAATAATTCATGTAATAGTAATTATAACCTACAGACCATTAGTCAAAACTTAGAATTATTCATTGAAGTTGAGAATTAACAATTAAGCGATGATATTAGAGATCAAGCAAATTCATTTGAATGGATCAAGTGTGATAGGAGGGGGTTGGACATCTTTAATTAGTGAAAGAATAAGGTCAAATTGGAACTTCAAGAATAATTGGGAACTTTGTAAAGGAACCTTATTCAATGTCTCGATGGCATAAACTAAGTATGTCAAAAATACCATAATTTAGGGGTTAATTGCATAGTTGGTCACCGAATTTACTAAAAAGGTCCAAATTTGGTCACTAAAAATATTTAATTCCGTTCATGGTCACTAAAATTACTTAAACATTTCAAATTTGGTCACTCTCCGTCCAATTCTGTTAATTTTGTCTGATGTGGCAGTCAACTATTAGAGTTGACCGTTAAGTGTGTGACGTGGCAATTAAAAAATAAAAAATTTAATTTTTTAAATTTCCACCTCATTATCACAATTTTTAAAAAAATCAAAATATTAAGACTAATTTCTTCTAATCTCCATACCCTACCGACCAAACCCTGATGCTGTTGGAGTTACCTAATTCGTCGCCGCACTACCACCGCCGCCACCCAGCGAATTCCAGTCGCGGTTCATCTCCGTCCTCGCAGCACCTCCCGCCTCCCGGAGACCATCGCCTCAGCGGTGGTGGCTCTCGGATTCCGCTCGGTGCGGATTCTGGATCCAACACCGAGCCTGACGCGGGCCTTGTCTTTCACCGAGGCCAGTGTGCTGCTCTCCGTTCCGAACCATCTGGTTCAAGAAATGGCGAAATCTCCGTCTTCCGCAGCAGAGTGGCTCCGGCACAACGTAGTGTCGTTCTATCCCCGCACGCGAGTTTCCGTTGTCTATGTTAGTGACGACGACGACGACGCGCAGTTCGTCGTTGCCGCAGTTCGCAACGTGTAGCTGGCACTGACGGAGCTCGCCATCGACAAAATTGATGTGTCAACCACCTTCAGCTTCACGACGCTGGTGACCGGCGCGTTTCCAGAAGATGCTCCATAGCCTGAATAGTCATAGCTGCATAGAGAAACAACATAGAACAAAGGTCATCACAATAAAGCTCCAATCTCTGAACAACAAGGAATACAATCAAGCATCCCAAAACCAGAAACAACTCTAATTTCGACAAGAATTCATCGAAAAGCCAGAAACTTTCATCAAATCCAGTCTTGAACATCTCCCAATCAACATTAATGGTTGATTTAAAGTTCAAAGTACGGTGAATTTGCACAAATGAAAACAGAACATTAAAACAAAAGCCAGAGTTTCTAACCACATGATGTTGACTCGGAGATGAGCCCTGAGCTCGATGAAGAGCTAATGCATTTGGCCGAGGTCGGCGGCGTTGCCATGGGAATAGAGAAGGGTGAATCTGGCAAAAGGGTGATTCCATAACATGGCCACAACCTTGTTCCCAGCTTTGATATCCAACGTATGGACATCCATGTTCTTGTCCTCCGTGACACCTGGCACCACCACACCATCCTCTCTTCTTCCTCCTCCAGCACGTCATACGTCGGCGGGTCCGGCGGGAAGAAGGCGAATTTCGCCGCCATGTTCGACGTCACATTCCCCATTTCTCTTTCTCCAACGAACCCAGAGGGGGAAAAAACCAAAAACCGAAATTCAGCTCAAAGCTGGAACCTTTCCTCCTTCTTCTTGGAACCCAGTTGAAAATTTATGGCGGGGATGACAATGAAATGTTTAATTAATGGCGAAGAGGTGCAAGGAGGGAACTTTTCACTTTTGATTAATTTAATGCATTTGAGACAGGGAAAGAGAGATTTGTGAAGTTGGGGCTTTCAATTTCTCATGGGTTGATGTGAAGGGATCCGATCTAAGAGGGAGAGTTGCCGACAGTGGTGGTGGAGGTGGCTGCGGCGGAGATAACGGTGGTGCTGCTGGCGGCGGTGGCGTAAGGAAGAAGGAGAAGGGACGGTTGAGGTTCATCCGAACATGGAAATTAGAAGAAAAGAAATTAGGTATTTTATAATTTTTATTTTTTATTAGTTGGAAGAATGAGTTGGAAATTTAAAATATTATTTTTAAATTGCCACGTGGCACATTTAACTGTCAATTGTAAGAGTTGATTGCCACATAAGCAAAAGTTAACGGAGATGGACGGAGAGTGACCAAACTTGAACTCTTTAATTAATTTTAGTGACCACGAATGGAATTAAATATTTTGAGTGACCAAACATGAACGTTTTTTGTAATCTGAGTGACCAACCATGCAATTAACCCCATAATTTAGTATCTTAACTAAGAAATCAATCATAATTTTTTAAAAAGTGCACTTAAAATGAGAGGTTGGTGAAACCTCCTTAGTAATTTCCTTTGCTGCTCTCCTTCCTTATTCATTTCTTTACGACGAGCTTCATTCAGTCTCATAAAGTTTGAGTATATTCGTTCATCTCCCTTCACCCTTCTCCCTTCGGTTGAACATATGATAAACTTTCGGTCGAGTGACTTTGTTCCTTCGGTCGAGCGGCTTTCGCTCCTTTCTTATAAAGGGTGAGCCTTCGCTTTTTGTATCATCTTCTGCCCAATGCGGTAGCCTCCCATTTTTTGGTTCCCATTAGGTTTACCTTGTTTACAGGTCGACCCCATGGCAGCAAGTTGTTTTATTCTTGGGTTACCTTTTGGATTTTTCATAAGCATAAAATTTTTAGTTAGATAAAAAAATCTTGGCCAATGGGTCGGGTTCAAAACTAGTAATGTTAAGAACGTTTTTGTACAAATATATTTTGTACTTATATAGAGAAATTACATATAAAGAAAGTTTGTACAGAGACATTTTGCACGCTAAGTTTTTGTGGCGGAGAAGAGTCAGTCCGTCATAGTCCCAATTGTGCCCGTGGGCGGTTTTGTACAATCTAGTGCTTCTGCATCAGATCGTTTAATATCTTTGCAGGGTTCTCCAAAGGGCCTAACAACACAAAAAGGAGGCGAGGAATGTTATGGAGTTTATGGAGTGAGATCCTGAACTGTAAAGGATTTTCTTGAACCATTTTTTCTCAGTCTATGGGTTTTTGGAATGGTTTATTTCTAATATATCCCTGGTTTCCTTAGGATTGGAGTCGATGGCAAGGTTAATCGCAACAATAACTTCACGGACGACAACACACTAAGGTAAACAATATTAGCATGTGTATTGTGATAGATGATCATTGTTGTATACTTTCTGCAAATTATATTTCAGATAGGCTATGTTACTGTTTGCTTTCTCTAGGGTGGGGGTCGGGAGTTATTCTATTATTCTTTTTTGGGTGAGATGCTTGTTTTTGCTTGGTCTATAGTGGTATACAAAACATAGGGCTTTTGAATAGAAGAGAGAGTCTCCCGATAAAGAATTATGCTCTATATAAACAAAACTTCATCTCTTCCCACCTTTACCTTAATGATTCTCATTAGTGAAGCCTTCGGTTTGCTGATCAAATACTATATCACATTCAACATAATTCGTAGCAAGTTGTAGAGCATCGACTAGGGCAATAGTGCATCGAAGAGAGGTATGAAGAACATCGACCAGGGCAATAGTGCGTCGAAGAGATGTATGAAAAACATCAACCAGAGCAATAGTGCATCTAAGAGAGGTATTAAGAACATTGACCAGGGGTATGCATAACATCGTTGGAGTTGTTAAAGATTCTTTGGTTGTATTTTCGATGAACAAAGCATTACTCACTAAGAATCTTGGATTCATCTCTTCCCACCTTTACCTTCATGATCCCCATTAGTGGAGCCTTTGGTTTGCTGATAAAATACTATATCTCATTCAACATATTTCGTAGCAAGTTGCAGAGCATCAGCCAAAGCAATAACGCATCTGAGAGAGGTATGAAGAACATCATTAGAGTTGTTAAAGATTGTTTAGTTGTATTTTTTTTTATGAACATAACATTACTCAATAAGAATCTTGGCTTCATTTGCAGATGACTAATGAGTTGGGGGCCAACGACAAACCCAGGAATTCTGAAAAGTTGTGTCAGTAAAATAAGATAATCAATAAATTTTTAAATATTAATAAAAAAATAAAATTATTAATTTGTCAAAATCAATTAACGTGCAACAAATCATGACGACCTTTTCATATCCTGAAAGGTTAGTAAGATACCTTCATCGTTTATGTTGCAAATCAAATCTTTATTTATAGCATCACATGATGTAGTACTTCATGTGCGAGGGAGCTCAACTCTATTAAAATTGTATCTAATGTTGGCCGTATGGGTAGATATGATGGCAGGATGACCATGAATATTTTTTCATCGGTGAATATGCATATTGTCGTCGCAATACGTACGCTGGAAGCAACCTATAAACAACCAGTAAATGTTGTTGCCGTTGAGAATATGATCGTGAGACTCACTGAAAGGGCTAAAAAAAAAGGTTTTCACTTTTCATAATGTTAAAAAATTGGAGGTGCAGGGAATCGAACCCCGTGCCTCTCGCATGCGAAGCGAGCGCTCTACCATATGAGCTACACCCCCTTGTTGTTTTCTAAATAATATTGCCCCATTTTTATTCCTTGATTTTGCATCACACATGCATTAACTTCTCTAATAGGTTACCTTTGTTTTTGTCTATTTTACACTCTGATTCGGTTTTGGCTGGCTGCTCCTTCAGGAAGGTCCACTGCTCATAACCAAGGGAAGAGCTGGCTTTGGGACGAGAATTGTCGTGCTGACTTGGAGATCGTTGCTCATTATGTCAAGAGAATGAAAAATACTACTGGCTTCGCCTTATTCTCTACATGACACTCACACTCTGCATTGACACTTTATCTTGCAAACAAGAGTTGCTGTTGTATTTATGTTTTCCTCATTCAATTCACTTCACTTCTAATGCAGCATTGCAAACAAGAGTTGCTGTTGTATTTATGTTTTCCTCATTCAATTCACTTCACTTCTAAGCATTGCTGCATGTACATGGTTTTAGTGTTCCTTGTGCTCCATTTTCGCGTGGGAAAAAACAATTTGGTACTGAAGTTTTGCAGGCTTCAACATGATAATGAGAGCTGCAGTTCCAGATGGGAAGAACCGATCTCTCTCATTAATTGTTGGTAGTTTTTGTTGCTTCAACATTCAAATGAAAGTAATAGCATAAGCTTTGTCTTCCCCTGCCTTGTGTCTTTGGTCCTTGTTTCTCTAAGTTCTCTTAGTAAGTTCGTTATGTACAGTGGAGGGTTCAATGCATTTATAATAGTTATTCAACCTAATCGGACTTAATTCATCATGTAGCTAATTCATGCTTTTCTCATGTGCTAGTAAGTAATCTGGGAGGAATAACTTGACCAATTTTCATTACAGTCGGTATTTTATGTGCCACTAATGAATTGTCACATTTACGTCATAATTGTCATGTGAAAAGTACATGAAAGGTGGTGACAAATAGTATTATGTATCATGAAAATGTCATTACAAAATGTCTTACAGAGTTATCCATAAAGAATTGGCAAGTTGTATGTACATCCTCCTGCTTTGAAAGTCTCTCTATACAAAAATCTTACTGCTTGATTTATATATATTTCATCAAACTTCTCACGAGAGTACAATTGACAGTTGTTATCAGCAAAATAACGTCCATTATAAATTTACTAACTTCTCCCTTCTCCAATAGTGTGGATTTTGTTCTTGGTAACTCATACATGATTAATTAAATTAATAGATTAGGATAATATTTTAAGGTTTTTCTTTCTTGAACCCTTCTTAAACATTAAGATATATGCAGATTTACAATGTTAAATGTGTTATGGGTAGAGTTTTGGATTTTAAGTTTTAAAAGAAGAAATTTACATATTCTGGTGGTTCATGTGTGATTTTTAGTACTCATGTGTGAACTTTAGAATTTTTAGTACTCATGTTTTAAATTTATTCAAAAGTAATGTATTCGTGATTTAATAATTATGTAGTACTTATAATATTCTTATATATTAGAAACTCTTATAAAAAAAAAAGCAAACATCAAACACTTGCCTGTTCAATTTTTTTTTATTTATTACAGATGAGTCATTATATGTAAACATACGAAGTTTCATAGCATTACGGGCATGATTTCAAAAACTGGGTACCAAAATATAATAGTGCTCCGCTTCAGCTGACGTGTCAGCTTATTATTGCTCACAACACGTGTGAATGCGCGGTCCCGCCAAACTGGCCACCTAATCTAACGACCTGAAACCGTGTGCCCTCAGCCCACCGGCGGCAGAAAAGTCCAATCCCGTGCCAAATCCTTCCTCCTCCATCTTCCGGCTAAAACACTCTTTACCTGATCGTATACCTCAACGATTCCAGTCTCCAGATTTCCAATTCCATGTAAGTAACGACCGATCAGCGTATCCCGCGATCTTCCATGACGTCCGTCTCTGCCCCGCCGCTGCTTACCGGCGAGAGGGCCGTGGTGGTGCTTTTCATCGCCTGCATCATGTTCTCTCTCCCTCCGTCTCTTCTCCTCCCCGGTGGGTTTCTGTCGTTTCTTTCCTTCTTCGCGCTATGCGTCGAGATCCGCGGCGAGAGCTCCGGTTCCCTCTCTCAGCTCAAGACTAGGTAGGTGGCTGGCTGGTTTCACTTCCCCCCCAATTCGCTAGGGTTTTCGATGTCTTGTTGGGGTTCTGATGCATTTCCTTGCCTAATTGAGCTTTCCTTATTGAGAATTTGCGTTGATTTGATCTCAATTTGGAATTCGTCTAGCATGAATTTTGTAGTTTTTGTTTCTCCGAGCTCCTATTCTGAGCAAATGGATGGATGGGTTAAGCTTGTGGAGAATTGATTTGTGGTTGCTATTGCAGACCTGGTGCTTCATCAGGGATATTGCTTGGTGCAGTTACATTGCCAGCACTTATGCTCTCGAAGCTGATACAGCTTTCACGAGCCTTGTCATTGGACGAGATTCATCTTGGAGGTAACTTTCCTCGTCATTCAGAGTAAAAAAAATTAATTTGGTATGCACTTATCAGTGGTTTTCACTGGGTGTGTTTGATGTTGAGCTCAACTTACTGTGCAGAAGTTGATTATCTACAGATGCAATACTGGGCCGCTTCATTTAGCTGCTTTGCTGTGCTGATCTTCCTCTCTTTAGTCATATTGGCTGCACAAAGTTCGCGGTCCGCTTCCTGCAGAGTACAATGTGCTAAGTTCATCTTTGGATGCATTGTTTTGGTTGCAGCATTGTACAATATCTCCACAACAGGTTAGTTGTGCTCTTCTCCCTGTCTGCATTATCTGTATTTTCAATCCCACAGGTAAATTATGATAGATGCTAGTTTTTATTGTTGCAGTCTAGTTTGAACCTTTGTGTATTCTGGAAACTATCTCTTGTGTTTATCATATTTTTTCTGATTGCTATACTGTCTTTATCCTTATTACCCTTACAGGCATGCAAACGGCTACCAACTTGCTGTGGGTGCTGTTCCATGGACTTGCCACTGTGAAACTAATGCAGCATTTACTCGAGACATTTCCATCATGTGCATCCATTGGTAAGTATACTAATATAGTAATACTGCTTACTTCCTATTTTTGATAATTCAAGGTGATTCATTGGATCTGCTCATGTAGTGAATACATTCTTGTGTCAGATAGCCTTCATTACCTCTATGCATCTGTTCATATTTCATGATCCTCTGAGGCATCCTTTGTTTGTTATATATCAGGGGAGACTCTTTTGGTGACAGCAGGACTTGTTCTCTACTTTGGCGATATATCGGCATGCACTATTGCAAAGGCTAGTGCTTTTCTGCACTAGAATGTTTTTCCGGTCTTCCTAGAGTAAACCAACTTCTATCTCATATTGGCAATGGTATTATTTGAACAGATTCACGGATACTGGAGCTCTTCCGAGTTGGCATTTGTGCAATATGGAACTCGGAAAAATGAGATTAGTACTGTCATTCAGGTAAGATTCACGTGAAAATAACTGATTGAATGGGTTCATCTTCCAATGGCAATCTGTTGGAAGCTTGTCAGTTTATTTCTTATATCCGGAGACATCTTTCAATGCAGGGACTGCTTCTTGGTCTTCTTCTGTTTCCTGTTGCCTTTAAATTTCTGCTTCACACACTAGATTCCTTACCAAGTGTGACAAGCTCAGGCACAAGGATGCAAAATGAGAGGAGAAGATCTCTCATTTTCTTTGTTTCATTTGGGTTAGTCATGATTGTGGTCATGCCATTGTGGATGCAATTTGTACAGGACTTTCAGACTCACCCACTTTTATGGTACTGCTCCCTCAACATCTTATGTCATTGTGATATTTCCTTTTGACGGTCCAATTGTTTGTGGTTTCTTTCCATTAATGTGTAAATGGATCATCTAACTAACTCAGATCTCTCGTGCTTCTGAATAGGGTGGCCGCTTTTGTTTTCTCTGAACCTGCTAAAAGACTATCCCTATGTACCTATTGGGTGTGCTTGATATATGTCTCAGTGAGGCGCTTCTACTACATATCAAAGAATAGTAAGACTGAACGAATTCTTCTTCGGAAGTACTACCATCTGATGGCGGTTTCTATGTTTGTTCCAGCAGTTATCTTCCAGGTAGTTCAACAAGAAACAAAAGCTTTTTATCCTTTGGTTGGCGTTTTTCAGTCACGCTTGATCCTACATATCTATCAGTTCTTGCTTACATGCTCGGGTTACTTTATCAATTTTGTTCAGCCAAAGTTCCTTGATTTAGCTTTTGGGGCAGCCCTGGCAGTCTTCTTGACATTGGAGATTATTCGAGTGAGTTGATGGAATCTGCTATCCCTTTCCTACAGATAATATTGGTGTTGCTTTTGGGGTGACATCTTTCGTGTCAAAGGCCCTAGCTTAGTTCAATTCGCAGACCCAGCTTGACATGATTCTGACTTGAATGCTGAGATCTTAGTAATGATGTTTTTACTTGGCTGGTTTTGTTTGTGGTTGCCAGATATGGAGAATTTGGCCACTGGGGCAACTTGTTCACCAGTTTATGAATGCTTTCACTGACCATCGTGATTCTGAGCTCCTCATTGTCAGGCAAGGCCTCTTCTTTTGGGTCAATTATTATTATAACAGTATGATCGCTAATTAATTGCATCATTTTGTATTGCCTTCAAATTCTTCAGCCACTTCTCGCTCTTACTGGGATGTGCACTTCCAATTTGGCTGTCCTCTGGGTATAGTGATCGGCCCCTTGCTCCTTTTGCCGGAATTTTGAGCCTTGGCATTGGAGATACAATGGTGAGTGTATAATACCTGTTACTTGTTTCTACCATGTATGAGTTACCAAAAGAGAGAATTGAGTTTGAATAACTGTGAAGGCTGCTGCTTATTTATTGTCAACCAGCTTTGATACTGTTGCTACTCCTTCCGAGTTAAATACAATGTTGGCCATTTTATTGTGTTTCAGGCATCCATGGTTGGGCACAAATATGGTGTTCTGAGGTGGAGTAAAACTGGAAGTAAGTGTATTATTTTTCTTCACAACTAGAAGAAAGGCCATTGGGACTTATATTGCCCTTAGGCTGCCTGCATTCTGAGAAATAAACTCGAAAGTTACCTTGCTAACTTGGACGTACTTTTTGCTAGAGAAAACTATTGAAGGCACTGCAGCTGGCATAACTTCTGTTTTGGCTGCTTGCTCGGTCTTGCTGCCTGTTCTAGCATCCGCTGGATATATCTTTACTCAGGTTTCTCCTCTTTGTCTCTCTCATCTTCAGGCGCGAGGTTCAGAATTATTGGTTTCCTCCATATGGTTAGCTTTAGGCACCTCCATAGATAAGCTACTGATGTTTTCTTCTATTCCTCGTGTTTTGCAGCACTGGCTCTATCTTTTTCTGGCGGTCACAGTGAGTGGGTTGCTGGAGGCCTATACAGCACAGCTTGACAATGCTTTCATACCTCTGGTTTTCTACAGCCTCCTCTGCCTGTAAAACTGCCACGCATTGAATTCGAATCTCCAGGCTCCCTTCCCACTGCTAATGATGGTCGAGATGTTCGATGTGGTGCGACGTACTTTATGCTCCAATACTTCTGACCAAGCCATAGATTAACGACTTAGCTAATACAACTAACCCATTTGATTAATCGGTTTGATTAACTGAACCAGAGGGAAAGATGACTCTGCAGTGCCTCATACTGAGTGTATAGGGAAATATAGAAGAACCCAGGAAGCTATATTGATCTTGTACTAGAGGGTGTTTGGCTTTTTTTTCTCATCCATCTCTTTCGTCCTGTAAATCCAGTTCCAATATACGAATACCATTTTGATACATATCTATCTACATTTACATTTTACAGCTGCAAATGAATGAATTGCTGATGGTGCATCGGCCACCTCCATGCACTCAACGCCTGACCCTTACTGTGTTCTTGGTCGATATTCGACGCTGTCGTGGGACCTTCTTCTTCTTCCTAGGTCACGTCAATTCAAGCTTCGTCAAACATCAGACACAGAAACTTATGCGCAAAGGTTCAACATAAAGAAGACAGCATATTCAACGAAGCCGATGCCAATGTACTGCACAAAGTGATTTTTTGCTGTGGAGTAGGGACGACTGCCGACTGGTAGAGAGAGGCCACATGTAGTATAGAGATATTTTCGCCGGGGAGCCAACCAAACACCATTCATCGTAGTCGCTAACGCTGTACATCAAATTCAACACATAAAATAAAACATAGAATTGTTTGGCAGATACTATCATAAACCAGTTGGTCCCTATAACTCGAGTTGTTAGGAGAAGGTTCTGCTAGATCTTATATCACTCTCTAACACGCCCCCTCAAATGAAAGCCAACCCATGTGCTTGAAGTTTGTATAGGAGAAGGTTCTGCTAGATCTTATATCACTCTCTAACACGCCCCCTCAAATGAAAGCCAACTCATGTGCTTAAAGTTTGCACAGGCCCATCATACCATGTGCTTTAATCAACTGTTAAATTTGGGTAGGGGTGGGCAACGGGACAGGACGGGATACCCGTCCCGTTTTAAACGGGTACTTAGTCCCATTTGGAGACCAAAGTCCATCCCATATCCCAAACTCATATGGGAAACGGGTACCCATTACCCGTACAGGACGGATAACGGGTACCCATACTACCGATAAATACCTAAAGTTTAAATGACATTTTACCTAAAGACAATTAGTCAATTACATCCAAAGCATTCATTTCAAAACACAAAATGGCTGCACAAGTAGCAACTTACACCAATTCCTACAACCCAAAGAAGGGATGATGATGAAGATGAAAAGGAATCAAGGAAGGGGAAATGACCAAATAATAAAACCCAGAAAGAGAACAAGTTCTGCTTCCTGGAAAGTGCCATGATTCAGTAATAATAATAATAACAAGTTCTGCTTACTGGAAAGTGCCATGATTCAGTAATAATAATAATGTTGTTTCTACGCAAATCAATCCTCAGTTTGGCAAAATAGGGTGGGGAAGGTGGTGAATTTTGCAGCAGCAAGCAAGGGTGCGTCAGCGTCTCAACTCTCACGGGCTGAATTAAATGGATTTTGTAATTTTAATGGATTTTGAATTGGGTTGGGCCTGGGCGCATGGGCTGAATTATATGTCTTTGTAATTTGAATGGATACAACGGGTACCCATATTAGGATTGTACAATCCCAAGTCTCATCCGTTTAAAATATTACGGGTAATATGGGTACCCGTAACCCTTAAAAAACGGGACGGGTACGGGTATACCCAAATACCCGTTTCCCGTTGCCCACCCCTAATATTGGGGGTCGTGGAGATTCGAACACATAATCACTTGGTCAAACCAGCTCTGATATCATGTCCATATCAAGAACCAGTTGATCCCAATAACTCGAATTGTTGAGAGAAGGTTCTGCTGAATCTTAAACCACTCTTTAACAGATACTAGAGAGAAGAAGACCTGTCTCCTTCTCCCTCCCATCTTTCGTTGGAGGTTCATATTGTTAGACTGTAGTAGTATAACTGTGCAAGTGAGAAGAGAAGAGAAGAGAAGAGAAGAGAAGAGGGGGCTAAAACGTTTATCATATTTTGCAGGAAATTAAGAAGCAGAACCACGTGCAGGATCCTGCTATTTTGGGTGGGATACTCACGATTTTAGCCTCTTGAATTTGTCAAGATGGTGTGGTGGCAAGGGTACAAATGGTCTATTGGGTTTGGTCGATCTGTTCTTTTTGTTTTTGTTTTGATGATGACCTGGTTTGTCAATCTGCTGCTCGTCAACTTGGTTATACTCTCTCTGACCGAACCGACTCGAACCACCATGAGTCGAGATTCACTCTATATAGTGGTCACAAACCCTCAACAAATCGCCAACCCAGACAAACGGGCATAAACATTTCTCTTTTCATAACTAGATCCTGACTTTTGGATCAATCTTATGGTTCGGATGAAAGAACATCTTTTTTTAAATTTTTTGGCTTTTTAGTCGGTTTATATCGTCTTTCATTTAACTCGGATTTTAGCTCTTTTTTTTTTGCATAAATAAAATCTCAAAATATATCAAAATGTATATCATTGTGTGGTAGGACTATTATGTGTGTAACAATGCACCTCATGCATCCCACGTAACACATATTTTATGTGGGATTTAGGATGTTTATCGTGCAGAGCGTAGGATTATTATATATCAAGGTTGTCAACTCGGTTTAGCATGTTGGCTTGGTTGAGCAAGTGAGTTGAGGGTTAATGGTCCAACTACTTTAATCCGGATAAATGAAGAAGTCATTATAATATTATTCATATATTTATTATCAAATCTCGTTTAATATATGAGTAATAACATATATAACATTACACCAAGATAACAGATCGTACTTGGATCCAACATATGATACAATTCAGTAATTCACGCACACTTATATAACATCAACATTCAAATGTTTAACTTAGAATTCCAAAGATATATAGGGTTAGTCGAACAGGAAAACCGAAAAAGAGACGCATATCGCATATCCGTTAACGAACATTACCTAGTCATCATCTTTGTGCAATAGATGACTACTTCACCGATGTATAAAATCATTTTCCGAGGGAACAGTTCCTAGTAGTGATGGCAATGGGGCGGGGCGGGGCGGGTACCTCAATTCCCATGCCCTGCCCCACGCTACTACGGGTCGGGGCGGGTAAAACCCGCGCGGGTACAGGGCGGGGCGGGTCGACCTACTCTTACGTGTTGTTCAAAAAAAAAAATACAAGTAAATTTTACTTTTTACAATAAAACGTGGGGAAAAACACTTTAAGAATGAAAAATATTGATAATAGAATGGATAATTGAGCCTAACAAGTTGAAAGATCGACTCTAACTAGTTGAAGAAAGTCAAAATAGGAGAAATATGTATAGATATTATAAGAAATTGAGATAAATGAGTCTAGAACGGGGCGGGACGGGGCAGAAAGGGTAGGAAGTAGATACTCATACCCGCCCCAACGCAGATCAGATCGGATAATACCCGCGGGACGGATTGAAATTGTCATCTTCCTAGTGCAAAAAATGAAACGTAATTTCATCCGTACCAACATCGGGCATTAAGAAGTTAAACACAGAGGAAGAAGTGTTTCTTAAAATAACACCGGCCGCCAGCCTGCCCTTGTTTATTCCGGCACCTCGCCTAGGGCCTATCTATTTCCTCCTTTTCCGGCTGCTCTGATCCTTTAATTTCATCACTTTCAGACTCTGATTCTTTTATCCCTTTCCAGCGTGTAATAATTCGTCCACAGCGATAATCCTAAACTCTTAATTAAGCCTAATTAAATAACGCAACACAGACTAAGCAGACAACTATATACAACTAATTAATTACCTTTCCATACATTTTATATGCACATTATGCGTAATTAAGAACCCAAATCAGAATATTTGATTTTTGATGTGGAGGCTCAAGTCGTGCAGAGCGATGGTTAGTATTACGAAGCTGCTGCGGCGGCGGCAGCGTAGTGGGTCGAGGTTCCGGCGGCTGCAGAGGGGCGGCGGCGTGCCGGGGGACGTGAAGAAGGGACATTTCGCGGTGGAGGTGAAGAATAGTAACGGCGGCGACGAAGTGACGACGACGACGACGGCGAGGAGAGTTGTGGTTCCACTGCGGTGTTTGAGGAATCCCCAGTTTGTGAAGATGATGGATCAAGCCGCCGGCGAGTACGGGTTCCGGTGTCAAGGTACCGTCACGGTTTGCTGCCGGCCGGCCGATTTGGAAGCGGTTTTGGCTTTCTGCTTACGTTGATGATGATCCTATATATCTCAAGGTGGCTTTATCTAATTTTCATTTTTTCTCTTGTCCTCATTGAGGAATTCGTTTTTGGATACGTACATCTAATGATTTGATGATCAGTAGAATAAAACCACGAGAATTTGAATGTCGTTCTTTCTTAATTATAAATGATCATAAGTGATCGTTTCATTGTATTTGATCTAATATTGAATGTTATCCTACTATATATTCTCTTTTCATCCCCGTGATCTAAATCCAATTCACAGCTAACTTTGTGCCGGAGTTTGACATTTGAAAATGAAAGTTGGTTGGGGTTGCATCTGTGTGTGCTGGTTCGTGCTAGCGTCGACGACATGACGACACAGTCATTTTCAGACTCGTTTATCTCGTATTGTGCTTAGCACGGCTCATTTTTTGAGTTTCATGTTGTATCGTACTAGTTCAATTTAATAAAATTTGATAGATTTGGTGCGTAACGAAGGAAGGAAAGAAAAGTGAAAAAGAAAAAAAGGAGAAAAATTCTAAGGGGAAACGAAAGTATCAATTGACATGACTGAGAAAAAGGTAACAAATAAGATGTATAAGATAATTGGCATTATAGTAGAAGTAGTAATTTGGTCGTCACATGTGTGTAATTTTTTTGAGTATTTTTTATTTATGATCGTAATTAGATTTAATATTTTTATGAGCATGTCAGAAAAAATATTTTGAGTATAGTTATATTTTGTATTTCTTGAACTCGTAATTCTATTTATACTTATTTTCTATAAAAAAAATTATCTTTCTTCTGTCATGTTGGGCCTATAAATGTTTCTCAAAAATATTAGGCAGGATCTGTGTTGATACAATTTAGATCTGACACGACCCATAGTTTCTGGCTATGTACCTATGATCGATTTTATGGATTGGATAGGCATGAGAAAGCAAGGATATGAAGACTGAAGTTATCTATGTATATACATATAGGTGGTCAATTATTGCTGCATCATAAATCTACTAGCTAGCTTCTCCTACTTCATCTTCGAAGGTGGTTAGTTATTTCATTGCAGGAAATGTTATATCAATTTGTGCATTGAAAACCGGCGGTGAGCAAATATATTGAATTTGTTACTGCCGGTTTTTGTTCCTACATAAGCAAATATATTGATCAAACCACTGGCTGAAAGCTAAAAAAGCCTCTCTCTTACTTTACCTTTCGGCTTTCACTCTCCCTTCTCTCTAAAGCAAGCCTCTAGTCTCCAGCCTTCCATGGCTGCCGCCGGCTCCCTCTGGTGACCGGCGGCAGCCCAAGTGCTCTCATTTACTTTGTTTTTCTTGCTTTCCATGCTTTTTACATTTTTTTGTCTCTCAGTTTTCTTGCTTTTCTCCAGCCGTTTGGCATTCCAACTGTTGTGGCTTTTCAGATCTAGGATTTTCCAGTATCAAGGCTTGCTCTTTTGGGGATATGGAGTTTGCAGCTAGGGAGGCTTTATGGCAGCGTGTGATGGTTGTTCTTCCAGGCTGGTGGTCTCATCTCCTAGGTGAAGCCATTCTCATATTTCCCCTTCCGGCCTCCCCAGGTTGATGTTGGTGCTTGGAGCGTCGTTGGATCGTAGAGGGCTGAGTCTTCTCCGGTTGTTGCGGTGGGAATCGGTTCTTTTGTGGCGGTTTGTGGATTTTCCAGGAAGCTCGGCTCCCATTTGAACATGACCCTGCTGTTTGGGCCCTCTGCCTTCTCAGCTTGGAGCAATCAGTTTCACAGCCTCGCGTTGAGATTCACTGTGATGGATGTCTTGAACAATCCCCAGGAGACGACTTATGGCATTGCTTGTCCAATCGCCATGGATCTCGCTATGATCTGACAAGGTGTTTTGATCTTTTTGCCCTTGGTTTGGTAGGAAGAGAGAGGGTTTATGAAAGTTATGTGTTTGTTTTAAGAGCTAGGCTGGTTGTTGTGTGATGTCAATCTATGCCTTGTTTTTCTCTGCTGTATTTTCCCAGGCATAGTTTGATATCAACCTGTGTTCCCTTGTTGCCTTGATCTTGGTTTGAATCTGGGTTTTTGTTCCCTCTCTGTAACCTTTCATTCAAAGAGCAATAAAGATCCCTTTGTAAACAAAAAAATATTGATGGATACTAATTTTCTCTTCTGAATATAGTCATGATAGAATTTTTAATGATTTGTCAAATAATCACCTCGTATACATTTGGATAGTGAGTTGAAGGTTAATGGTCTGGCCGCTCTAGTCCGGATATATGAAAAATGTCATTATATTATTCATATATGTATAAATTGTATCAAATCTCATCTAACATATGAGTAATAGCATATAACAATACACTATAATAACATATCGTTACTTGGATCCAACATATAGTGAAAATTCACACACACACTTATATAACATCAATATCCGAGTGTTCAACTTAGAATTCCAAAAATAGGCTCATAATGAGTGAAATCCAAAATAAGAGACGCACAATTTGCAAAGCAAAGGAAAAAAACGACGCCGTGTGACCTCTAACCCCCGGATAACCTCTAAAACGGGTCGACCCTCGGGATATGTGCCCCGGTTTTCTCACCGAATCATAGCTAAACCGATCAATCGGCGAGTCTAGCCGCAGGTTATGTTGGATCTTATAGCACTCTCTAACACGCCTCCTCAAACGAAAGCCAACCCATGAGCTTGAAGTTTGCACAGGCCCACCATACCATGTGCTTTAATCAACTGTTAATATTGGGGGTCGTGGAGATCCGAACACACGACCACTTGGCCAAACCAGCTCTGATACCATGTCATAAACTAGTTGGTCCCAATAACTCGAGTTGTTTGGAGAAGGTTATGTTGTATCGCGGTAACTAGCCCCTAGATTTTGACTTTAATTTTCTTTTATCTGATCGAATATCCGGCATGCGATCATGTTTATAGATGACACAGAGGAAGAAGGAATTAAGGATTTCTAATTAAGAACACCGGCCGGCCCTGCCCTTGTTTTTTTCTGGCACCTCGGCTAGCTATTAATTACTCCTTCGGCGGCTACTCTGATTCCTTAATTTCACTTTCGGACGGTGATTCTTTTATCCCTTTCCAGCTCGTAATAATTCGTCCACAACGATAATCCTAATTAGCTCTTGATTAAAGCCTAATTAAATAACGTAACAATTATATATATACAACTAATTACCTTCCTACCTATATATGCATAAGAAGCTACTAACCAGAATTTGATTTAATGTTGTTTCACTACACCTAAAATAAATGTGGAGGCTCAAGTTGTGGAGGGCGTTGCTTAACATTAACAAGCTGCTGCGGCGGCGGCGGCGGTTGAGTGGCGGCGTGCCGGGGGACATGAAGAAGGGACATTTCGCTGTGGAGGTGAAGAATAGTAACGGCGGCGACGAAGTGACGACGACGACGAGAGTTGTGGTTCCGCTGCGCTGTTTGAAGAATCCCCAGTTTGTGAGGCTGTTGGATCAAGCCGCCGACGAGTACGGTTTTCGGTGTCGAGGTACCGTCACCGTCTGCTGCCGGCCGGCCGACCTAGAAAGGGTCTTGGCTTTCTGCTGACGTTGATGACGATCGCTTTATCTAATTTTCATTTTTTCCCCCTTGTCCCCATTGAGGAATTCGTTTTGGATAACACCACCAGAAATTGAATGTTCTTTTTGGAAAAGGATTTTAGTTGTAGTTCTTAAGAAGTTAAGAAGCTATGTGTAATAAAAAAAATCTTATGACTTTCGGATTGACGAGTATAAAGTTATGGCCTTCCAAAGTTTGACAAAATTAAAAAAATTAGTTTAGGGTAGTAAACGACATTTTGTTGGGATGAAGAACTGTTGCAGATTGAAAGATCTTGAAAAGTTATGCAGAATCAAAACAAAATTCGCTACGATCGGACAACCGAGCACAAAGTTACGTTAGTTTGAAGTTTCAGTCTTGGGTCAGGCCTTCGCCGCGGCCGACAAACGTGATGAAGCCTTCACCGAGGCGATCAACCGCGATGATGCATTCACCGCGATTGACTGCCATGCCGATGCTCAAACATGTGTAAATTGAATTTTTTTCCTCCATAAAACGTGTGTATTTTGAGATTTCCCCCCCTATTCGATAACCTTATTACTTCTCTCTCTTTGAACACTTTGGTCTATCTGCATGCCAATGATTCCCCAGGCAGGCACCATGTTAGCCAGGCAAGATTGTTCTTTTGAGACACACCCGATCAGATCGCCATTAATGCATTTGAATGGATCTTATGAAATTGGCCTGTGATTGATACGCAACAATGGCCTGAATGCCAGTCTTATTGTGTGAGAGCTAGAGCGATCGATGTAATACGCAAGTTGCCGAAAACAAAATATCTGATGCAATATCCACCGGCCCAACACGACACACAAACAGAAAGATTGATCCTTATCCAATCCCAAGTCAAGGATTTGCACTTTTTGCACTTTCTGGTGCACTTTTTTTTGGCAGAGATGGGTCGATGTATACTAGCTACTAGCTGGCGATGTCAATGGCGTGGGTGCCGGCTTAGATTGGAACAGTTCATGTCAAACCAGTTGTTCAGTTTCATGCATAGACGGCCTAATTGCAGGCAGCATATATGTGAATGCTGTGCGTATAATTAAGCAGGTTCGAGAAAAAAACAAGTGATTTGATTGAACAGAAACAAACGAATCCGATGATGATCAGGAAGATGATGAAGCGTAATCAAATCTCAATTGCTCTACAAGACCTAGAAGTTTTTTTTTTTTTATATAGTAAATGTTGATTCCTTACCGTCATGCATGGTCGTTTAACATGTTTGAATGTGTTACATACTCGATCTATATATGTGCTATTGACGAGCAAGTATCCTCCCTTTTCTCCCCCTTGTATATATCTCCTTTATTGGCGAATTCCTTACTGGGTTGTTATATTCTCCGTCTCTATTGGACCCAACATTGCATTCCAAAATCGGGTCTACATTTGCTTATTGCCACTTCACCAATTCCAAATCTAGTTTTCAACAAAACCATCTGTAACGGTTATCGATGTAATTGTACCAAAAAATAATCACAGGAACTAGTTTGTAGTCGGCTATGTAAAATAATGGCCGTTAATAGACTTCAGCAATGAGATACATGAATAATAGAAATGAATTTTTGCCAACGTTGAGTGGGCATAAGAGTATCGAATATGTGGCTAATATACCTGAACAATGGAGCTCTCTTGCAAATGAAAATATCTTTAGGGAACAGAGTGATGACTGATTAGACCATAACAAGGTTGGCTGGGCTAAATATGGTCCAACTTAATCGGACAAAAATCAGGAACTAGTATAAGGAAGAAGATGGTGAACATCACAAAGCCTCTACCACCTTCACGTAGAAACACCCATTTTCTTAAGGAACTCATATAACAAGTGGGGGGAGAGAGGACCCGCGATAGCACGCGACTTGATCAAACCAACTTACAATACTATGTCATAAACAGTTCGAAACAAAAAAGTAAAACGCATGAAGTGCGATATTATTTTGAGATCACCCGCGCGTACTAGCAGCGTACACAAAGAAAACAACATCATTCATTGTAATCCACACAATAAAAACATGGTGATGCAGATAAATATGCATCACTCACACTACATATATCAACCCTACACAGCACTGTAGTACACACTTAATATACTACTCACAGCGAGACGTGTTTGAACACTAGCTAGAGATCGAAAATCGATCACGACCGACCCACAGCCGCAGCCGCAGCAAGCAATAAATTACATAATGAGTTTCTTCGCAACCACGATCATCGACAGAGAAATGACGATGAGAGTAAAAGGGACGTCTCATATTCATATATACGGCCATACTCACTGAATCACATGCACTGGTCTCTCTCTCTCTATCTCTCGCTAACTCCAGAAAGAAGAGCGAAGAAAAATAAAACACAGAGCCAAAATGACAACAAAACTGCCGCTTGTCTAGTCTTTTCATCGACCACCCACCTCTCTTCCCCTTTCACGCGCCAAACGTACGTACAGTTTCCTCATATATCACAGTCCTACATAAACCAACACGTCTTTCGAAACCCTATAAATACCCATTCGCTAACTAACACACACACCAACTTATACTCCACGAGAAGAGAAGAGAAACAAAAGTCAGAGGAAAGTTAACAACAATGGCGGCGAGCAGCAAGAGAGGGATAGTGAAAGTGGCGAGGAAGCTGCAGAAGGCGCTGGGGAAGAAGGAGGCGTTGGTGGCCTCGGACGTGAAAGAAGGGCACTTCGTGGTGCTGGCGGTGGGAGGAGGAGTGGAGGAGCCTCGGAGGTTCGTCGTGCCGTTGACCTGTTTGACCCACCCAACGTTCCTGAGGCTGCTGGAAGAGGCGGCGGAGGAGTACGGGCTCGACGGCCGCGGCGGTGCCTTGACCGTGCCCTGTCGGCCGGAGGAGATGGAGCGGATTCTGGCGGAGCAGTACTGGGAGGAAACGACGTCGTCGTCGAGTTTGGCCAGGCGGGGTAGAAATGGTGGTGGTAGTAGGGATAGTAATTGGGGGTCTTCTTCTTGTAAGACTATGGTTCAGAGCTTCTAATCATGAATGAAAGCTCTCCGTTTTGATTAGTTAATTAATTAATTAATTAATTATCGATATTAATTAAACAATCAACCGCCGTGCCGCTGCTTCTGATTTTTTTTCCCCGTTGAATGGTTGGTTTGCAAACTAGAGTTCAAATAGTTGATTTTGGCCTACTAGTAATGCCACTAGCCTAGAACCTGAACGTCTCATATTCGAATTCATTAAGTAGTACCTTAATGACAATAAAATGAAACCTATATCACCATTATCAAAAATAAATTAATAATAATTAATTATCGATATTAATTAAACAGTCAACCGCAGTACCGCTGCTTCTGATTTTGGTTAAATGGTTGGTTTGCAAAACTAGAGGATCATGATCTAAATATTATTTTAGCTTGAACAAAATTAATTAAGTTCACTTGTTTAATTAATTAGGGTTCATTAGCGCAGAGAGGGGGGGGGGGGGGGGAACATTGTGCACCATAAAATTTGTGACTACAGATTGTATGAAAGTCACGGTAAGATACATCTCATCATTTGCGAATAAAAGTTAAAATTTTCAAGAAATGCAACTAATTGTTTATTCAAATTCACTAAACTGTGTTTAGAATTAAATGCAAGCTACATGTTTAGGAATAAATCATTTTACATTTGGGTTAATATTTTCGTATGGCCTGAACTTTGACCAATATAAACATCCTGGCCAATCTTTTCGATCTATAACATCCTGGCCCGAACTATACACCAAAATAAACAATTTGGCCAAACCCGATGTTTGACCGTTCACTTGGACGGTCAAACGCGTTGACTAACGGTCAACGCCCACGTCACTGCCAAGTCAGAAGATCTGATAAAGATTTAATTTTTTTTGTTTTTTATTTTTGGTTTAACTATGGTATTAGATGATTTTTTTTAATTTATAATAATTTAAAATTAGGGAATGTGTGGAAATTGTGAATTATTTTAAATATTTTATGCTAACTTGGCAGTGACATGGTGCATTGACTAACGGTCAACGCGTTTGACCGTCCAAGTTAACGATCAAAAGTCGGATCTGGCCAAATTGTTTATTTTGGTGTATAGTTCGGACCAGGATGTTATAGATCGAAAAGATTGGCCAGGATGTTTATTTTGGTCAAAGTTCAGGCCATACGAAAATATTAACCCTTGTTTGTTTGAATGAATTTTCTTTTGGTTGGTTTCGTATTGAGTAGACTAAAAGGTTTGGAAGTTTTTTTTTTTTAAGACAGATGCTAATGCATCCTAATTCGTATTTAATTAAACAACCATGAGTTTTTGTCAACTTACACCATGTGAGAGCAAAAAATTGAAGTTTGGATGGTCTACATTCATGCCTTTTACAAAATTACAAGTACAAAAATTGATCACAAAGTTGCTCTCTATATACACATGTGAAATTTTTGACCTCCAATCTTTATTCAAAGTAGTTTGCTCATTGCTGAGCTGGAAGCTTGCTTCAATCAAAGTGTAAAATCAATTTGTGAGGTAAAATTAAAGCCACAATTTGGGCCGAACTTGATGTCAAGGTTAAGCCTCCATTGGGCCACATACCGAATGGGTTTGGATCATACTCGTTAGACAAGCCCAAGCCTTTTCGGCTAGACTTCTTTTCCCCGTCTGAAACTGACATTCCAGTATTCCACAGCAAAAGAGGGGCAAAATTGACCCTCCGAGAAACGAATCGAGCAATCGCCGATCTTTACCACCCCCATCGCCGTTGCCGCGGCGATAATCGGTAACGTCCAGACCTCGAGAGAGGCAGAGAAAGAAGATTCCGAGTTCCGACTGCTTCGCTGGATCCCGGCAACGCATTGTTGGTCGAGCTACTGCTACTTGTTCCTCTTCTAGGTAAGTTCTTTGAGGAATTCATCTCCCAGTTTCCTGCCGTGTTTTCTTTTTTGTTCAATGAATGAAGTGCTCGCACTCAGCAGTTTTGCAAGCTTATCAACCATTTTTTGTGCTCGCACAGTTGCACTAATATGGGTACAAGCTTGATTTTGGGTAGGGTGAGCTGGAACGGGTGAATGGCTTCATCTAAAGAGAACGAGATGGAACCGGTTGCTTCATCTTCGTAAGCATTCTATTCTTCTTTCTTAATTGTCCTCCGTTTCCAAATGCCATAGTCCATCAACCCCATATGGCATATCTGGTCCCCTTTCATTTTCTTATGATGTCCCATTTATGCCTGATTGAAGGAAGGGGTGAAATGGGCAGTGCTTTTAGCTCATGATCGAATTGGTTATTGGTTGTCATTTCATGCTTGTGCATTGCTACCAAAAATAGTTTATCTGTCTCCTACCTCAAGTCCTTATTGTGATGGCCCCCTAAAAAAAGCCCTTCTTGTGATGGAGTTTCTTTATAGTAGTAGTATTGTTCTGTTGGCTTGCTGGAGGCTTTTCTGGCTTTCGTTCATTGTGCTGCTTTCGAAATCCTTTACAGGGATAAGAATGTGTACAAGGATCCAGATGATGGTCGACAGCGCTTTCTTCTCGAATTGGAGTTCATGCAATGTCTTGCTAATCCAACTTACATCCATTGTAAGCTGATCGAAATTCTTGGTTTCTTATGCAACTGTTCCAATTAATGGTGTCAGTTAACAGAAAAATTCTGAAATTTTATACTCTTGGTTCAGCAAACCTCGCATGAAGCGGTGCATCTTCATAGTTATGAAAAAAAAATTATTTGCAGTGTCTCTTTCCTAGATTATTGTAGTTTGTGTATCATTGGTTTCTGAACAGCAACCTTCTATATGATACTCATACTATAATTACATGGCAGGATTTGAATGCTGAGGTAGTAAGACATAAAATCTGATGGAACCACTTCGAATTGTTTTGTGTTTCTTAGGTAGCTTGCTAATGGCGCTTGTTCTTGTAGTTGTCGGTTAATTCTGAATATTTAGGCTATTCCTCTATACTTATAGTCATCTGTTTCTGTAAATCTTTCAGCAAATTGTACTTGAATCATGAAATTATCTTGCTCTTTTCTTTGAAAATTTTCAACCATCTTCCTCTCATCTGGTACTTGGTTTTCTGGCAAATGTAGACTTAGCTCAGAACCGCTATTTTGAAGATGAGGCCTTCATTGGCTACTTGAAATACCTCCAGTATTGGCAACGGCCAGAGTACATTAAGTTCATAATGTAAGTATATGACGTAGGGTTCCTAATTGAATGGCAAAGTTACTTCTTCTTTCGTGGTTTAGATTATCATAATTCACCACCCTAGCATGATTGCAGGTATCCTCACTGTTTATATTTTCTAGAACTTCTCCAAAATGTAAACTTCCGCAATGCAATGGCACACCCAGGCAACAAGGTTAATACCCTCATAGACCTTTACCACACGCTTTAGCCTGCTTTTATTCTCAACCTTATCATTTTCCTCTTCAAATCTGTGTTTTCCTGGATGTTTGTTAATTTACTCATTGAAACTTGAAAACTTTGTAGGAGTTGGCGCACAGGCAGCAATTTTTCTATTGGAAAAACTATAGGAACAATCGATTGAGGCACATATTGCCAAGGCCCCTTCCTGAACCTGTTGCTGAGGCAACTCCTGCTGCTGCTCCCCCTCTGCCACCTCCACCTGCAGTCCCGAGTGGACTCCCTGCTCCACCAATGGGAATGCCACCAGCTCCTCCCCCTGCCTCCACGCATTCCCCCATGCCGTATGGCATGAACCCTGGGAGAAATGACATGAGGAATGCGGGTATGGATCGAAGAAAGAGAAAGTAAGTGAAGCGACCCAATAACGGACATAGTTTCATTTTCATTATTCAAAGATAGAAAACATGAACTGTATATCTGATGAAGATACTGCTGGCGTTTGGTTCCTGCAGGAAAGACGGTTAATGTGAATGGTCCACATTATCTCATGAACGCAGCGAGAAAACCACGCTGCTGCTAGATACATGCCCAAAAAACGCAGCCAGTCAAGTATTATATATCTCGTTGTTCTGCAGCCCTTTCATCTCGAGAATGAACTGAAATGCATGAGGGATAGTTCGCTGCCCATAGGTTTGGTACTGTCTATTTCTAGTTCATGTTTTGATGTTATCTGGAATGTAATAAGACCTTCCCGATCAAGCATATTTTTCCTTGAGCGATGAATTGAGATCTTCCTGTTGCCAGCAGGCAGCAGGTTACTATTTTGCTTTTGAGCTATAGCTATATGTTGCCACTTTTTTTTTTTTTTTTTGTCATTCAACCGATCTCAAAAGAGATGGAGATAAGATCCAAACAAAGTCAATTACAAACTACGCAATCAGGACACATAGTCGAACCTCGACAAGAGCCGAGGCGACAAATTCAGAGATTTCTTGGCCACTAAATGAGCCTCCCTGTTCTTCTGACGACCTATGAAACGCAGATCACAAGTACCCTCCAAACCCGCCAATAAAGCTTTGATATCACGCAAAATTGCGCCAATAAAGCTATATGTTGCCACTTTCCCTGAACAATTCATTAAAAGCCCAAACAAGACCCAAAAAGCCTACATCAACGTCCAAACTGAATAAGTTGAACTCGGGCTTCTATTTCAAATTTGGGCCGAGTTTCCTGATGGTCTGGGCCGAGTATATCCACAGTCTGGTTCCCCTTTTCCAATTCAATTTCGCTATTTCCCCTCCGTTTCTCTCCCTCCGAGGCCAGAACTGTTCAAATCCCTAAAATCCGATGAACTGAACTCTGCAACGTTCCTCCGACCAAATGTTCATCGTTTCTCCGTCACCTTCAGTCTTACAGCTTCAGAGTTCAGCGAATCCGGCTTTCCGACTGTGAGGAGTTTGTCGGCGGAGGCTATCAATTGTAACTCTATTGGTGCTTGGCACAGCGGTAAACAGTCTCTCGCCGCTGTAAATTTCGTGTTCTCGTTCTTTGTTACCTTCCGTTTTTCTAAACCTTTCCAGTTTCGAGATTTTAGGTGGGAATTGAATTGATCAGTAGTTGTTTCCAGTAGAACGCCACGAGCAACAACACCTGCAGCTGCCAGTTGGGGAGAAATGGGATAAGGCGCATTGAGGAAGACAGGTTAAGCCACCTTCCAGAACCCATTATTTATCACATCCTTTCGTTTCTCGACACCAAATCCGCCGTTCAGACCTCTGTGCTGTCCCGCGTGTGGAGATGCGCTTGGAAATATGTCCCCGTCCTCGACTTTCGAAGTGATTCCTTCCAACTGTATTCTAGTTTTCAAACGTATTTGGACAAGGTTCTGTCCCTCCGCTATCCCTTCAGTCTCAGCAAGATGAGCTACACGGATTCTGCAGAGCAACTAGATTTTAGACTGTTTAGAAAGGTCGTCACCTATGCCTTATCTCATGATGCTCGACATTTAGTGGTCGACATGGACACGAGGAATGCGGATTATGAAGAGAGTTACAGCTTCTCCGGTATGTTTGGCACAATCTACAATTGCAGCCTCGAAACTCTGAAGATAAGAAGTGTCTGCATCGATGGTGGATTTGTGACATCCAGTTTTGGAATGCTGACAAGTTTAGTTTTGGAAGAATGCCAACTGATTTTCGACAAGGGTGTAGACTTCTTTGCTTGCTGCCCCTCCCTGAAGAATTTGGTCATGAGTTATTGCATCGACCATTTTTCCGGGGAAGAGAAGGGTCTCAAGGTATATGGACCCCAATTGCTCAGCCTGAACTTCGACAGTCCTGCATGTTTCGACATCGAATTAGTTGCACCAAGGCTTAGATTCTTCGGTGTTCATCATAGCTTGTACTACTACCAGAAGTTCTCCAAGTTAAGCGTTCCTGCCCTTGATCATGTTGAGATCTGGGTCGATGGTTTCGACGCTGTCAGGGAAGATGACAATGAATGGACAGCACAACGTTTCATCTCCTTGTTCCGAGATTTGAACAATGCAACGTCTCTGATGCTAGATTCCTACACCATCCAGGTAATCTTTGGTCGTAATCTGAGTGGTTCTTCCAGGAAATGTAGGAAAAAATCCAAAAATACCACTGTTCAAAAAAAAAAATTCCAAAAATACCACCCAACCCCAAAAATTTCCAAAAATACCACCCTTTTTCAAAAACCGCCACCCCACCCTGCGGTTTACACGAAAACCGTTTGTCGGATGCGCGGTTTTCTATGCAAACCGCGGGCCTAGGGAGCGGTTATAAAAAAAAAAATTTGACCAAACCGCTGGGTGGGGTGGCGGTTTGACCCAAAACCGCCACCCCACCCAGCGGTTTGGTCCAATTTTTTTTTTTTTTTCCGACCAACTCCTAACTTCGGCCGAAACTTCAAACGAACGTAACTTTTCACTCGGGTATCTGATCGTAGCGATTTTTTTTTTCATTTCGCATAACTTTTCAAGATCTATAACTTTTACTAGGATGAAATTTTCAAAACAGGAACTATTTGTAGATATACGGGACCTTGGGAATAACTTTACCTTTACTTTTCACAAATCCATGTATATTTTGAAATTATGATTATATTAAAAGTTGTAGATCTTGAAAAGTTATGTGGAATAAAAAAAAATCATGAAATTCGGATTTTGGAGCACAAAGTTATGGCCGCCTAAAGTTTGACGAAATCAAAAAAAGGCTCGTTCGGGGTGGCAAATGACGTTTTTTCGAGACGAAGGCGGGACCCGGCGATTTGTGGCTTGCAAGATCTCAAAAATTTATTCGGATTCAAAAAATGGAGGCCCCAAAGTTTGACGAAATGGAGGCCGCAAAGTTATTCGGATTCAAAAAATGGAGGCCCTAAAGTTTGACGAAATGCGAGACCCGGCAGTATGCGGCTTGCAAGATCTCAAAAAGTTTGCGGCCTCCATTTTTTGAATCCGAATAAATTTTTGAGATCTTGCAAGCCGCAAACCGCCGGGTCCCGCCTTCGTCTCGAAAAAACGTCATTTGCCACCCCGAACGAGCCTTTTTTTGATTTCGTCAAACTTTGGGCGGCCATATGTTTGTGCTCCAAAATCCGAATTTCATGAATATTTTTTTGATTCCACATAACTTTTCAAGATCTACAACTTTTAATATAATCATAATTTCAAAATATACATGAATTTGTGAAAAGTAAAGGTAAAGTTATTCCCAAGGTCCCGTATATCCACAAATAGTTCCAGTTTTGAAAATTTCATCCTTGTAAAAGTTGTAGATCTTGAAAAGTTGTGCGAAATGAAAAAAAAATCGCTACGATCGGATACCCGAGTGAAAAGTTACGTTCGTTTGAAGTTTCGGCCGAAGTTAGGAGTTGATCGAAAAAAAAAAAAATCGGACCAAACCGCTGGGTGGGGTGGCGGTTTGACCCAAAACCGCCACGGCGCCACCCCACCCAGCGGTTTGGTCAAATTTTTTTTTTTTTTATAACCGCCCCCTAGGCCCGCGGTTTGCATAGAAAACCGCGCCTCCGACAAACGGTTTTCGTGTAAACCGCAGGGTGGGGTGGCGGTTTTTGAAAAGGGTGGTATTTTTTGGGGTTGGGTGGTATTTTTGAAATTTTTTTTTTAAACAGTGGTACTTTTGGATTTTTTCCGGAAATGTATGAACTTATGTTTTGAGTTGGCATCTGTTCTGTGTAGGTAATGAGTGGTGTTTCTGAGTTTCTGGAACGACAACCCTCTCCTTTTAGGAGATTGAAGTCCTTAATGGTGAAGGCTGACAGTATACCTTTCAGACTAGCCAACTGTTTACTTAAAGGGTCTTCTTGTATGAACCCAAATGTTGAGTTTGTGCGTACATGTTACTTCATAATTTAGCAATTTTGGCATCGTTTCTGAATTCTGATCAAGGTACGCAAGGTTGTATTGCTTCCTTTTTATGCCATTTAGGGATATGTTGCAAGTTCATCCCGAGGATCAGTACCATTTGGTCCGTGTCGGACTTGTCTATTTTAGTTTGATATTTGACTTTAGTGTTGTAGACACGGAAGGGATCAATGCTTTTATTTTACAAATGCAAATTAAGCATTTGATATCCTTCTATAGCATCGACTTTCCACGTGGGAGTAAAAAGAAGCCCTTATGCATATGCTAATTATACATAAATTGATCTTGCTCGATCACAATATAAATGGGTTAATTGCAAGGATGGTCACTGGGTTTACTAAAATCATTCATGTTTGGTCACTGCAAATATTTAATTTCATTCATGGTCACTAAGATTAGTTCATTAGTTCAAGTTTGGTTACTCTCCGTTAGTCTCCGTTAGTTTTTGCTGATGTGGCAGTCAACAATTATAGTTGATCGTTAAATGAGTGACGTGACCATTAATAAAATAATAAAATTTAAATATTTACAATTTCCATCTCATTTTACAACTATTAAAAAATATAAATAACTTACCTCCGCAATCTACGCCACCGTGGCCATGACGCGATCGTCTCTGCCGCCGCTCCTTCCTCAACGCCGGCCTCGCTAAGCTCGGATCGACGACGCGAATTGTGCGGCTTCCGTAGGAGATTCGGCGGACGTGGTGCTTACAGGAGTGGAATTGCAAAGTGGGTTTGTCGTTCTCACAGGAGATCTCGTAGTCGGTGTCGCCGCAGCCTTGTGGGTCGGTGGTGAGGCGAAATGGGTAGGTGATGCTTGTTAGTTCGCCGCAGGAGGAATTGCAAGTCTGAGCGAGGAATCTGGGTTGAGTTGCTTGGGCTGTGACTGTGAGGAGGAAAAGCAGCAGAAGGAGGGGAAGTGTTGGGAGAAACGAGGTGTTTGGGGATCTTATCATCTTCTTGCTGGTTGCGTTGGCTAGCTTGTATTTTTTGGCTGCTATTTGCAGAACGGGTAGATGGCAATGACGCGATCATCTACGCTACCTCCGCCATGACGATCGTCTCCGCCGCCGCTCCTTCCTCACCATATGCATTAAGGGCAAAAATGAAGTGGGATGAAGCAAAGCGAGGCCGGCGTTGTGGAAGGAGCGGCTGTGGGGACGATCGCGTCATGGCCACGGTGGTGTCGATGGCGGAGGTAAGTTTTATTTGTATTTTTTAATAGTTGTAAAATGAGGTGGAAATTGTAAATATTTAAATTTTATTATTTTTTTAATGGCAAGTCACTCATTTTTAACGATCAACTATAATAGTTGACTGCCACATCAGCAAAAACTAACGGAGACTAACGGAGAGTGACCAAACTTGAACTAATGAACTAATCTTAGTGACCATGAATGAAATTAAATATTTGCAGTGATCAAACATGAACGGTTTTAGTAAACCCAGTGACCATCCTTGCAATTAACCCCAATATAAATGTACAAAAATGTAAAGCCAAAAAAACCCATTTGTGCTAAAAAAGTGCAAAAGATAGCATGCAAATCAAAAGAGAGAAAAATTATTATCATTGCCATTGCCAAGCAAAGGTAGAGATTTACTTTAAAGTAAAAACAAAACTTGCGAAAAGCTTTATCCCATTAATTTTTTAGACTCTCGAGTTGAGTTAATTGTACATGATTGGTGGAGCTTGCCCAAATTTTCTTTTACGAGATATGTACATCATTGATGTGGTTTAGCTCTCTAACTGCAAGAGTTGACCTTGTAAGGTATGTATGATCCACTACCTACAATCGGAATTTGAGTGTCACTGTCATCGTAGTCTAGTGAGTTGTATGATTTTGAGTTTGGTTTATTTGGAGACAAACAAAATTCAAGTGTATTGTTATTTGATGACATAAACTATACTAAAGAGCAGATTTGTTTCATCCCTATATCGAACATCAATTCCTATCTATTGATAGGAAGATCTTCGTCAAATGCCCGACTTTGCCTTTTTTTAGGATTTTAGTCCCATAAATATAGCATATTTTACATAACTTTCATATCTTTATTGCCTTGTTTGAAATTACAAGGAAAATTATATATCATATCCAAGTTAATTGAGATTAGGTTACCACTTACCAGGCTTTACTGCATATGGGCCAGGCTTCGGAAAAGATTAGGCCGAAAAGGAAATATGGCCCATAAAGCCTTTTGGGCTCGGCTCTCTTTCCTTCCCAGGCATCCCAGCAAATTCAATTCTCAGGAAAGGAAGATCAAAACCCCTTTGCATCTCTCTCCCAAATCCTAAAACCCTAGAATTTGGATATTGATGCTCGACAAAGGGAGAAGTGAACCTCATTCCCTCCTCAAATTCGACCGTGCAAGTACCCCCATCATCGTCGTTGCAGATTCCCGGCGGCCGGTCGCCCGTCGTCCGCACTTGAGAATTTTCCGACTCACAGCGCCTCTCGACTAAAGCCCTGCGAATCATCATCTCATTGAGGTACGAGTTCGACAAAAATTGGAATGCCCATTGGAGAATCGCTGAAAGCCAGGACCTTTTCTGAATTCTGATTGCCCCCCTGCTCTTCAGTTTCGATTGAACTCTCAGCTAAGTAGTCTTGTTATATTCCCTTAAAGTTTGTGATTAGAGATTCCCCTGTTTCGATAACTGTTGTGAAATGATCATCGGCGCTGAGCTAAATTTAGGTACACTATAGGTTTGGGTTTGAATCTAGCTGGCTGAATTCCTTGTTGGTTGTTGATCAGTGGCAGGATTCGTATGTGTCATTGAACCATGACGGTGTTGAAGAGATACGTGCTAAGGCTGTTCATATCACTGAAGTACATCACAGCCAACGTGGTGGACAGAAACAACGGGAGGATAGTAGCAACAGCGTCTACCGTCGAGCATTCACTCAAGAAGACACTCGAATGCGGCCGATCGTGCAATGCCAAAGCAGCAACGGTCGTCGGAGAGGTTTTAGCCATGCGGCTGAAGGTGGAAGGACTAGAACACGGACTTGGGAGAGGAATTCATACCAACATAAACAAAGAGATTCAGAAGAAGGGTTTCAAGAATCGTACCAAGGTTTGGGCTGTCATTAATGGTCTCAGGAACAACGGTGTTAAGCTCAATATCGATGACAATGTTAATGATGGCTCGTCCCCGCCAGATTCCTGATGGGGAGAGGAGGAGTTCTCTTGTATTTTGTTTTGGTGGTGGGTGTTTCCTCCTGTTCTGCTGTTTGTTTAGTTGTTTCGTTGCCGGATTCCATCAGCAAAGCAATGGTCTTGGCAAAGAAGGGTGAAAAGGTTGCTGATTTAACCTTATTCTCCAGCCACAAGTTGTCTCTTTATTCTTTCCAAAGCTGTAAATTCAATGTTCTGTAACTTTTACCGACTCATGAGAGAGCTGGAACTAAAGAAAAGGAAAGTGAGCCATTATTGCAGCAGAAAAGGCTTGAGGTTCCTTCTCCTGGTGCCGTGCGGTGCTGCTGTTGTAATCCATCTTTCACTCTCAGCTTTTGGTTTCATCTTTCACTCTCAGATGGTCGATATTGCATTGTCGATATTGCATTTTCGTGTTATAGTTATAGATCCAGATGAATAGATCCAAATGAATTAATTTGAATCAAACCTAATATCCACACGAGTCGTGACCAAGATTGTCAACCTGCGGGTCGACCCAATTTGACTCTGACCCGATGAGAAAAAACGGGTCACATGCACCCGTCGGGTCGACCGTTACAAGGTACCGGTTTGGAGGTCAAATTGTGTCATTTTTTTCTTTGGTTTGCGAAATGCGCTTATTTTTCAATTTTTCTTTCCGCCTAACTCAATCTTTGGAATTCTAAGTTGAACATTTGAATATTTATGTTATATTAGTGTGAATTTTCACTATATGTTGGATCTAAGTACGACATGTTATTTTGGTGGAATATTATATGTTATAACTCATATGTTAGATTATATTTGATATAATTTATCAGGATAAGTACAATATAATAACTCTTTTCATATTTCCGGGCTAAACCGGATAACCCATTAACCCTTGACTTACTAACTCGACCAGGTTCGAGTTAGTCTGTGGGTTGACAACCTTGGTCATGACAATTGGCTCTAGTTTAGATTCCTTCTCAATCTCTACTTTTTATTTATGTTTTCGTGGGTTGAATAATTATGAAAGGCCAGGCCCATCTCCACAAATAGGTGGGCATAAATTCGGGAAGAGTTGGTGGGCCTGCGGGGCCCGTAGCAGGTGAATTGTCGCTGTTGAGGACTTTACTGGTTAAGCGGGCCTCGTGCTGTGGCGCAGAGAAGGGCGGGTCACACCCATTGCTGCCACTGGACTTCCGACACTTGTCGCGCCGTCATTAGTTGCAACATCAATTCCCACGTGATTTGGACGCTTTCCCTCACGTGGACTTTTGTACCTTCCCCGAACAGGAAAAGAAAGAAAAGCGAGTACAATAATGTTTTTTTTTTTGAGAAAGTACAATAATGTTAGATACTGTTATGGTGACATGCAACCGTAACATGCATTTTTTGGTCGATTTATTTTTAATTGTGGTCGACCGAATACACTAATGTGTGCAATATGACGATTTATCACGATCGACTTTTAAAATGTAGTGGTCGATCGTTTTGAGTTAAGTTGTGAAATTATCGATCAACCACAATAAAACATGGGTCGCCCTTTTCATTGTAGTCTGAAGCAAATTGGTCGACCGTAAAGGTAACGAGGTTGACCAATTGATTGTGGTCATTACCAAAATGGTCGACCATTTACAGAAAAAGCTCGACCAGACAGAAGAGCAAAGTGCTCTATCCATTTATCCATCCTTTTTTGACGTGAAATGAAGATCGAGTGTTGGTCTCAAGAGCGACTGAATACAGTAAGAGGTCGACCGAATTAAGGAAATTTAGCGTATGGCCTTTGACTTTTTTGCGTATGTATGTCGATGTGGGTGGTTCGTTTGATCGTTCAAATTACGTTTGATAGCCATTGGAATCAGTCTTATATCATTATAGCAAGGACCTATAACTTCTTAACATAACAGTATAACACACTAACAAGAAATATAATAACACACACTTCATAATTGTTCACATAAAACACACCTCATGAAATCGAAAACCACATAACAACAAAAAAACACAAAGCTAAACTCATGGAGTTCCTACATCTCTCCACTCTCTGAAGCAACAAATCAGGTCGACCTAATCCGATATTAGGTCGACCAAAAAATGCATGTTACGGTAACATACATGTCACCATAGCAAAGTCCTAAAAGTTAATATGATATGCATGCTAATTTTGATCAAACTAGTCTATATATGTTTTAGGGTGGGTAATATTTGTTCTATAGGTGGACGGGAATAACTTTTTTATTGATTTAATTTGTACGGATTTGTTTATTTTTTTTACTGATATGTAATTTTAGTCAAATTACTTACAACTTTATTTTAAGTAACGGTCTCAGGCAATGTAGTAAAAAATGAGTTTCTACGTAGAAACGTTTTGGTGATCTAGAAGTTTAAAATCGCAAGTTTTTAAGTTTTAATGCGGAGTTTTTAACTACATAATCTATAAAACTAGGATTTTGTGTAGAAGCGTTTTAGTGATCTAGAAACGTAAAATCGTAAGTTTTTAAGTTTTAAAACGCGATTTTGACAACATTGGTCTCAGGAACAACGGTCTTAAACTCAATATCGATCTCAATTTTTTGAATTATTTCATTTTTGTTTCTTAGTTTTTTTTAATGAAAAATGAGTATTTATAATGTTTTCCTTCTAAGTTACACATCTGAATGAGTCGCTCTGTCCCGACCCGAGTCACGTGACAAATTACCCGATATCCGATCTGTCATTGGAAAGTTACGAGTATTGAGGTACCGATCCAATATCCTCATTGCCATTTCGAGAAGTATATACTATTGAGGGGGAAAAAAAAAGGAAAAGAAAGATAAATTTGCAAATACTATTGATATACTTTGTAAATACTATGTGATCGATAGAACGGTCAAGAACAAGCTGAATGAAAATCGACGTAATTTAGAGCGAAATTATATTTCGTTATCCAAATTTTTTTCTGTTTCAATTTCCCGCCACGTGTAACCTGATATTTGTGTGTCTTTCTTTCCTCATTTGGAGGTCGGCATCACAAGATTGTTTGTCTTTTCGTATAAAAAAAAAAATCTTTTGTCTTTTTCATTTCCTTTTTACATACTACTAGAGAAGATATATGCATTAGCGAGAGGGATACCAAAAAAAAAAAAAAACCCCACCATGAAATTCGATCCCACTGCAAAAATATGTCATTTAGCTCATAAAAGCAATTGACCCTTTCATGTCTGGAAAGCCAAAAGGAAGAAAGAAGAAGGGAAAAAAAAGAGGAGAAATTGTTCCATCTTCATCTCTTTTGTTTCTTTGGATCTATCTGTCTATATAAATATCCACCCTCTCACCGTCATAGTCTTTCTCGTCTTGACTTGACTTTTGCCTATAAATTACACCATTTCTCTACTCTTTTTAGTTTCTACAGAGATACATATAATAAAACAGTTTGATCAAAACTCAGCCAATATGTTGCCTTTGCCTGCATTTGTACCTGCACCTTGTTTATGATTTCATCTTTTTCCACTTACTTGGTTTCTTCCTCGAGTAAGAGAGATGGGATTATGATTAGAGCAAGGTGCTGGTGCAATTGCAGGTGAATGCCATTTTTGGCCTGCCCAAACTGCTCTGAACTTTCTCTGCTTCAGTTTCTCTACTGTTTCATTCTTTTTGCTAACCGGATACAGAAGTCTGATGGTTTTGTGCTAACCGGATATACAATTTTTGCTTTCCTCTTTGCCTTCTCAATCCACTTGCAGAGTCTAAGCTGGGTTTGATAGAAGGAAGAACTGATTACCAAGATGGGTTCTAACTTGTAAGTTAGCTAGCCACCTCTGTTTGGTCTTTTAGTGTTTCTGTCTATGCATGATGATTCAGGGGAGATTTGATTTTGCTCCATTTATCTGTTGTTTCTTGATTTTTGTATGTTAGTTTTGCAGCTTTATATAGTTTCTTCTCATTTTTTTTTTTAAATTTGAATACTTTGAAAGGTAACGCTTGTTATCAAATACGACAGACAGAATTAGCTAGTACTTATAATTTTGCTTTTCAAGAATCTTATGTTGTTGAAATTGGGGTTGACGCTATTAAGAAAATCGGATATTAACAATGAGCATTTTTCCCCAGTAAAATTAGGGCTGGAGGTTCGGTTTTTTCGGTTATAACCGGTAACCGAACGGTCGGTTACCGGTTAACCGAGATACAAGGCAAAGCTACCGCCAACCGACCGACAGCCTTCCTCGGTTATCCGACAACCGATAGGGTCGGTTACCGGTTAGTTGCTCGGTTAACCGAGCTAACCGCACAACACAGGCGGTGGTTACTGGTGATTGCTCGTGGACTGGTCGCGGAGGAAATGCGGCGGGGGACTGTGGCTGGCGGCGGAGGAAAACGGCGGGGACTGATGCTGGTGGCGGAGGAACAATAGCGGCCGGCGGGGGACTGTGTGGCTGGCGGCGAGTTGGGAAGCTGGTCGGGGAGGAGATGGCGGAGCAGCCGAGCAGGGGCGCGGATCGGCGAGGGAGATGGCGGAGCAGGAGACGCTCTGGTCGCTGCGTCGCTCTGGTCGCGGCTTCGTCTGAAGCCACTTCTGTGGCCTGGGAAGAAGAGATGGAGGCAGAGGGACGAGATTGATTCGCCGTAACCATTTGCAAATCGGGAGGAACTAGGCGGGACGGTCGCGATGCAGAGAAGGGAAGGGGAATTGCGAATTGGCAATTGGGGAAGAAAAGATGGAGGCCGAGGGACGAGATTGATTCGCGGTAAGTCGGTAACCATTCGCAAATCGGGAGAGAGGAACTGGGCGGCGACGGTCACGATGTAGAGAAGGGAAGGGGAATTGCGAATTGGCAATTAGGGAAGGAAGGACGAAGGGGAATTAGGGTTAGGCTGAACCGTGAAGAGTGGGAGGGGGCGGCGACGTTTTGTGAAGGGGTTGGTTGTGTCGGTTAGCCGGTTAACCGGCGGTTAGACTCGTCGGTTAGCCGATTAACCGCCACAACCAATTCCCCTACCGAACACCGCCCGCGTAAGCTTTTTTCGGTTAGTCGGTTAACAGGTAACCGCCGGTTATCGGTTTAACCGGCCGGTTAACCGGCAACCGATAACCGAACCTCCAGCCCTAAGTATAATCATTAATCATTGAACCTATCAATTGACGAGTAATACATATCAACAAACATTGAAGTAATAAACGAATGATACGTTTAACTAAATCTGTGAGTTAAACGTCTTTTTTATTTTATTTTTCGGTAGAAATTTCGACATCTTTCTAAGATCATATTATTATGTACCTGCACCATACTAGCTTTTAAGCAGAACAATCTATTTCCTTCCAGTGCTCTAGGAGGTTAATTGATGAATGTATGTAATTAAAAACGAGGGATATACAAAACCAAAAATTGTTATATTTATAGGAAAATGACCAAAAATTGTCAATTTTAAAAGATATAACAATCTATCTCAAATACATAAACAAGATGCTTAAAAAAAAACCTTATCCTGAAGCACATAGCTCATCAACTTGTCAAATGTGATGGTATGTTATGCATTGTGTTAGTAACAAAACAAAACAAAAAAATAAAAACAAATATGGATGAGAATAATTGATCATCAAGTGTTTTTCAAAACACCAAGCCTGAAATAGTCTATCAATTAGTAGAAATGATTGACAATTTTCTCGAAATCATAATAACTCGTAAGCCACTATAGACATGCATACTTAAAACTTCAAATTCATATCATTTTAACGTGTCAAACAAACAAAATTGATTATCAATATTCTAGATAACTGGTTTGTTAGAATATTGATTAGCTAAGTTCGCGTGGCAAGCTTTGAATTGACCGTTTGAATGTTAGAATACAACAATCCCACAAATTGAATGGGCGAGTCAAATGAGATGTACCCATCAAAATTTCCTGACTTATGTGTATGATTCTGGACCATAATTGTGATTTGTGAGGCTAATTTGTTCATTGAGAATCCTTCGTCTTCTTTAGTATTGTCAAAAATCAGTACATCCCCACAATTCTACGCATAATAAATTGTGATTTCTAGTATTGTATAAAATAAGAGCATTCAAACAATTGAATCTTATACAACTCTTTTAAATTATTCATCAAACAAAAATTATCTCATGAATGTGTAATTTACAGGAGCTAGCCACTAAATACTCAAACTATCCGAATTTATAAGGATCCAGCCAAAAAATATATTTGTTAAAAATTATTATAAGCAAATCAATCCATATCCTCAATCCTTTTATAGCAAATCAATGTCGCTGTGAATATCTATGGCAAAAAAAAAAAAAAAAAAAAAAAAAAAAAATAATAATAATGGTGTGAATGATTAGACTTATGCCATTTAAGTCCCAACTAGTAATTATCCATCTTCGAATGTAATTAGCTATGTCTAGACTTTTGTGGAAGAAATGAATATTGCTTTTCCTGGTGTCCAAACAACAGAATATTGTTCCATACAAATCTGGATTTGTACATAAAACACCACAAAGTGGAATGTTCCATTTTGCCTGTGGACAGACACAGATCATGAACAAGATCCAATCAACACTGCTATTTCTTTTCGTCTGTAAACAATTATAGATTAAACTTTCTTCCTTTTCTTTCCATGTCTATAAAAGTATCCCCACCAACTAAAACACCAAACTAATCTGTAAAAACAGTGTAAATGGTGAAATGTTACTGCCTGCCTTCTGTGTTCTGAACTTCCATTTGCCACTTCACTTCTCCTCCTGGTATCTACAGTGAACACAATTGGTACTTTGAGCCCTAGCTCTCATATTTTGGACCTTACTTTCTGGATGAGTTCTCTTCTGAGGATCTTCCCTGAAGCTGATTTAGGCACAGTGCTGATGAATGTCACCTTCCTCAGTCTTTTGAAAGGTGCAACCTGCAAGCAAACAACATCCCAAGAACCCAAGTAAGCAAGGAGGGAAAAAATCTGTGAACTTCAGTGTAAAGTCACTTGAAGTAACTGAACTCACTTGATTGGCAATGAATTTCTGAACTTCTTCTTCGGTCAGCGAACTGTTGGGAGCGCGAACCACGTAGGCAACGGGGACTTCACCGGCTTCAGCATCAGGATAACTGCATAGTTTAGAACCACGGGGATTTTCATGACACAAAGAGTGTATATCCGGCCAAACCACAGAAATGAACGTGTCAAGATACTTACGGGATGACAACTGCGTCTAGTATCTCAGGGTGAGAAACTAGCAGCCCTTCTAACTCAGCTGGTGCAACCTGTTGGTAAGGAAAAGAACCAACCATTTGAGCCAATGCAAGTTACAGGACTAATTCCTTCTGCATTGTGTTTCAGGCTTTCAGCAAGCTTACCTGAAAGCCTTTGTATTTGATGAGCTCTTTGATTCTGTCCACAACATATAGCTGTCCATTATCGTCGAAGTACCCGAGATCTCCAGTATGTACCCAACCCTTCTTGTCTATAGTGTCCTTTGTAGCCTGTGGATTGTTGAAATAACCTGTCATTTGGGTTCAAGCACTTCTGTGAGAATGAGAATCTCGCACTTTCCATGGATGGATTCCGCTTAAAGTTTCTAATGAACATATCTACACCAACAATCTGGCTCTCAATCCCTGCACCTAATGTTCCAGCTGAACCAGAATGCCTAGGCCCTACCCTTGGATTCTCCACCGAAACAATCCCACAAGTTTCTGTCATTCCATATCCCTATCCCAATTCCACCATCAATATTGAGACATCAAGAATTAAATTCTATGTTCTGATTGCTAGAAAAGATAGAACTGATTCAAAGCTATAGCTAACCTGAAAAATTGCAACATTGGGGAGATTCCTCGAACATTCCGTCATGAGATCTTTCCCCAGTGGAGCTGCTCCGGAGCTAACCTCCCTCAACGACGACAGATCGTACTTCTTAACCAAGCTCTGTTTAGCCAGAGCAAGCATCACCGCCGGGACAACCCACATGTGGGTGACTCTGTACCTCTCCACAGCCTTCAACACCATTTCCAAGTCGAATTTCGCCATAGTCACCACCGCACTCCCTCGCTGCAGCTGCGCGTAAGTGATGACAGCCAATCCAAACACATGGAACATCGGCAAGAAGCAGAGGTAAACGTTGTCCGGTTCCCCTGCCACCTCCTGATCCATGGTGATCATCATCGCCGCCGCGATGAAATTCCGGTGAGTCAAAACCACACCTTTGCTGACCCCAGTCGTACCCGAGGAATACAAAAGCGCCGCCGTATCGCTCTGCTTCACCCTAATCGCCGGGTAATCCGCCGATTTTCCACCCAGCTCCACCACCTGATGGAAGGTTCTGCCTCCAACCGGAAGAGCATCTCGTTGTAGTTGCTCCGGCGACCCAAGAAAGACGGCAGGTAAGTTGAAGCTCCTCACCTTCTCCCACAATTCGGGAACGGTGATGATCAGCTTGGGATTGGAATCCTTGATCTGCTTCCCGAGCTCTGCGGTGGTGTAGAGAGGGTTCGCGGTGGTCGCAACGGCGCCAAACGAAGCGACGGCGAGGAAACAAATTGGGAACTGGTACGAATTGGGGGCGAAGATGAGTACGACGTCGCTTTTAGAGATACCCAGGTGGCGGATCCCGTTGGCGAAGTTGGAGACGGTGGATTTGAGGTCGGAGAAGGTGAGGGAGAGGGAGGAATCGGCGTCGTGGAGAGCCGGCTTGTGAGAGTGTGAATTGAAGCTTCGGAAGAGGAAATCGACCAAGGAGAGGTTTGGGTCTTTGGGAAGGACGAGCGTCGGGCGGAGTGATCTGTAAATGCCGTCCCGCCCGTAGCCGGATTTCTCCATCTTCTCGGGAGACGGCGGTGGCCGGCAGAAATGGATAGTGTGCAGTTATGATGAGATTATCGAGGAGGATGGGAAATTGTTGATTTTTCTTCGCGAGAGACAGTTAAAAACACCATCTTAAGCACCGAAGCAGACTGAAATAGTGGAAGAAGTCTGAGCGGGCCGAACCAGAAAATGAAGGCCGCAGCCCGCAGAAGACAGTTGAGCCCATTTGAAAGAACGAGGTGTCGAGGCTACTATATGTAAACCATTGTCAAACGTCAATGGCGGCTGCTTCGTCCATCACCACCGCATTATCTCGCCTTCCACTCTCTCGACTCTGCGCGCGCCCTGCTTTACCTTCGCTATTTTCATCGTACCCTTCTCTTTTCCGACCCAAAGCTCAGGTTCCCAACTACCTATCCACTCAAATGGCAAATTGGCAATACTGATCTCCGTTTCCATGATCGTTTTTTATTTATTTTCGCAGAATTGGAACCGATTGAGATCGTTTTCATCAATGGCGGCATCTGAATCGAAGGATTCCCCTGCTAGCAATCCTGGTCTGCATACTTCCCCTGATGAAGCCACTAAAGGGTACTTCATGCAGCAAACTGTAAGCCCCAGGAATCTGCCCTCTTTTCACTAAAACTTCTCCTGTTGGGGGAAATTTGATTATGGAGAACACTGGGCGAACGATTTGTGATGGTTTTTTTTTGCAGATGTTTCGAATTAAGGACCCGAAAGTTAGTCTCGATTTCTACTCTCGAGTCCTGGGGATGACGTAAGTTCCATTCTTTTTTCGTTGATGGCGTGTTGATCGTTGAACTTGAATCATATAGCTTTAGGCTTTCCATGGGTGTTACATAGTTTTCCTCCCATGTTTAAAGATGGGAACTTCATGACATGCACTGAGTGAGATTCCAAGTATTTTGTTTATGAGTTTATCCATTTGGCATCCATGGGGATTTGGTTTGGGTGCTCGAAGATGCGTGTAGCTCTTAGGTTCTTTAGATTAGGCAATTTGCTGACTTGCTTGCCACTGCATTTTCAGTTTGCTGAAGAGGCTGGATTTTCCAGAGATGAAGTTTAGCTTGTACTTCATGGGCTATGAGGTAACTAGAGAGCTCAATGTGTGAAGTGAACCAGTTTCCTTAGTTCAGGGACACTTTTGTGATCCATGATTTTGTTGCAAATGTTCATCTAAGTGTTCACCATGGACTTGGCTATTTCTTTTAGGATCCTGCATCTGTTCCAAGTGATGCTGTAGAAAGAACAGTGTGGGCTTTTTCTCAGAAGGCTACTATTGAACTGACACAATAAGAGTCTCTCATATGCATGACCTCCTCTCCTTTCTCTAGAAAGTTTCTGAATGTATGTCTTTTGAGTCACATACCCGAATCATCTCTAACAAGAGATTGCTTTTATGACAGTAATTGGGGAACTGAAAGTGATCCCGAATTCAAAGGATATCATAATGGCAATTCTGATCCCCGTGGGTTTGGTAAGTAAATGAATACACTCTGGCTACTTGACCTCTAATTCCTCTACCATACTATAGGTGGTAGCTGCATAATCTGTGAATCAGACACTAACAATTTAAATTATTGATGCTTGTACCAGAAGAATAACTTTCTGGGAGTGGCTATTATTCTATCAATCAATAATAGGAGCTTGTGTGTATAACTTCGTAGATCATAGAGCTGTTTGTAGTTTGAGGATAGTTTTTGAGGAGCAAGTGTCAAATGACATTTGAATTATTTCTGACTTCATAAAACTAGAATGTACAGGTCCTGTAGAAGTAGCATACATGTAGTCTTGAGGCAAAGCGAAGGTCTTTAGTAAGTGATGCCAATTACACTAGAATTGAGTTTCTACCATGTCATAATTAAGAGTGCTAGCTGTCTGAACTATATCTTGTTACTTCAGAGGCTGGGTTTCCGTTTGGTCATTACTTCTAGGGTTACAAAGATCAGCATAGATCGGATGACTTCATGGTAATTTGTACAAGTGTTCGATGTGTTATGTGTATATAGATGTGTAAATGTGTAGTCGTAGATTCATCTTGCTAAATTGACATTATTGCAGTTTTGGTAATGTAATCAATCTGATCCCACATTTTGTTCTTGCCAGGCCATATTGGGATTACTGTGGATGATACTTACAAGGCATGTGAGAGGTTTGAACGCCTCGGTGTCGAATTTGTTAAGAAGCCAGACGATGGTGAGGATCCCTTTTGACAGGATAAGACTTCCCTTACCTTTTTGTGGTTTGTTCTTGTCTTTCTTATGATACCTTTAAATGGCATTATCTTTATGTTCGTCTCTTATTTGAATGCTGTAGAGCCTTAAAATATACAATTGATTACTGAGGAAGATGGTTGACACTTCCATTTTGGTTTGAAACTGGATGCACATTAGTTTTCATTGTTTTTCATTCATTATGGTATTAGAGGAGATACCTGCAGCTCTGTATATGTAACTATACCTCTCCAAGTCCAGGAAAAATGAAAGGTCTTGCATTTATTAAGGACCCTGATGGCTACTGGATTGAAATCTTTGACCTAAAGAACATGAAAAATGTTGCTGAGGTTGCTGCTTGAAGTGACGCACCCAAGCTAAGGTACCCTCCAGTATTTACTCATTCTTTTGCTGCCTAAAAATATTTCAGTTCCTGGAATAAACATTGTGCTCTCAGCCTGTCAACCATATACATACCATATAGCATACATCTGTGAGATATGTTGGCTTGAAGACTTGGAATTTTTCCAGAAATAGCACCTTAATTTTTTTTTACAAAAATAGTACCCACTCGAAAATATTTACAAAAATAGCACATTTTTTATGAACCGCACCTGGAGGGTGCGTTTTATATATAAACAGCACCTCTAAAGTGCGGTTGATTATCCTGGGCCAAAACCGCATCTTGGCCATGCGGTTTCAGGTCTGACCTACATAAACCGCATGGCCGAGGTGCGGTGGCCGAGGTGCGGTTTTGGCCTGACCTATCAAAACCTCATCTTGGAGATGCGGTTTGCTTCTCCATAACAAAACCGCATCCCCAAGGTGCGGTTTTGCCATCAATTATTTTCCGACTCCCGATGACTTCTTTAGCAAATAATTGTGAATTGTTGATTGATCGAATTTGGATAATATCAAGTTAACACGAAAAAAAATTGACAAAGCCAATTACATAGAAATAAAAACAAAACTCAATTAAATAAACTAAGATAAGAGGAATAGTTCCAAGTACATATAATTAAAATTCAAACTCAAAATACATCTCAAGGAAGTCCACGAGCTTCACCGGAACTGACGGTGTTCTTGCTCCTTGTACGACGGCCGACGGGAGTAACAATAGGTGGTTGCGGTGGCAAGTTTCGAATGGCCGAGATAGTGTGGCGCTTGTCGGTTCTGTGTCGGCGAAGAGACGACGCTTCCAGGGTCGAGCGGGGATATCTGCGCTCATACGGTGAGGAGTAGGAGGCCACGGCTGATGAGGGCGAGTCCATGGGGTGAATTCGTGGGGCGCCGTCGTGGAGGAACCATCATGCCAAGTACCTGATGATGTAGGGGGGTCTTGGGGGTAGACCGGGCGAGAGTCGTAGTATTGTTGGCGGGGAGATGGGGGTAGACCGGGCGAGAGTCGTAGTATTGTTGGCAGAGAGATGGGGGTAGACTGGGCGGGAATCGTATGGGGATTGATGGTAGCTCGGAGGGGATTGATGGTAGGTCGAGCGGGGATCGTAGTATGAGCTTGGGTGGTGCCAAAAACTTGACACGCCAAAATACAACACCAATCTGCGACCAAGTGTAATCGCAGACCGGGAATGCAGTAACAGGCAAGTTATATTATCAACCCGGGGTCTAGGTCTACTGCTTACTCAGTGATTCTCTATTATCTAGCCAACTAAGTTAAGTGATTGTTGTTTAAAAGCAAAAGCAGAAAGAAAGCAGGAAATTATTCGGTTTTCTCAAGCAGGTAAGAGTCACTCGGGAATGAGTCCCCCTAGCTCCTTAGTTAGGTTTCAATTGTATTTCCCTGGGTTGATATACTGTTGATTAGACTGCGGAAGATCCGACAGTAGCTTGGAATCTCTTAAGCTGACCAAGCTCTCTCAGTCTAACTACCCGACAGACGACTAGTCTTCACCGGGATAGAAAGTTGAAGCAGTAAGAACATAACTCCACTACTGGAATTGGATTCCAGTACAAAGCAATAAACTGGCTAACTCTCGTATAGCCAATCTCCTACTATCGAATGATGATACTCTAGCAACCTAATCAGATTCTATCTATCTGAGATTGCAGCAGGAATCAGGAAAAGTTGATCAGACTTCAATTGACTCAATAAACATGCATCATTCGATTAAAATCAAACAGTAATATCATCACAAGTCATTACAATCAATCCCTAACACATAGAACTAGGGTTCTTCATCCCCAAGTGAGAGAGGGGTTCTACTCCATAGAGAGAGAGAAGAAAACAAGATACAAAGCAATCATACTCATAATTATGGGAAGAATATGCTCTGGGATGATGATTTCCACTCCTATGACGATCTCCAAGCTTGATTTGATGAAACCCAGCTCCAAGATGGCTTCTAGGATGTGGTCTTCGTCCTTTCTTTCTCTAGGGCTCTGTTTTTGCTCAAAAAGTCCAATTCCCTCTCTTGCAGCCCGGAATTGGGTTAAAATCAGGAATTCCCGACTTACACGGGCAGGGCCACACGGCCGTGTGGCATACCCAGTTGCCCGTGTGAGTCAAAACGCTGCGTTCCAATTAGTTCGATCTTCAGGCTTCTCACACGGCCAGGGTCACACGACCGTGTGAACATCAGGGCAAGCCGTGTTTGCTCTCGCACAATCTCACACGGTCAAAGTGGTCACTTGCACGGCCGTGTGAGTTGTGGGTGTGCCCGTGTGGCCTCCTTTGTGACTTAAGCACGACATTGCCCTCAATGGAGCAGAGGAATAGAGAAGGGGAACGATGTTACCGGATTGAAACTGCTGGGGGACTGGAAGTGGACCAGTCAGCGAGAAACAAACGGGAAGATGGACAGTTCTGCACGAATCGAACACCAAGAACACACTAGCACACGTGTGTTAGGGATAAGTGTTAGCCCAGACGGCCACAGCAAAAACAATCCACAAAAGAACAAAACAAAAACAAACGACACTAAGTTCAAGCTCCTCACACATGGAGCAAACACACACAAGTCTAAAACGAAAAACAAAACACACTGAGAGGGGCAACGAGTACAGCCTACTCGTCGCCGAGGTTGTCCAGATCGAAGACGATGTCGTTCATGAAGGCGTCACCACCATCAGCATCATCATCACCATCCGCTGGGGGAGGTGGAAGTGGAGAGTCCTCCCAGGGAGTCCTCCAGACTGGCTGCTCGCCCGGTAGTAGCTGGAGTAAATGCTGCTGGACCTCCTGCACGCGCCGTGAACGGCGCCTTTCTCGCTCGATGTGTGCGAGAGTCACCCCCTGCTGGGTCTGGAGCTGGTCCAATATCTCATCGTAACCAGCCATCCTCTGGTGGTACTCGGCCTGGTGAGCCGCGTACTGCTGCTGGAACTGCATCTGATGGTCGAGGATCTGCTGGTTCTGGAGACGCAGCTGCTCAAACTGGGAGGTGAAGTAATCCTGCCCCGGGAAACTGGAGCTGCCACCCCCGTACTCGAAGGTGGTGGGGCGGGCGGCAGCAGTGTCATCCACGTCCTCGGGCTGGACCTCCTCATCAGCTGCACCCTCGGGAGCCTCCTGCTGGACCGCCTCTGGGATCTGAGGTTGAGGAAACCCCTCGATCCACATGACACCTCGCTCTTCTCGAAGCAGGAGCATTTTGGTGATCGTTGCCCGGCCACAGGGAGTGGTCTCTCCCTGCTCTGTGCACCCCTGCAGGGATATTTGGAAGTACTCTGCCAGGCAGGTGATGAGAGGAGTGCAGTGGAGTTTCTTCAGCTCAGAAGCACTCTTCTCGAAGGTCCTCGCCACCATCGAGCCCAAGTGTAGGGGATGATCCCTCTGGCGCATGGACTGGATGAAGTACAGGGATCTCTTGGTGATGGCGCTGGCACTGTCTGAGGCTGGGGTGTAAGACTTGGTCAGCAGGTGATGGAGGAGACGGTTTTCAAGCTGCAATGTGCTGGCCTTTGTCTTTCCCGCCTTGAAGGGAAGCTGACGTGGCCGAGCGAGGCATTGCAGCTTGAAAACCGTCTCCTCCATCACCTGCTGACCAAGTCTTACACCCCAGCCTCAGAAAGTGCCAGCGCCATCACCAAGAGATCCCTGTACTTCATCCAGTCCATGCGCTAGAGGGATCATCCCCTACACTTGGGCTCGGTGGTGGCGAGGACCTTCGAGAAGAGTGCTTCTGAGCTGAAGAAACTCCACTGCACTCCTCTCATCACCTGCCTGGCAGAGTACTTCCAGATATCCCTGCAGGGGTGCACAGAGCAGGGAGAGACCACTCCCCGGGCAACGATCACCAAAATGCTCCTGCTTCGAGAAGAGCGAGGTGTCATGTGGATCGAGGGGTTTCCTCAACCTCAAATCCCAGAGGCGGTCCAGCAGGAGGCTCCCGATGGTGCAGCTGATGAGGAGGTCCAGCCCGTGGACGACACTGCTGCCGCCCGCCCCACCACCTTCGAGTACGGGGGTGGCAGCTCCAGTTTTCCGGGGCAGGATTACTTCACCTCCCAGTTCGAGCAGCTGCGTCTCCAGAACCAGCAGATCCTCGACCATCAGATGCAGTTCCAGCAGCAGTACGCGGCTCACCAGGCCGAGTACCACCAGAGGATGGCTGGTTACGATGAGATATTGGACCAGCTCCAGACCCAGCAGGGGGTGACTCTCGCACACATCGAGCGAGAGGCGCCGTTCACGGCGCATGCAGGAGGTCCAGCAGCATTTACTCCAGCTGCTACCGGGCGAGCAGCCAGTCTGGAGGACTCCCTGGGAGGACTCTCCACTTCCACCTCCCCCAGTGGATGGTGCTGATGCTGATGGTAGTGACGCCTTCATGAACGACATCGTCTTCGATCTGGACAACCTCGGCGACGAGTAGGCTGTACTCGTTGCCCCTCTCAGTGTGTTTTATTTTCGTTTTAGACTTGTGTGTGTTTGCTCCATGTGTGAGGAGCTTGAACTTAGTGTCGTTTGTTTTTGTTTTGTTCTTTTGTGGATTGTTTTTGCTGTAGCCGTCTGGGCTAACACTTATCCCTAACACACGTGTGTTAGTGTGTTCTTGGTGTTCGATTCGTGCAGAACTGTCCATCTTCCCGTTTGTTTCTCGCTGACTGGTCCACTTCCAGTCCCCCAGCAGTTTCAATACGGTAACATCGTTCCCCTTCTCTATTCCTCTGCTCCATTGAGGGCAATGTCGTGCTTAAGTGTGTGTGTGTGGGGGGGGGGGGGGGGGGTGCTTTGTATCGGTTGGAATGTATATATGTGTGCTTGGAGCCTAGTCCACTGTCCAAATCTCGAGATTTGAGGGCTCCAAATACTGCTGTTTGATCATATTGGCACTGTGTTTTGATTGATGAATTGAATGGTTTTCGGATTGATGCATGACAGCTTGATTGTGACTAGGACAACCTATGATGAGGACTAAGACGTGCAGTAGAATTGTGTAAGGGTTCAGTTTTTCAACTGTTTGCTTACCAACTGTGACTTGGATTGATTACTTGTTCTTGACAGTCGTTTATGCATCTAGTTCAGGGTATCAGAATGTGAGATAGAGCATATAGGTAGCCATGTGAGATTTGAGCCTGCTCGTTTCTTTCTTGTGCGATAGATCCCTCTTCCATGATGTGTAGCATTCACGTTGTCACTAGCTAAGATGATGGGGGCATAGGATTAGCCTACGACCAAATTTGACTGTCCTGATGTGTCATATCCCCTAGTCAGCCCTTTTGCGAATGACCTGAAACTTGCGCCTATGCACCTCTGTACTTGCTAGGACCTGAAATATGGCAAAACAACACAACCTAGCGTAAAATAGGCCAAGCAACAATCAATTCGAGCCAAAATGGACAAGAAATCCGAGTGAAAACACGTGCAAATACGATGCTATCAAATTCCCTCACACTTAACCGTTTGCTTGTCCCCAAGCAAACCAAGTCATACACAAGGTAAGCTCACATATTTCAATCAACAAACATTGGGGACAAGTCATAAAGGCACAGAACACGTGAATCGAACTGGTTTCCAAACAGCAATACATGACCAACTTCAATAGCAAACTGGACAACCACCACAAAGGACATTCGAGTGCAGCAAAATCGAGTAAAGGAAGAGTCTCCCTTCTGTTCACCAACCAACCTAGACTTGACTCAACCACTTACTCAAAACAGTCAACTCATGCATCCAACTCATGACATCAGAATAGAGACCGAGCAATCTAGGTCCTCACCAGGGTACAAGAGTATATAGAATATGAAAATGAATCACTCACTCTCGACCAGTGGGGTCAGGACAATTTGATGCGAAAAATGCGCATGCTATTTCTCTCAATCCCTAACATCTCTTCACCATGATGGCAGCCTCTAAATGCTAGAGCTCACATATGGGGTGTCACCACTAACTAATCAGGAGGTTTTAGACACAGGTTCAAATGACTGGCTAGGGTCTTGGACATGGGGAAAATGCCTTTTAAGTGGTGGAAGTATTCATAGCACAAGGTTTCACATTTCCAAACCCAAACAATCACAGTCAAACAAACCGGTATTTCCTTTCTACTATTCTGCATTACTCAATATCTCAATAGCACAAGAGCGAAGGAGGTATAAATGTCAGTATTTCCAAGCCAGACTGCTAAGAAACACTACTTACTGGGCATTATTCAGATTTTTGGTAGTGGCTCTCTTTGCTTTCAATTTTTCTTTGTTTTTCTTTCATTTTCTTTTCATTTCTTAAGAGAGCCACCACTTCTGCACAACTTTTTGGCACTACCTCCAACACTCACATTCAATTTAGCAGAAACAGCAGAGAATCTGTAAAAACCACTCTGTGGAACCTTCTAAAAGATGCAAAAGGGTGATTTTTTCATTATAGACCAAAAAGAAAGGATAACACACGGCTCAAAGGGGCTGACTAGAGGGTATGACACATCAGGACAGTCAAATTTGGTCGTGGGCTAATCCTATGCCCCCATCATCCTAGCTAGTGACAACGTGAATGCTACACATCATGGAAGAGGGATCTATCGCACAAGAAAGAAACGAGCAGGCTCAAATCTCACATGGCTACCTATATGCTCTATCTCACATTCTGATACCCTGAACTAGATGCATAAACGACTGTCAAGACAAGTGATCAGATCAAGTCACAGTTGGTAAGCACACAGTTTAAAAACTGAACCCCTACATCGTTCTACTGCACATCTCAGCCCTCATCATAGGTTGTCCTAGTCACCACCAAGTTGTCATGCATTAATCCGAAAACCGTTCAATTCATCAATCAAAACATAGTGCCAATATGATCAAACAGCAGTACTTGGAGCCCTCAAATCGTAAGATTCGGATAGCGGACTAGGCTCCAAGCACCCATATATACGTTCCAATAAATACAAAGAACCCCCCCACACTTAAATGCGACAGTGTCCTCAATGGAGCCGAGGGAAGGGGAACGATGTTACCGTGAAACAGTGGTCAGGAACGTTGACTGGATGGCGGACCAGTCAAAAGCAGAGGACTGGACAAGGACCAGTCCGACGGGCACAGAGCTAGAACCAACAGAACACACACATGGGGTGAAATAAAACATAGTTCCAAGTCAACAATCCACACAATACGGAACAAGGAATAAAAACCAAACACAATACGGAGTCTAAGTCTGGAAAGATAGACAAAAGCGAAGCCCAACTCGATGGGCTAGCAAAGCCAGCTCAGTACTCATCCCCTCCATCGCCGGTCGGGGGCGGGTAGTTGTCCTCATGCCCCGGGGACGCCTCCCAAGGGTAGCTAACAGCAGCAGGATCCATGTTCCAGTAGCTCATCATGTAATGCTGAGCTGAGATGATGCGGCGGCGACCTTCGCGCTCACGGCCGAGGCGGGCGTTGAGGTGCTCCTGGCCAAGAAGGATCTGCTCATTCTGGCGGGAAAGGGCCGCCAGCTGCTCGGCAATGTAAGTGGTGGGGGCGGCAGCAGATGGGCCGGCAGCAGAGGTGGAGGCGTCAGGCGCAGAAGGAGTGTTCCGCCGACGACGATTGGCCCGACTGGCCGCAGCAGCACTCGCCTCAGGGAGTTCCTCACCCGCTGGTGCACGAGGAACAGGGCGAGGAAGGCCCCGGATCCAGGTCACGTCCCCCTCCTTCTCTAGTATCAGCTGGCGCCGTAGGGTGTCCCTGGAGAAGGGCTTCGCCTCCTGGATGAGAGTGAAACTGGAGAGGTCGATGTTGTAGTACCGTGCCAGGGCAGTGACCACCGGCCCACACGCCAGGGGTCGACCACACCGAGAAGCCCTGACGACAGTCCTGGCGATGAGGGAGGACAGATGGAGGTTGTCCACCTCGTGGCTCATGGAGTGCAGGCAATGCAAGGTGCGGAGCTGAAGATGACTGGTGGAGCCCTCGCTGGGGGTGTAAGACTTCCCCAACAGCTGGTTGATGATGCGCCACTCTGGGCGCAGCTGAGTGGCCGTGGTGTGGCCCGGTGTGAAAACAGCGCCTGAGAACTCCGGGAGGCAGATCCTCTCGAAGAACTGCTGGTCCCGAAAGATGGGACTGTCGGGCTCTTCGATCGCCAGGTGACAGGCGAAAGGTGGAAGGAGCCCCAGTGCCCGACCAAAGTCATCGTAGCTCAGGGAGTAAAACTCCCCTCCGAGTCGGAACTGGATGGCGTTGCCGTGTGAGCCCGCGTGGGTCTGGAAATGCTCGAAGGTAGAGTAGAACTCCCAGAGAAGCTCCTGATAGGTCGGCTCAGCGAGGCAGAGGAGGCGGCGCCAAGAGTAAGCGCGGATGGCAGCCTCCATTGCCTCGCGAGCGCCCAGCTCCTCGAAAACCCTCCAATCGAGGTAATGGTGCTTAACTAGTTTGCGGCGTCGGATGTCCTTCAGAATCTTCCTCTGGTCGGCGTCGAGCATGGCCAAGTAGGTTGTCATCTTCCTGCAGCCACAAAACAGCAGAAACCCAACAACATACGTGGAAATTCGTCAATGGTGAGGTTACAATCATCCTCACCCGGGGCCCTCGAATCATAAGTTCGGACAGTGGACTAGGCCCCAGGAAGGGAAAAACATTCACAATCAATCTGAAACATTCACCATTCACACAACTCAAACGCACTTGGAGCCCTCGGATCATACATCCGGACAGCAAATTAGGCTCCAAGCGGGGCAACCACGACTCATATATACTCGGTAGGCCACCCAAAGAATGAACAAACACAGCAAGCAATACAGGAGGCCTACCGAATTAAGCAAAGCACAAACCAATCCCCGAACTTCCTCACTAAACCCACAATATCAATCCTTCACAAATGACAAGTAAAAATAGAGAAGCACACCTGGAGGCACAAGAAGATATCGCGGGGAAGGTGAGGGAAAAACGAGAGAACACGAAAATCGCCGGGGAGCTCGCCGGAAAGCTCGCCGGAGTGTCGTCGCCGGCCACTTCACCAGAGCCAAACTGACCCAAAACTTTGGGGAATGAGGCCCCGGGTACCAGGAACACGGTGGTGGTCGCGGTTTTCCAATTGAAGGTCGGAGGAGAGAGATTTGGCCGGAGGAACCCCGAGTGAAAACCGCGACCCTTCGGATAACCGAGCACAAAGTTACGTTGTTTTAAAGTTTGGACGCAGTTCAGTGCTTCACCGTTTTGCTCTCACGCGGTGAAGCAGTCACCGTTTTAGTTTGAAACGGTGAATACATCACCGTTTTAGACAAAAACGGTGAAGTATTCACCGTTTTGGTCAAAAGCGGTGATGACCTTCACCGCTTTTGTCTAAAACGGTGATGCTCAAACATGTGTACTTTTGGAAATTTTTTTATAACTTATGTATTTTGGGAATTTTTTTTAAGAACTAGTGTACTTTGGGATTTTTTCCGCTTAAAAGTTGGGCTGGGCAGGTGTTTGAAATATATGCAGAAGTGGTGGCTCTCTTAAGAAATGAAAAGAAAATGAAAGAAAAACAAAGAAAAATTGGAAGCAAAAGAGAGCCACTACCAAAAATCTGAATAATGGCCAGTAAGTAGTGTTTCTTAGCAGTCTGTCTTGGAAATGCTAACATTTATACCTCCTTCGCTCTTGTGCTCTTGAGATATTGAGTAATGCAGAATAGCAGAAAGGAAATATCGGTTTGTTTGACTGTGATTGTTTGGGTTTGGAAATGTGGAACCTTGTGCTATGAATACTTCCACCCACCTAAAAGGCCTTTTCCCCATGTCCAAGACCCTAGCCAGTCATTTGAACCTGTGTCTAAGACCTCCTGATTAGTTAGTGGTGACACCCCATATGTGAACTCTAGCGTTTAGAGGCTGCCATCATGGTGAAGAGATGTTAGGGATTGAGAGAAATAACATACGCATTTTTCGCATCAAATTGTCCTGACCCCACTGGTCGAGAGGGAGTGATTCATTTTCATATTCTATATACTCTTGTACCCCGGTGGGGACCTAGATTGCTCGGTCTCTATTCTGATGTCTTGAGTTGGATGCATGAGTTGACTGTTTTGAGTAAGTGGTTGAGTCAAGTCTAGGTTGGTTGGTGAACAGAAGAAGACTCTTCCTTTACTCGATTTTGCTGCACTCGAATGTCCTTCGTGGTGGTTGTCCAGGTTGCTGTTGAAGTTGGTCATGTATTGATGTTTGAAAACCAGTACGATTCACGTGTTCTGTGCCTTTATGACTTGTCCCCAATGTTGATTGATTGAAATATGTGAGCTTACCTTGTGTCTGACTTGGTTTGCTTGGGGACAAGCAAACGGTTAAGTGTGGGGGAGTTTGATAGACCGTTAATTACACATGTTTTCACCCCTGTTCTTACACCGTTTGAGATGTGATTTCTCGTGTTTTAGGCCGATTTCACGCTAGGTTGTGCTTGTTTGTGATATTTCAGGTCCTAGTACGTGAATGGAGGCTTGGGAGCGAGTTTGGGGTCGATTGGACGAAGATCGGGCGCGAGGCAAGTCACAAAGGAGGCCACACGGGCACACCTACAACTCACACGGCCGTGCAAGTGACCACTTTGGCCATGTGAGATTGTGCGAGAGCAAACACGGCTTGCCCTGATGTTCACACGGCCGTGTGAAGGAGTGGTTTGGCCGTGCGAGTTTCGCCGAGAGCAAACACAGGCAGATGGAAATCTCACACGGCCGTGTGACCCTGGCCGTGTGAGAAGCCTGAAGATCGAACTAATTGGAACGTAGCGTTTTGACTCACACGGGCAACTGGGTATGCCACACGGCCGTGTGGCCCTGCCCGTGTGAGTCCGGAATTCCTGGTTTTAACCCAATTCCGGGCTGCAAGAGAGGGAATCAGACTTTTTGAGCAAAAACAGAGCCCTAGAGAGAGAAAGGACGAAGAACACATCCTAGAAGCCATCTTGGAGCTGGGTTTCATCAAATCAAGCTTGGAGATCGTCATAGGAGTGGAAATCATCATCCCAGAGTAGATTCTTCCCATAATTATGAGTATGATTGCTTTGTATATTGTTTTCTTCTCTCTCTCTATGGAGTAGAACCCCTCTCTCACTTGGGGATGAAGAACTCTAGTTCTATGTGTTAGGGATTGATTGTAATGACTTGGGATGATATTACTGTTTGATTTTAATCGAATGATGCATGTTTATTGAGTCAATTGAAGTCTGATCAACTTTTCCTTATTCCTGCTGCAATCTGAGATAGATAGAATCTGATCCGGGCTGCAAGAGAGGGAATCGGACTTTTTGAGCAAAAACAGAGCCCTAGAGAGAGAAAGGACGAAGAACACATCCTAGAAGCCATCTTGGAGCTGGGTTTCATCAAATCAAGCTTGGAGATCGTCATAGGAGTGGAAATCATCATCCCAAAGCAGATTCTTCCCATAATTATGAGTATGATTGCTTTGTATCTTGTTTTCTTCTCTCTCTATGGAGTAGAACCCCTCTCTCACTTGGGGATGAAGAATCCTAGTTCTATGTGTTAGGGATTGATTGTAATGACTTGGGATGATATTACTGTTTGATTTTAATCGAATGATGCATGTTTATTGAGTCAATTGAAGTCTGATCAACTTTTCCTGATTCCTGCTGCAATCTGAGATAGATAGAATCTGATTAGGTTGCTAGAGTCTCATCATTCGATAGTAGGAGATTGGCTATACGAGAGTTAGCCAGTTTACTGCTTTGTACTGGAATCCAATTCCAGTAGTGGAGTTCTGTTCTTACTGCTTCAGCTTTCTATCCCGGTGAAGACTAGTCGTCTGCCGGGTAGTTAGACTGAGAGGGCTTGGTCAGCTTAAGAGATTCCAAGCTACTGTCGGATCTTCCGCAGTCTAATTAACAGTAAATCAACCCAGGGAAATACAATTGAAACCTAACTAAGGAGCTAGGGGGACTCATTCCCGAGTGACTCTTACCTGCTTGAGAAAACCGAATAATTTCCTGCTTTCTTTCTGCTTTTGCTTTTAAACAACAATCACTTAACTTAGTTGGCTAGATAATAGAGAATCACTGAGTAAGCAGTAGACCTAGACCCCTGGTTGATAATATAACTTGCCTGTTACTGCATTCCCGGTCTGCGATTACACTTGGTCGCAGATTGGTGTTGTGTTTTGGCATGTCAAGTTTTTGGCGCCTTCGTCACTGCATTCCCGGTCTTTCTCAAAAGTGCACGGTTGGACCCGATTAGGCATTTTAACGGCATCAAAGTCGATCGCCTACTCATCACCGCATTAGCTGAGAGATGGAAGAAGAAGACTCATTGTTTCAACTTTAGAGAAGGAGAGACCACTATCACGCTAAAGGATGTCGCCATCCTAACCCATCTGCTCATCGATGGCAAACCGGTGTGCGCGAGTGAACATCCCCCCGAGGATCGTGACGGTATGTCCGGTTGGGTTCATTTCATGCACAGGTTTTTGGGAGTGAAAGTACCAGTCAAGGGGAGCATTGATGCGACCGATCGCTTGCCACTAATGAGTAAACACCAAGTCTCAATTACTTTGTTGACGAAGTATTTTAGTGACCATTACGAGAGCCATCCCCTAACCGAGGAAAGTCCGGAGGATGAGAAGGAAAGATATGCTCGTGTCTGTCTCATAGGCATGATTGGGGGAGCGTTCTTCTCCAAAAAATCAAGCAATTTCCTTAGCTGTGGATGGCTTAGGATCATCCTCGGTAGTTGGGAGGAGATGGGGGAGTATAGCTAGGCATCCGCTTGCCTAGCTAATATCTATCACAATTTGTGCAATGCGTCTCTAAAAGCTATGAGGGAAGTCGGCGACGCAATGTTCATCGTCCAATTTTGGGCTTGGGAGCATATGCCATGGATTGCACCGGTCCAACGTCCCGACAGGGATTGGCCAATCGATCATCCCCTAAGAGGTGAAGCTTATGGTACAAGGTAAACTTCTCATACCCCATCATGTTTTTCATAACACATTTTCTTTTGTGTTTTAGCTTATTGTAGTTTCATTATTGTCTTATTAATAAGGTGGCTCGGACACACAACATGCGACAACCTTGCCCAACACAAGTTGGACGAGTATCAGAGGAGGTTTGAGCGACTTTGGGAAGGAGAGGTAACTTCTATACTTCGATCCATTTATATCTTTTTTCCATGGGCTACATGTATTTTTTCAATTCTGATAAACTTAAGTTACTCATTTCTTTCTTGTAGATCGTCTTCGATCCATACCCGGAGAACATCGTTCATTGACATCTCCAGCAATTCCCCGGGCATATCGGGCAATGGTGCACGAGGGTCTCTCTCATTTGTTTTGGGACCGTGGAGTGGCACTTGCCGGATCGATGCCTCCGTCAGTTTGGTCGGGAGCAGTGCATTCCGTTGGAGCTCCCCGATAGTCAAAGGGCCTTTCACCACCGAGATGGTCGGCAAGGTACTCGCGATTGGCCCACGAAGTTGGCGAAATTTATCACGATGTGGGAGAACCGACAATCCTAGGATATTGTCACTCCAACTCAAGTGGGTCGAATGTGGTATCATGACCTATACTTGGATCGATATCGGCAAACATCGGTTCACTACATGACTCCGGAGGGTGCGGCCGATGGTGCATTAGTAAGTAGATTCCGTCTAAACAATTAAATTTATTACTTGGTTCCTAAATTTTTTTCTAACTTTTTTTTTTGTGTGATTTAGGCTGATGGGATCGAGCGGATCAAAGATATGACCACCGGGAGAGTTGAGCTGGGCAATGAAGATGTGAGCTTCATCAGGAGGATGGCAAACAGTCTGCTTGGCTGTATCAAAGCTCAGGGTCGGGATCATCGTATATATCCGCCCATGCCCGCACCTCCGGTACAAGTTGATGTCCCCGATCCCCCCACCACCGTACGAGAGAAAGAAGAGCAAGATGGTTCGGGAAAGGCCCAACGTACCCGACGTAACGCCATATCAGGCGTGGAAAGTGCTGGCCCCATTGGTTGTGACACATGGTTGCGGCTCGAGTTCCGCCCAAGATCCCCGCCCGAGTTCCTCCCAAGATCCCCGTCCGAGTTCATCCCAAGAGCACCGCCCCTCCATCCACAATGTCACCACCCAAGCTCATACTACGATCCCCGCTCGACCTACCATCAATCCCCTCCGAACTACCATAAATTCCCATACGATTCCCGACCGGTCTACCCCCCATCTCCCCGCCAACAGTACTACGACTCTCGCCCGGTCTACCCCCAAGATCCCCCTACATCATCAGGTACTTGGCATGATGGTTCCTCCACGACGGCGCCCCACGAATTCACCCCATGGACTTGCCCTCATCAGTCGTGGCCTCCTACTCCTCACCGTATGAGCGCAGATGTCCCCACTCGACCCCGGAAGCGTCGCCTCTCCGCCGACACAGCACCGACGAGCGCCACACTACCTCGGCCATTCGAAACTTGCCACCGCAACCACCTATTGTTACTCCCGTCGGCCGTCGTACAAGGAGCAAGAAAATCGTTAGTTCCGGTGAAGCTCGTGGACTTCCTTGAGATGTATTTTGAGTTGAATTTTAATTATATGTACTTGGAACTATTCCTCTTATCTTAGTTTATTTAATTGAGTGTTGTTTTAATTTGTTTTTATTTCTATGTTATTGGCTTTGTCCATTTGTTTTCCGTGTTAACTTGATATTATCCAAATTCGATCAATCAACAATTCACAATTACTTGCCAAAGAAGTCATCGGGAGTTGGAAAATAATTGACACACCAACCGCACTGGGGGGGGTGTGGCAAAACCGTACCTTGGGGATGCGGTTTTGTTTTGGAGAAGCAAACCGCATCTCCAAGGTGCGGTTTTGATAGGTCAGGCCAAAACCGCACCTCGGCCATGCGATTTATGTAGGTCAGACCTGAAACCGCATGCCCAAGATGCGGTTTTGGCCCAGGATAATCAACCACACCTTAGAGGTGCGGTCCATAAAAAAGAGTGCTATTTTTGTAAATATTTTCGGATGGGTGTTATTTTTGTAAATTTTTTTTTAAAATGTGCTATTCTGGAAAAATTCCTGAAGACTTCAGATTGAACACTATCACGAACATGTACCTTTACCTCATCCTTTAACTACGCAATATATGACTTCCAGACCTTTCTTTCCTTTCTCCCAGTCATTGATTATTGTTCTTAAACATTATTCACTGAAGATCAATCTTGCCACAAGATATTACCCGCTTATTTATGCTTAGTACACTCAACAATGGTTTTGACCAGATATTCTAGTCCTCTTGGTTATCAGTATCCCATCCAACTCCTAACTCAGGTAAAATCTGCAAGCTATGGAATCTTGCAATTGTAACTTCAAAGACACTCGAGCAAAAGAACTCATCAGTCATCTCCTGTCATGATTCAATTGCATGTCCTTTTCAGTTTGAGGAATGCTTTGTTCCACAATCAGAAGAAAGGAATCTCCTCCAAAAATGTGTATTGTTGCAGTAGGTGACCTATATATGTTTCCCCATGTTTCTTTTCTCCAAAATAAAAAAAGAGTTGTGATTTATAGGTGCATGTTTTGTGAAGTTGGTGGACGTGAACCTGGCTCCCAAGATGGGTTGCAATACAAATTTTCAACAGCTTGAAATTATTGTGTTTGAAGCAAACTTTTGGGAGTGCTACTGCGTTAGTTCTACCATTGTGGTCCAGAACCTTTCCAGGCTGAGCTTCCAGGAGTTGGGAGAAACTCAGGGGATTCCATGGATGTTTCAAGAACCCTGGAATTCAGGAAGGGGACTGTACAAAACCCTGTTTTCAGGTTCTCAGGAAGTTTTGACAGGACATGATGGGATCCTGCTAGAAATATGCAAGCAAGAGATGGGTCAGTTTCAGGTTGTGGCAAATCATCTTTCCAAATTTACCTCTTGATTAGAACCCAGGAAATGAACTGTTCTTCCTACAGATATGCAGCCTAGCAGGCATCAAACCGTTCTCCAGGTAGAAGCAGTTTAGGATTGGGCCAATTCTGTCCAAGTAGGAAATATGGAATGGAAAGCTAACATTGTAGAGCCGAGGCCTGAACCAATCCAAGTAGGAAATATGTGATTCACCAATCCAATCTGTTCACTTAAATATCTAATTAATCAAATTTATCTTATCCAAATCAAATGGATGGTGGATTCATGGGTTGATCCATAGATTTAAATGATAAATTACGATTTAGTACTTATACTTTTTATATTTCACATTTTAATACCTAAAATTTATATTTTTAGATGAAAAATATAATTGGAAAATTATGTTTTGGTACCTAGAGCTTTTTGTTATGACATTTTAGTACCTAAATTTTTCAAAATTTACATAATACTCAAAGGTTTAGATGTCATTTAGATTCATGGATCAATCTACCAATCCACTTGATCCAATTCATGAATCCACCAATCCATTTAATCCAAGGATACACAAATCCACCAATCTATTCCATTTTCCACCTCTAGTTAGAATTATTATCTTTTATGGGAGCCTTAGATTATTGGTTAGCACTCATTCATTATAATAACTATGAGTTGCATATTGAAGGAAAGGAAAGGAAAACAAAGGTACATTTTGTCTTTTCATTATTTGGGATGTAATGAAAAGTCACTTTATCTTGGCTAGCATCACTTAATTGTCCTATCTAACCTACATTTTCAAATCATGACACTCTACCAATGTTTAAATTTTATAAAATTCACTGTGTATGCATTTTCGGAACATGATGATGTATTAACATTAAAAAAAAGAAAATTATATGCAACTTGAAATAATTAACTCCCATCACATATTTCATATATACATAACTTATCAGATTAATTACCCATCTGCTTAGTATATAAAGTACTCTCTCTCTCTCTGATTATGATAATAACTATATCTTAGTAGGCACTAGGCATGCTAAACAAGACAAAAACGATATATATATTATTGTTATTAATCCTTAATCTCTCACATGTGTGTCACAAAGTTTTGTCAGTAAGCTAGGCAAGTGCCATACCTTTGACCTTTGCACTTCACAACGAAACACATTCTTAAGGTTTCGAGATTAAAAATTGTATGCTCAATTAGTATGATTGTTCGTTTTGGAATCAAATTTGTCCGAAATTTTGATTATAGATTACTTCTTAAAACCCTCATACTAATGAAGATTAGTGAACACTTTATATACACAAATCTTTTCTCTGTTATATCCAACGTGATATATAATTATTAAATTGCTCATAACAGAGGAGAGATTCTTTGTGTTGGATTCTCGTTCTTTTCCAAAGTCCTTCTGCTGCATATTATCGATGCTTCTCTGTCACCAAAAAGAGCGATTCTGAAAGTTTACAGGCCGGCCGGCATGGCACTGGGTTTTTATGAAATTCATATGTACTCTCGATGGTAAGTCAAAGCAAAGACAGAGAGGTTACTTACAAGTTCTAATTCCAAAGAGTAAGGTTCATAGTTGGTCAAACTGCGTTGTACATGATTTTATAAAGACCTTGAATTATCGCTCGATTGATTCGGGTTTGTGCTGAACTAGTTTCTTATAACTTGAATATGAATAGTTTGTGTCGAGAAGGGAGTTCAGCAAGGGGAGACAAATTATAATTGACCTAGAGGGATGAAAATAAACTCGTCCCTAGCCGGCGGCCCCGGCCGTGTTATACGAAGAGTTATGTTGTAACAAGATCGAGGGGGAGCCACCTAAATATTAATGAAATCTTTATAGACGTAAAGTCATGTTGATAGAAAGACGTAAAATCTGTATTTTCTTCCAATTTTCCGATGTAAGTAATATAAACCTAGAAATTTGTTGACACAAACAGCCGTCCGTAGTTGACAAAGAAAGCCAACAAAATGGGTGGAAAAAGAAGTTGAAAATACGCTACTAATTATGAGGGCTGCCAAACTCATCAATCACATAATTAGCCATCGATGGATCAAGTCAAGCATATATATGTTCTTTACTAATTACTTGTGTCACACGATATTGGGTTTAATTTGCCTTATTTTTTTTCACCCAACTGCTGACAGTTGACATAACTGCACGTAAGCAAGAGAGTTGTAGTTTTCAGCCGTTTTGACTGTTAATAATCATCCCAATTTACGTCCTATATTATGCCATGCATACGTGGACTGTAAACCACATTAAGTATATAATTAAGCTTTTAGTATTCTAATTTAATTAGTTATAGGTTGGTTAAATTCCAATTATACCAAATACGTACCTTGTTGCACACATTATATCCACACCACCTATAAATTACCTGCTCCCTAACAGAAAATCGATTAATTAATTTGGCTAATGTGTACGTAATTAGTAGTTAATTTGTTGTTGGATGATGATCATCCAATCGAAGCTGATTAAGGCAGCAGGGCCAAATATAGTTACGTAGCTGGTCATGTGCTTAACCAATAATAATGATCATCCTTTCCTTTTATACACAAAAACAATGGATTAAAATTAGTTGTGGTAGTTGAGTTTATAACAGCTCATGAAGAAGTTTGCGTGTGAATCCTGGACATGTGCGTACACTCTCGTTGTAATTAACGTGTAATTATTTCTTTAATGTAATGTTAGATATGAGAGATTTTGAATTTAATATGCACTGACATACAATTATTTTCCTTTTTTTACTTTCATGTTATGTATACGTGAGAGCGGATCTATTGGTTCTGCCTTTTGATTTTCGTTGGCATGTTTGCTTTGTTAGAGCAGGCTAAGCAACGGAATCAAGCTAGCTATATATATATAGCTACCTTATTTTCAAGATGCAAAGACATTTTCTGTAATCATTTTTGACAAATCTATGTGTGCAAAACTTGAATGGTTGATGGTTTTGTAAGGGCGACGAGATGGTGAATCACTAAATCGGACCTTTGACCTCCATTATATGGAGACGCGTGGGCTAAATATTTAACCAACAGATCTCGTGAATTTCTTTATTTATGTACGTTCAATTATATGTGATTTCAACGTATACGATTCTCCAACATAGTCAAGACAGTTTTGTTAACACTCAGTGACAAACATATATAGTTAACATACGATCAAAAACAAAAACAAAAAAGCTACCAAAAGAGTATATATATATATATATATATATATATATATGGTTTAGGCTAGCGTACGCCTGGGCGTACGTTAGACTACCGTACGCCCGTTTGAGTTTTGCTATTTAGATCATGAATTAACCGGAGTTTTAGGCAGGATACTATACCCTAAACAATAATGGATAAACCCCAGTCCCTAGTTTTCTAACCCAAATCATGAGATTCGTTTAATCTTGAAATGAAAATCAACAATAATTTCGACAAATCAGAACCGTTGATTTTCATCTCGAGATTAAATGAATATTATGCTTTGGGTTAGTGAATTGCGGACTAGGGTTTACCCATTAGGGGTTAGCGTATAATATCATGCCCCAAACTCCGGTTAATTCATTGTCTAAATACCAAAACTCAACAGGCGTACGGTAAGCTAGGGTACGTCCGTGCGTACGCTAGCCTTTGTCATATATATATGTGGTGCCGTATTCGGTGCACCCACTTTTTCGGGTGCACTCAGTGCACCCGCCTCATAATTGTCATTCTGACCATGCGATTCATGTCAAAACAGTATCGATTGTTGCTTATGATATTATGAACAAGAAGCACATGAGTTTGAAAAAAATTCATTCAAAATTTACTTTAATTCGAAGGATTTAGGGTTAGGGTTTAGGTTTACAATTTGGGATTTTGGGTTGGGATTCAAAATTGAATGTTAAGGGGTTAGGGAAATGGATTGATTTGTTATGATTCTATGTCATATCATCATATTATATTGAGAGTACTAATCAAAGTTCAAAATTTGATGTATTATGGACCCTTTTAGAGTTGGGTGCACTCAGTGCACCCAAAAAAGTGAGTGCACCGAAGTAGCCACCTATATATAGATGAGACCGATCAAGAACATTGGGGATTAGAGCGAATGCGTTGATTGATCGAGGGCTAGTCAATATATACTGCTATGAACACAAAGCAACACCAGTCGAGACATAGTTACACAACGCCGTCCCTCTTGCTGCGCATGGTTACTGTTGATTCGTTGCACGCGAGCAACGATCAAAGACACATCAGTTATGAAATTCTCATCGATTCGATTTGCAACTTCTCGATCTTGTGATCGGAATCATTTTTTCGAGGGTGGTGGTTATTATCCTTTATCAACCCTGCATGTCTACCTAACTTGAAGCTTTCATATCTTCTAGATTCTAAGTTCTAAATCACCAATTATATGTGCTGATAGGTTTCGTGTTTAATTGGTGCTTACTATGAGTTATAGAACGATCGAAGTCATGCCCTAGACTCCACTCTTTTCATCGTTGGTCAAGAAAGTATTGCCCCGGAAATTGCAATAAAAAATGATGATAAGACGTTTGATCATCTTCATCTCAAGTTTGAAGATTGAACAGTTGCTCACAACGTTGACCATTTTCATATATACTATTTAGACATGATGCACCAATAGTTCCATTTTCCACAGCGATAATTAATTATATAATCAATAATTTCACGATTGATTATTGTCATATAATTAACAGAAGGAATCATATCTATTTAATACGACCAAATTTGATCCCATTTTGATCTCCTCACCATCACCATCTTACTATTATTGGCCCCAAACACCACTGAATTGAATTATATGCAGAAGAGACTGAGATTATGGTGAACAAAAAAACACCAATCATTTGTATAATTATAAACTAGTTCGATTAAACAAAAAGGGGTTTCGTCGGACACAGGCAGAAAGATCCAAGTTCCCATCTTGGAGTCAGACCTCTTCCAATATATATTTTCATTCATTAATAAACAAATATTTTCCACAAGGGGAAATAAATAAAAAAATAATGAAAAATCCTTGACAAAGCCAGTTGCAATGCATACAGTGAAATGACTGCCACTGCCCTTTCCCAATCCCAAATGGGTTTTACCATTTTGGAGGGTAGAGTAGGGTTTTCCACACACAAAAAAAAAAACCTATTTAGAAATTATATATGGAGGGAAATTGGGTTATAGTGGGGGATAGGAAATCGCTGTCAGTAGTAATATAGTAGTAATATGACTCAGTTTGATGAGGAATAAAATTTATGGCCAATGTAAACAACAGAACAGAAACGAAAACTCTAGTTTCACATATAGTAAATCTCCTCCCAAAAGGGAAATTTGGCGCAAAAAAAAACTTGTACACAACATTATTTGAAACAAAGTCCCGACGAAGAAAAAGAAGTCTCTCATCATTAGCAGAAAGAATTTGAATTGTGCCCTCGATTTTGATTTTTTACATACGGTCAGAACCAAAATGATCACCCAATATTTGATATATCCACCCCCAAATTACATCAAATATATATTTTATATATAGTACTTTTTTTTCTTTTTTTTTCTTTTCTTTTTCAACCTCATGATGAAAATGATCTAGCTAGTAGTAATAGTACATGAGCTTCTCTTGCACATCCTTGTTGCTGTTGTTCTTGTCATCATCCACAACAACATTACTGAGGAGAAGGCTATAATTATAATTGTCAGGATGTTCATCACTACTCTTGCTGCTGCTAATGACATCATCACTAGTACTCGGCGTAACGGTTAGTTGCTTGACTTCTTGTTCTTCAAGATTCTCATGATGATCCACCATTTGATACCCACCATTAATGCTGGTGGTAATAATATTTGTGGGATAGCTGAGCATGAACTTATTACTGTGATGATGATGGTGTTGGTTCTCTTGTTTGATGTGATCATCATGATCATGGATGAAATCTCTTCCATAGCTGCTAAGCTGCTGCCCCCCAAAACTCCCATCTGAGTTTGAACTGCAACTGGCTGCAGCTGCTGCTTCATGAGAACCACCTCCAAACACCAACAAGTTACTGCTGCTGCTGCTGTTGTTGTTGTTGTAGTATTGCTTGTTGCTCAAGAAAGGGTTGTTGCTGCTGTGGTTTCCCATGAGATTATTGGATTGAAGTAAGGGCGAGATCATGTCAAACCCACTGGCTGTAGCAGAAGTACTATGGTGAGAGTAGAGATGGGAATTAGTTTGTGCAGAAAGAGGAGGAGAATTAGGAAGGAATGGTTTCCTCTGATGATGGTATGAAGGGAAGTGAGGAGGAGGAGGAGGAGCCATGGACATCATAATAAGCTTCTTCTTGAGCTTGGTGTTCCAGTAGTTCTTGATATCATTGTCAGTCCTTCCTGGTAACTGTGCTGCTATTATTGACCATCTGCCATTTATACACCAAAAACATTTCATTAATATCATCATCAAGCAGTCTCCTTTGACATTCAACTAAAAAAAAAAAAAAACCCCCCCACCAAACAGAAAAGAAAGGAAAGAAAAGAAAAGGGCTTGTGTTTTTTGAGCCAGATTCTTCAGTAGTGTCCATATTTTCTCTGCCTAATTTTTACTATAAAAAAAAAATAGTGTTGAAGTAACATGGTACCTGCTGCCAATGGTGGCAAAGAGGGTGCAGATGATGTTATCTTCCTCATCAGTGAATTCACCATGCTTGATGTTTGGTCTCAGGTAGTTTAGCCATCTCAGCCTGCAGCTCTTCCCACATCTCTTCAACCCTAGTCACCAAACAACAGAAACAAAAACATCATTAGGACCATAAACATAACTAATAATAATAATAATAATCACAATTAAGATCATTATAAGGGTTTGCTAATTGATTGATTAATTACCAGCTTTCTGAGGGAGGGAAATCCAGTTGCCTCCAGTGCCACATTTCTCAATGTACTCCTTCAGCTTGCCATCTTCCTCAGGTGACCATGGCCCTCTCTTCACATTTGATTTGTCACAGCATGGTGCCCTCCCCATCTCTCTCTCTCTACAAACCAGAAAAAGGAAAGGAAGAAGGAAGGAGGAAGACAAGTTTCAACTCTCTCTCTCAAGATTTTCCTTTCTCTGTGTCAAGAGGAAGAGACAACTAAAAATGAGTTTCCCTTCTCTCTCTCAGTCTTGTATATTGGTTGTTATTATATACCCTATACAATAACCTAACCACACCCAGAAAAAGAAAAGAAAAAGAAAACAGTGAGGAGACTTGCAATATTGCATTATATTGCTTGCTGGGGAGAGGGAGATGAGAAAGTGAAAGAAAGGTACTTTTTAACATATATATTTTATTTGGGTTAAGGAGGGACATGCACAAGTCAAAATGATTGACATGTTCAATCACACTTCCTTCTTAAAAAACCCCACCTAATTGATCATAACAATAATTAGTGTGTATATTTGTGATTAATTCTTTAACTTCCCACTTAAAACTGAATTTAATTTGTGCATGTATATGTAAGGAGGAGAGGGTCAGATGCTAATTTGACAACTTAATGTCAACAGTACACACAAAGGGCAAAAGAAATAATATTATCTCACTTGTGAAAGGAAAGCAATTAAGGATGTTGATTCCTCCTTTGCTTACTATTATTAATGTTTCTTTAGTTTTGAAAAGTACATATAATTTATGGCAACATGTTCTCTATTTATCCCTTGAATAATTATACTGATTTTATAACGACACCCCATATATCTTCAAATTTAGGGTGACAAGAAAATTTGGCAAAGATAACTTATTTATGATCGAACAAGGAGAAACAGACTCTGAGAATTCGGTCGCGTGTTACTCCATATCAGATTCGTAACAACTACAAGTTTTAGGAGTATCGTACACAATGATTTTAAAGGAACACAAAGAAGAAATACGAACAAACATAATATGCAAAAAAAAAAAAAAGTAATGATCTATCATTAATAGAAGTTTCCAGCTTTCATTATTCAGGCCATCCCTCTCAACAAGAAGAATACTAATATTTTGACGGTTTTGGAGTTTGACATACACACACCATATAAAGCCTTGCAATTGCTCTCTCGAGTCAGTTTTCTTTCTTCAAAAAAAGGGTTGGGATATGGCATCCAAAGTCTTTGGCCGCCAGTTGAAATTCAACTGGAAATTGAATTGACAGCTTATTCATATGACATTTTCCAACCATGGACTTTAGGTTGGCTTGTGATAATATACAAATATAAATTTGTTTCCAAACCCACAATACTTTTATTTTACTAACTGGCTTCCAATTTCTTAGCTATAGATTAAACTACAGATTTGAATTTAAGGCAAGAGCTAGTGTGGAAGTCATAGCACTAGGGTTTTCACACACCTTTTGATTTCATACATGTTTGACAATTGTTAATTTTTATATTATCCACTTAAAAAAAAAAACCTCATCTCCAAAGTCAGCTTGCACCATCTAATATTCACTTTGGTTGTTAGAAACTCAACTTGAATCCAATGATTTTCTATCATTTGTTAATCATCACTAGTGGAATAACCTTTTAAAGTTATATAGGACTAATTAGTATTTGTGTTCGTCATCTATCCGTCCTTGATTGGGCGTTAGCTACGTAATACTAGCCCCTGTAGGGGTCGTGACTATTCGAGGCAATGTCGACCATACCATCGATCCCTAGTTAAACTCGGATGTGAAATATGCAATTAATCAACCCCAGAAGGATCAGAACTGACTGACATAACGTTGATTGTGGCACATATCCATAATTGCACAATTCGTGGTTTTCTAAGATCAAGCAGATATACAATGCACTCAAATTTTTGATGAATTTTACCATGTACGGGCTTTTACGTCGTTGGATTATTCTCTCGAGGGATTTTTGGTCATTAGTTATATCAATAACACCGCCACACCAATCCTATGTAACTAAAAACACGTGGTGGTCATCCAACAAACGTTTTTTTTTTATAATGGATGCAACGACACCCTAACTTTCATTCAAAACCAACCGGGGTACAGAAACCCTTTGACAGTCATACAATAGCGGATGCGAGAGCATCGGATCGGAAATAGGAAACAAATGACAACCATAAGTAAGGTGATGACCCTGACTAGCAAGATAATCAGCACAAACATTACCCTCACGATACACGTGAGAGATGCGAACTACCCAAGGTCAGGATGTGAGCTCGCTGAACCGGGAGATAATGGCCGAACAATGGTGGTCATCAATGTCGGTGCGCTGTAGCAGCTGAACCGCGCACTTCGAGTCGAGTTGAAGCAGAACCCGATGTTGACCAGTATCCCAAGCCACATGAAGACCTTCAACAGCACCTCTCAACTCAGTCTGGGTAATAGAGCAAGTCCCCAGGTTAATAGCGAACGTTGTAAGACAGCGCCCCAAGTGATCACGGATCAAGCCACCAGCTGCTGCATGGCCTGGTTCAGGGAGAACGGAGCCGTCGGAGTTGAGGCTAACCCACTCGGGAGGAGGCGACTTCCAGTTGATCTGCTCCTCTGTTCTAGTAGGCGGACTAGGCTGATGAATGAACCTGTCCTTTTCCAGAGCATTCCTCACTACTGGTAACCAAGCTCGGACTTGCTGACTGAAGGTCTCAGGTGTGACGACTTTACCCGCAAAGACTCGATCGTTTCTGGTCCGCCAAAGGGACCAACAAGTAATGCCGAAATCAAGGCTCCTCTGTTGGTGTCGAATGTTTCCAAGAATCCAACGACATTATTAGCACATCACATTTTTACAAATTTCATCAATTTCTTCTTCTTCTTTCTTCTCATCATTGGGGTTTTTCTATTTAAGTGGTGACTCCACGGCTAGGGTTTGTCGATCCCGAAAGAGAAGTAGTGTTGGTCCATTTATGGTGAGATTTTGTAACGAGACCACCGCCTTTTGTTATTATTATAGAAATCTTCATATTTCACGTGGTGTGTGTATAAATAATCATCTGCATGTGTGGCATCAAGTGATAATACAGATCAGTATAGGAGAAAGGGAGTAGACATTTTCTTGAAAAAGCTTGAATTATGCATCTCACTACTGTAATTAAGTAGGGTCTACTAATAATAATTAACATGGCTCAGTGATTAACAGCATAAGAAATTGTCATTACATGATAAAAATTAGTATTGTAATAATCTTGTAGCAAGCAATATTGGTAACAATTAATGATTAATAATAATATTTGTGATGGGTTGGATTGATTTGATTCCCTTGACAAGTAATGCCGGTGTTTCCAGAAACCATGTGGACACACAGGAGATCTTACAGGGAAGACGCTCATGATTGGTGCTCTTCAACAGAGACCATACCAACCCTAATTTAATTATAATCTAATTTCTCTCGTTATTCACTAATACATTTTTAAATCTCGAATCATGGTTCAATAATTTCTTTCATATCGTAATGATGTAATGTGTCATAATTGTGTGTCGGTTCTGGAATTGAATTTGTTTGGCCAATATGGCTAGCTAAAAGAAAATTAGTTAGGGATCAAGTCTTTTGAACCATTCCAACTTAGACTATAACTAGCTAGGGTGGAGGTTCAGTTTTATTTGTTACCAAAAACTGAACCAGTTTTACAGGCTTATCGGTTTTTCTTAACCGAGGAAATCGTTTTAAGTCTTTTAGGATTCCGGTTAATTAAAACCGAAAAATTATTACTAAGATTAAAATCGATAAGCTCTCAATGCAATCGAAGTTCGTTTTCTCTTTTTCGGTGTGGACTGATCATTGGGCTGGGGCCTTTCCATTTGGTGGTGGATCAGTTGGTTTATTGGATTTGAACAAATAAAGACTTTAAGCCCAGCCCATTCAATCTCAAACAAAAATCCAACTCCAAAGCCCACCACTCTTCACACGTGAATTCTGATTCACTCCAAGATACTCGGCCACCAATTCACCATCATCATCAACCTCAGTCTTTTGCTTCAAGTCAATCATCATTCATAATTCTCCCCCAACCTTATCAATCTCCAACACTCCGCCATTGTTATGTACACTGCACCATCATCTTCTTCATCTTCTTCTTTCGAATTCTCCCTTTTCATCTCAACCACCACCATGCCCATCAATAAAGTCAAAGTCAAAGTCAAACCCACCTCCCATCTTCATCTCCTCCATCTTCTCCCCATTCTCTCAATTCTCTTCCCACTGAGTCAATCAATCCTCCAGAAACCACCTCCCCTCCCGATCCTCCCTCTCCCCTCCGCTCCCCAGCTCCAATGGCAGCTCTCCGACATGGCCATGTTCCTCCATTTCGGGCCCAACACCTTCACCGACTCCGAATGGGGCACCGGCCACGCAGACCCATCAGTCTTCAACCCGACCCGATTCAACGCCACCCAGTGGGTCCAAGTCGCCAAAGACTCCGGCTTCAACCGCGTCATCCTCACCGCCAAGCACCACGACGGATTCTGCCTCTGGCCTTCGAACTACACCAATTACTCCGTCAAATCCAGCCCCTGGAGGAACGGGAATGGCGATGTGGTCGGCGACCTAGCCGCCGCCGCCAGCAAGCTCGGAGTCTCATTAGGGCTCTATCTCTCCCCCTGGGATCGCCACGAGGATTGCTACGGCAAGACTCTGGAGTACAATGAGTTCTACATGGCTCAGATGACAGAGTTGTTGACTGGGTGAGTAAGATTTTGATCCAAAAAAGGGTACATTGCTTTTGAATGAAAAAGTTAATGAATGTGTGGATGGATTGGATTGGATTTGGTTTTCAGGTATGGTGAGATTAAGGAGGTGTGGTTGGATGGAGCAAAAGGGGAAGGGGCTAAAGACATGGATTACTATTTTGATACCTGGTTTGATCTCATTCATCAGCTGCAACCTGGAGCTGTGATCTTCTCTGATGCTGGTCCTGACACTAGGTGGGTTGGTGATGAAGGTGGTGAAGCTGGCTTCACTTGCTGGTCTCTCTTCAATAGGAGTGATGCCAAGATTGGTGGCACTGATACCAGATATTCGCAGGGTGGAGACCCGTATGGGCACGACTGGGTGCCTGCAGAGTGTGATGTCTCTATCCGACCAGGATGGTTCTGGCACCCGTCGGAAGCACCCAAGTCTGCGAGGCAGCTTCTCGACATTTACTACAAATCTGCAGGCAGAAATTGTCTCCTGCTGTTGAATGTCCCTCCGAACACTTTGGGTCTCGTATCATCTGAAGATGCGAGAGTGCTTCGTGAGTTCTACGAGCTACGAAGGTCCATATTCTCGTACAACCTCGCTGCTAACTCCACTCCAACCGCCAGCAGCACGAGGGGTGGCAGCAGCAGTTCTCGGTTTGGGGCTTACAATGTGTTGAGAGAAGGTGTGTATACGTACTGGGCACCTGAGGAGAATCGGTCGAATTGGACGATTCATATGGACCTTGGAGGACCGGTGTCGTTCAATGTGTTTCGAGTTCAGGAGCCGATCCAGATGGGGCAGCGGATCATTGCTTTCCATATGGAGGTGCTGAATGCAGCTGGGCAATGGAAGGTAGTAGCAAAGGGAACCACGGTCGGATATCAGCGGCTGTTGCAGTTCAGAACTGTGCAAGCTAAGCAGTTGAGGTTTGTGGTGGATGGGAGCAGGGGAGATCCGCTTGTAGCTTATATTGGTGTTTATAAGGACCAGTATTTGGACAGCGGAAGTTCGCAACGATTCTTCAATGGCACCGCCAGTCAAGTGATCCTGGAAAAAGTAGGCTGCAAACATTCTCATCTAGCTGCAGCAGTGTAACAAATGTGCTCTTCTCAACTCATAACTTGTATGTAATAAGATGACGTACCAATCTGTCTGTACAATTAATAAATGAAGGTTTCTTCTTAGTAACTTTTTACGATAATCCAAACTCCATAGAAGGGAGGTTGAATATATGTGGTCAATATTAAGCAGAAAAGGTAAATACAAAACAAGTTAACACCTGAGCTGCTGCACAAGTTGAGGTCAAAATGCAGGCATAAAATTGGCCTTCACAGATCACAGGAGAGTCCAGCATCCTTCACTAGAAACCTCTCTACAAAACTCCGAGGCGACGACAGAAGCCATTCCAACAAGTATCTCGACTGCTGCTCGCAACTATCATCATCTACAGCTCGTACAAGTAATCTATGTGTCACAAAGGACTGCCAAACCAATGGCATAAACTCACGATATAAAGAATTCTGGGTAACATCATTGCTTCCTCTTCTATCCCCTCCAAGTACAGTTGCCTTTGTAACCATAACAAGCATAGGATGCACCACAAGAACCTTCTTCATCTCCCTAACAACAGCTTCGACTATACTATCAAGTGAAACGCCTCTTCTCCCATTACAACCCGGCAACGATTTTGCAGAAGAAGAAACTGCCCTGTCCATCCAATGAAACGCCCCAATGTTATCAATCATCAAACAATGACCTCCATTCCCCTCAACATCTTCTACCACCCTCTCAACAAGCTGATGATGCAATGTCTTGAGAGCGCTGAGAAACTCCAAACTGCTGTAACAACGAACGTATAGGAATCTCTTCATGCACAGTGAATGCAGTTCTTCACCATCATGAAACAGTAATCCACTACCTGCTTCAGTAATTCGCTGTTTCAGCAAGTGGGATAACCGCAGCACATCGAATTTACAGTCCAAGTCGATGTACATGACCAGGCGGTCCAATCCGCCATAGTCGACTCCTTTCCACTGACCTGGGAGGATGCAGTCGATTGCGGCGTGGATTAGGATGTGGGTTTTGGCAGAAGGGGAAGGCCCAGTTATCTCGACCACGTTGCCGGCGCGGAGAGGGAGCCGGTGGAGAGGTGGGCGGAATAGGAAAGGTGGGGACTTGGTTAGAACCCTAGAGAGCATTTCTTTGGCTGTCTCGTCGGTTTCGATCCAAGCTCTGGCTGCCATCTTGTAGCTAGCATTGGAGCTGAAACCGCCGCTTTCAGCTCAACCAAGTCGAGTGAGGAGGAATTGGTCGAATTCTTCCTCGCGGTGTTCAGCACATCGAGTAGAGCTAGTAGTAGCGACTGTTCATTCGTTCTTGACGCAGTAAAAAAAAACATTTCCTGTAAAAAGGGAAATGAATTTCGAGAAGAGAGAGACAAAGATTTTGGAAACAAGATAAATTGGAAAGCCAAATGATTAAGAGTATCAGCTATGTATTAAACCTTTTTAATATGTTAAAAAAACAACAATTATAACAATCCCTTTGTTCTTGACGGTACTATTAAGGTTGTCAAACCGATTTCTTCGATTGCGTTGATCTAGCAAGTGATATAGTTCGACTAGGGTACAATCAGTTTGAGCAATGCGAGCTAATAAAATATGTAAAAGTATGATAATAATGAAAAATATGTAAAAGTATGATAATAATGAATTTAAGTATATATTACCCTAAACTATATTTAAAGACTATTTAGTTACAATCTATTTTTATATTTAAACAAAATAACAAATACTCATATTTAAATACAATATTTAACGTCAACATCAGAACTTTAATACATGAACCCAACAAACAACATCAACATTTAACTTTTAGATTCTTGAAATAAAGCTCAAATTAATTTTTTATCAATCAAATCCACTAAACGTCGTCATTGTATTTATAGACCAAAAATCGATCATACCAATCGTACAAGTGATATTCACACCGATTTCATTACCAACACCAATTGAACCAAAGGTTAACAAATTGACATTCCACTGAAGTGAAAACCATGATTACTATAAATCACTGGAAAGTCAAATTGGTCTTACTATCAAGAATCAAATATAGTCAAACAAAATATTGTTTAATCGTACTGAAAGCTAAATTGAAAAAGTTAGTAGTAAACTATTTTGTGTAAAATCGTTATTTAATGGTGCAACTACTGCTGCTTACTTATCTGAAAAGCAAACCACTTCTGGGCCATAAACCAGAGCTTTCACAGCCTTCTCACTGCTAAACTATGGAGAGTTAAAGGAACATAAATCCTTACTAGATTCATGACATTAGTGCTAACTGATAAATGGTCATTCTGCTACGAGAATACTTTTCTTCCAAAATTCTGTATCACAGTGGATGTACCAAGCATCTTAACTACCAAGATAAATAGCAGTAGGTACTCCAGATGTATGAAAATTTTAGGTTATCTTGACATCACGAAGAAGCCTAGCAGCCATTGAGCCAATCCTCCTCGCTTCCCAATCGGTGATCCCCTCTGCTTCTGGTGACTTAACTGCTTGCTGTTCTGGATCAGTAATCTCACTAAAAGAATCTCGAATATTATCAACTGCAGAATCATTACTAGCTTGAGATTCCTCCTCTTCCTCTTCCACTACGTCTGATCCTGTTTCCAGATCAGTTTGCTGATGGTCCATTATAGCTCTTATACCGCCACCATTATGTTTGAACTCCATAATGTAGAGCTCAATACTAGGATGTTGGTACTTGTAATGCATCTGCATATAGAGGGAGGGGTAAGAGTTGTTCCAAGGTACAACAGAAGGGTGTAGGAAGACATTGAATCATGTAGTGTACCTTAGATTTCGGCACCGTTTTCACCTGGAAATTGTTTTTCCACATGGCAAGCATTTTCTCGTGGACATTTGTTGAACGGATCTCATACCCCAACTGCCGACAATTGTTAAGCCAGAGGGACAGAAAATATCAGAACTACAGATGTTTATGCATGAGGGGGATGGGGGGATATCATGCAAAAACCTACCAAGATTGTCGTTTTAGGGCTCGACAAAGCCAAAATGGTCTGCAGTAAGGGCTCTAACAAATGCTCCTTGTACACCTTAAGAAATGTGGACGTTTCAGTTTAATTCCTATTTTAGATAAGGGAAGAACACAAACTTAGACAACCCAACCAACTAAGACAGCCCATCAAGAAACTTACAACATCAGTTCCAATGATGAAGTCAAATGGTGGCTCGACAGCTCTAATATGTTCCTCATTTCCCCAATCTAATTCAGCAACGCTGATTGACCCAAAGGAACCTACAAGTATCACAATGTTTCAATGGACAGAAAATTATGTGTTCTTGGATAATCATGCAGGTTGCGCCTACGCACCTGAACTTTGCTCTGATTGTACAATCCTCTGAGTGTTACGTTCTACATTTCGCATAAGCAGTGGCAAAACCTCGACCTGGTCTGTTGAAATTACATCACATCCTAGAAGTGCCATCCCTGGAAAGAGTTGTTTGCATCAGGATAATAAAACAGAATGGGATAAGAAGAATCTCAACAACAAAGCCTTTCTTCCACTACATGGACCGGAACAAAGCGAACCCAAGGCTAATTGTTGGACATTGGAAACTTTCTTATTAAATTTAGAACATATGGATACATAAGACTACAAACTCACCAAACCCAGCTACTCCACAACCAGCTCCAAGTTCAATAGCACGTTTTCCTTTAAGCTTGGATTGGCAGAACCTTCCCCTCCTACAGTTCTTTTCCTGTAAAAAAAAACAAAAAACAAAAAAAGAATTGGACGCTTAAGGACCATAAGAGATGCTAGTGTAAGTGCTGTGTATGTCCTAAAAAGGGATTGTCTGATAACAAAAGATCCATGAGAGTAAAGATGAGAACCAGCCATTTCTCATTCAGCCGATTTTTTACATCAGTTTGCATTTAGAATAAGCCGGTTTGACGTCCATGACTTGGATTTGCCGTAGTATTGCTCTAGGTTGAAACAAATGAGATACTCATACCTATGTCAACCCTACCCTGGGGCAGGTTGAAGAATGACAATGACAGATGAAAAGTATAGTTCAACCCTCAACATAATCCTATATTTCATTCACAACAGAGAAAACTTGAAATAGTTGTCCTCGGAAACGCAAGTTTAGCTTCGTTAAGATTTTGTAACTTGATTAAAATCTTGGAGCAACTAACTATACGAAAGGTAAGATGGGACATCATATTATCCAGTTTCCATTCAATGACTAAAGCGAAGGCTTACCAAATATTTGACAAGTACCATAGATGCATCCCAAACTGTGGTTCCCAGATGTTTGGAATTTGGATCCTATTCATCGGCAGACAAGAAGGTACATTAACAACCAAAAGAATAAAGGTTTTCCGCTGCAATAATTTCAAGTACCCCCCATTAAATATAAACCAGAACAAAACCTTCATAAGGCGATCTTTAAAGAAAAAGAACTCCATACACTAACACAATCTCTTCCAAATATTTAGCAAACAAAACTATATTAGCAGTAACAATCAATCATTACGAAGCTACACCTGAGAAAACTGTAGTTGATGGCCCAAAGCTTCAAGCATAACTGCGCATGTACTCGGGGAGTTCAGCCTGTTACAGCAAAACATCAATACTCCAGTTCAGTACAATCAAACAAAAAGGAAACAAATATTGCAAGCAACAGAAAACCCTACTTCAAACCAGACCGAAAGATGCCAAATACCTGTCACCCTCCATTGATCACTTCTCCAGGAATCCCCACCTGCTTGACAATGACAAAGAAGTAATTCACTCCAAGAGTCTTCTTCTGCAAAATTAAATCCACCAGACCATTTGGTTTCAGCTTAAAGAACAGCAAGAATTGTAGCTTTTTTCTGCAAGACCTCTAACTTTCAATAGGAACGTAGAAGACTCTGCTACATATGTAAAGCGTTAACGGATCAAAGTTTTCACCTTTTCTAACCTTCTGAACTGCCCAATTCGTATCAGCTTGTTCCAGTGCTGGAATCGATTCAAAGTAGTTTTGGAATCCAAGATAGCACTTTTCAAACAGAAATTGGTGGAGAGCTCAATCTCCAACTTCGCAACAAAAGCAATCGAAACGTCCCTGCCGCTGGCTTTTCTGATACTCGTACAAAAACCCTTCTCTACAATTTGGCAGTCCTTTACTTTCCGTCTTCCTGAGACGTGATTACTGTTCTTATTTCGAGCTACTGGAATTCCATGGTGTCTCAGTAGACAGTATAGTTTCACTGTTTCAGGCCGGAACCCAAAACTTGGTCTGGTCCAACTCGGGTTAACATTGATGGGTTTGAGAGCCCACTAAAGAGACCGTTGGGCCTCAGCCCAACCTTGTCCATTGTATCATCATCACGGTGCTATGGATTGAGAAACACGTTTCAGAAGCGACTGTATTTCTTTCTGCGCATTTCTCCACTCCGCCATTTATGTACACCTTCCAGTCTCCTCTCTTCTTCTCCATTCCCACTAGCTTTCGGTGGCTGAATTGGCCGACGATACATCATGAGACAGTCGTCGGCATCCACAGACCGCATGGCCGCGGGCCCCGGCGCCGGCCACCGCGACGCAGAGTCGCTCTTCCGATCCAAGCCCATCGCCGAAATCCGTAATGCGGAGGCGACAACCAGGAAGCAGATCCAGGACAAGAAGGAAGAGCTCCGCCTCCTCGTCGGCAATCGGTACAGGGACCTAATCGACTCGGCCGACTCAATCGTTCTCATGAAGTCCTCCTGCCACTCCATCTCTTCCAACATTGCTTCAATTCACTCCCACATCCGCTCTCTCTCCCCTTCTTCTACCTCCGCCGATTCCCAAACCCTTAAATTCACAACCCCTAATCCGGCCCGCCTCCGAACCTACGGAATCGCCTGCCGGGTCAAGTACCTGGTCGACACTCCGGAGAACATCTGGGGATGCCTCGACGAGTCCATGTTCCTCGAAGCGGCGGGAAGATACATTCGTGCTAAGCACGTCCATTCCCAGCTCCTCGATGGCGGTTTGGAGCGGGATCACACCAAGATACTGTCTAACTTCCCTCTCCTGCAGCACCAGTGGCAGATCGTGGAGAGCTTTAAAGCCCAGATTTCGCAGCGGAGCCGGGAGAGGCTGCTGGATCAAGGTCTTGGCATTGGGGCTTATGCCGATGCGTTGTCGGCAGTTGCCGTTATAGATGAATTGGATCCTCAACAGGTACTTTCTCTGTTTCTCGACACTAGAAAGACTTGGGTTTCTCAGAAGTTGGCCACTTATGGAGGGAATGTTGGTGAGAACAGTGCTGGTACTGGTGAGCTTGTTGTGTCTGTGTTTTGTGAAGTGTTGAAGATTATCCAGATCACTGTAGGACAAGTTGGGGAGATGTTTCTGCAGGTTTTGAGTGATAGGCCCATGTTCTACAAAGTGATTCTTGGATCTCCTCCTGCCTCACAATTGTTTGGCGGGATCCCCAGTCCCGATTCTGAGGTGAGAATGTGGAAACTTTTCAGGGAAAAACTTGAGTCCACAATGGTAACACTTGATAAGCAGTATGTTGCCGAGACTTGCTTGACTTGGTTGAGGCTGTGCGGCCGAGATACTGTGAGTGAGATCAATGGTAAATACTTGATTGATGCTATTACTTCTGGCGGAGAGCTCATTTCGGCTGAGAAGTTGATTAGAGAGACGATGGATAGCAAGCAGGTATTGGAAGGAAGTTTGGAGTGGCTTAAGAGTGTGTTTGGATCCGAAATTGAGTTACCTTGGAGTAGAATCCGAGAGCTTGTTCTCGAAGATGATTCTGATCTGTGGGATGAGGTGTTTGAAGATGCTTTTGTTCAGAGGATGAAAGTTGTCATCGAATCTGGATTTGAGGATCTGGTGAGAGATATTGATTTGGAGGGCTCCCTTCATGCTGTTGGAGGTGACCCTGCTGAGTGTATTGATTTCCAAGCATACTTAAACAGACCATCAACTGGGGGAGGAGTCTGGTTCATTGATTCTAATAATACGAAGAAGCCTGGTGTAGCTTCTGGTTATAAAGTATCACTTGAAGGGAATGATTCTGGGAGTTGTCTCAATGCGTACTTTGGCCCTGAGGTTGGCAGTATCAGGGATGCAATTGATAAACGTTGTCAAGTTGTACTTGAGGATGTTCTGAGTTTCTTAGAATCTCCCAGGGCAGCTCCCAGATTAAAGGAACTGGTTCCTTTTCTACAAGAAAAGTGCTATGCCTGCATGTCTGCCATACTTGCAGAACTCAAGAGAGAGCTTGACAATCTGTATTCTGCAATGGGAAATGTCGGTCAGTCTATGCCTGCTGCCTTAGTGGTTGAGAGATCTATATTTCTTGGGAGACTTTTATTTGCAATCCAGAACCACTCGAAGAACTTCCCACTGATACTGGGGCCTCCAAGGTTGTGGTCCAAAGGTACTTCATCAGGTTTTGAGAAAGCTCCATCTGCTTTGAGGCAATATAGGATCACGGCTTCTGATTCTCTTGATAGTCCTGGCCAGCAGTCGTCTGCTGGATCTAGGAAACAGAACCCCTCTGCCACTGCCGTTCTTAGTGGAACTAATGAGGCTGGGAGCCATAAACTTGAAGAACTGGGTGAAATGATCAGAGATCTTTGCATTAGAGCTTATGGCTTGTGGATATCATGGCTATCTGATGAGCTTTCTTCTATTCTTGCTCATGATCTTGGGAAAGATGATGGATTGTCAGCAACAACCGCCTTGAGGGTAAGTGGTGTCCCTGTTTTGTTTTCTGTGTTTCTTGCGCTCGTCATTCATATTTGATAACTTTGAAGAACCTGAAACATAATTTATATGGAAAGTTGAAGAATACCGTGCTTATTGGAATTCTAGATCTTAATTTTATTTGAGATCCTTTGTAAGTTGAAGTTGCTGATTCTGCCTGAATACTTGATTGGAGCTCTCATTTTCCCCCTTCCATATTGCATGTTGATATGCGTAGTGGTTTGTCCTGCAAGCATATATTTGACCGATTATTAAGAATATGATTGTAGGTGGTAGCGTTTTCCCTCTCTTATTCATGATAAAGTCGAACTTATCGTTAATGGAGAAGTGGGGATGATGAAGTGGAGCCATGTATACCATAAAGAAATCATTGAGCTTTTCATTTTTCATGTATGTTTGGCCAGGGTTGGGATGAGACAGTAGTTAAGCAAGAGCACTCTGATGATAGCCCATCCGAATTGAAGATTTCACTTCCTTACATGCCTTCTCTCTATGTCATCTCATTTCTGTTTCGTGCGTGTGAAGAGGTTCATAGAATTGGAGGCCATGTACTTGACAAAGCAATCCTCCAAAAGTTTGCCTCCAGGTTGTTGGAAAAGGTAAATATTATTTATTTCGGGTGCTTCTATCTCATTTGAACTATCATCTTCCTTTTCTCGCTGTTTTTTGTGTACCTCCTAAATTCTCTTTTTATTCTGGCTTTCATATCCAGATCCTTTTGCTGCTCATATCTTAAAATCTATGAGGGACTGTGGTTTCATGTCAGATATTTATATATCTTAAAGTGCGTTTTCCCAAGTAGTGGCATGACAGAAAATAGTGTCAGTTGGATCAACTACATGCTGTTTTTTTAGCTTCGAGTGGTCAGCCTTTGTCTCTAATTCAGTCTTGGTTGCTGTGATTTTTCTGGAATTGTGGATGCTTTACTTAAATTTCAGTATGTGATTAGCTAGGAGGGTTAGTGAAGGCTGTCCCTTGTTAGTGGATAAACAAATTCCTGATATAATATGCCAACCATTTCCATGCAGGTTTCTGAAATATACGAGCACTTCCTTTCTTCAAGGGATTCTCTAGGATCCCCAGTATCAGAGAAAGGTGTACTACAGATTCTGTTGGACCTGAGATTTGCAGCTGATGTTCTTTCTGGAGCTGATTCCAACACTGCTAAGGAGTTACCTAGAATTCCCAAAGTGAAGGTTTCCTACAGAAAGAAGCAGGATCAGAGCCAGACGAAGGCAGTCTTTAGAGAACGGATTAATGTACTAATCCGATCTTTCTCACAAAGATTGGATCCAATCGACTGGCAAACGTAAGGTTTCTGGTTGACCTGTACAAATTGGTATAAGAACTCTGTCAGGAAAAAATGTGGAAGTTAGTAACTTGCTTAATGCTCTGTTAGTTCTCTAGGGGGTTTGTGATTGAAGCATAGTTGAATATTTTCATGTTTTATAACCCATTTCATTTTATGTAGGTATGAGCCATACCTTTGGGAGAATGCAAGACAATCATACCTGCGACATGCTGTTCTCTTTGGATTCTTTGTGCAACTAAATCGCATGTACACGGATACTGTGCACAAGCTACCTACTAATCCTGAATCAAATATCATGCAATGCTCTACTGTTCCTCGCTTCAAATACTTGCCAATCAGGTACCTTTCTGTTTGTTACAGCAAATTCTAATTGCGGAAACATTTGTGTTCTGGAGTAAGGGCAGCTTGTCTATTATTATCAAGTGTGGTCTAAATTTGGGCTTCTTCACTCTATTTCACAGTGCACCTGCATTGTCTTCCCGAGGGACTACAAAGTCATCCTTCCCAGCATCCATAGAAGATGCATCTTCCAGGAATTTGTGGACAGCTTATGGCAACAGAGAACTTCCTTCCAAGATTAATTTTGATGACAGTTCAAGTTTCAGTGTAGCAGCACCAATTTTTAAGTCTTTCATGCAGGTATAGCATCTTTATCGCACTCTTTCAGACCTCCCTCACCTATTGGTTGCAACTTCGTTTTCTAAAACTCCCCTAGGTTGTGGTATAACTGAGCTGCCCTGTTGTAATATCTAGGTTGGGAGCAGGTTCGGCGAAAGCACCATGAAGTTGGGTTCCATGTTGACAGATGGACAAGTGGGTATGTTCAAAGACAGATCAGCTGCTGCCATGTCAACATTCGGCGATATTTTACCTGCCCAAGCGGCAGGTCTTCTGTCATCATTTACCACTGCCAGATCTGATTGATGACCTAATTCACCTGTCTGCACAAAGATGATTCGGTTGGTAAGAGATGGTAGTCACCTTAACACAGCAGAAAGCTTTGCCCAGGTTCATAGGCAGAGAATCAAACAGTTTTTCAGATTGATTGCTGGAACTTGACTGAAGAGTGGTTCACAAGGCAGTGCTGGTTCGTTGACAATGTGCATTTCCTGTCACCTGTGTTATACTCAACTAGGTGTAAAGTACCGGCAATTTACCTTACACCCGAATGGTGGAAAAACGAAGATTTTCTGTGTTCTCCTGGCATTGCAGTGAGCCATCAATGGCACTTCTGGAGTGTAAATGACGCCAGCTTCGCAGATATATAAATTGGCATCTGCTATTCTGTTCTTTCTTCAATCCTGTAGTTCGTAGCGAGTTTTTTGAAGATTTCTCCTGCATGGCGGTTTTGATCAGGAGGCTAGAAGAGAGAGCTAGCTGCTTTTGCCCCCCAAGATTCTTGCTCTCTGTTTACAGGGTTTCTGTTGTTGTAAATAACAATATATAGCCTCCAGAAATAACTACTATCCTTTAGCAATGGGGTTAGGCGCTTGTTAATCTCAGACTATATACTGTTTTAGGCACTTCTTTTTTCCGCTTAACACTTTGATTGTTTCAGATAAAAGGTCATCAGCCATTGAAATAATGCGAACAAGGTCACTGATGATCAATTTCTTAACTCCAAAAACTTAAATCTCATGGACGGAGAAATAAGCAATTACCAAACCTTGAAGAAAGGCTACCGCCATTGTTCCATTGAGGACTGGATTTCAGCAGGCGATCAAAACCTTGAAGGAACTGTACAATTCCAGACCAGATTTGAATTAGGTTCAACACTAAACCCTGCAATTAGACTCTGGTTGGTAGAGCATAAACATGGTGCAGCATATGCCAAAGAATCAATGGCAACATCTTATTGCATCATATCGTTACAAATTACATAAACAAGCCAATTTCAGTATACATTAATCTCAATGCTTTTAGCCCTGTATTAAGAATCATAGTACTATATTATTTACGTATTAGATCTTCCCCTGCATCCATCCTTGTATCATCTGCAACGCAGCCTTGGGCTGATCCATGGGCACCATATGACCTGCATTGTACACCTTGAGGAAAGCCAACGGTCCATAGCTCTTCAGCTCCCCTGATTTTGCATTTCCCGCCACAAACGGCACGATCGAAGCCCCCTGGAACTTCTCCTGTCCGGACCATTTCATGGCGTTAACCCAGTTCAAGTTCCCCATCCAGTTGCATATCAGGTCATACTCTCCGGCGTAGATCAGCACCTTGATCCCGTTCTCCAGCAGGTTCGGGATCCCGGTTTCGTAGTCGACCATCCAGTCTCCCATCATCGCATTGTGGACCGCACTGCTGCAAGACACGAAGTCGACGTCCTTCACTCCCAGCGCGGATTTCACTCTGTCTTCGCTCAGGAACTGCTCCATTCGAGAGAAGTCGTAGCAGAGCGAGCCCTGGCATTGCTTTCGGACGTCGTAATACTGCAAAGTTACACCATTTAATGTAAGTTGGTTGTGTAACTAGAAGTCCGAAATTTCGTAACGAGCGAGCACAGAGATTCCTCACATTTATAGAACCAGCTGTTTCCATTATGGAATTGAAGATTTCCTGACAAGTGGAGAAAGCTTCTGTGCAAGCATCTTCACCTCCAAAATCTGCAATTACGGGTTGTTAGATTTTATGCTACAGCTTTCTAAGGAACATGGGGGGAAAGCTTTAGGATACTGGTTCTTCTGAAGCTTATTACCGCAAGCTGAAATGGCGGATTGGCAAGGTGGAACCAGGTTGCTGGTGATCGAATCGTGATCCGACTTTGAGATGAGTTTTGCAGCAAGAGCATAATCTGGGTATGCTTTGTATTGGATTTCAGGATCAGTCAAGCCATTGCCAATTGCAAACCCCTGAGAAGAAAGTAAAAGGAAACAAATTCCTGAGAACCCACAGGATAAATTTGGTTCATACTCTGGTGATGGAAACGAATGAGAAGAGTACCTTCAAGTTGATTTGGATTCCTTCGTTGTCACTGTTTCCTTTGTGGATCCTGGAAGCCAGAGCAGGTATGTAATGACCGGCGTAAGATTCTCCAGTAATGTAGAACTCATTTTTGGCATAATTGGGATGTCCTTTGAAAAATTCCTGGAAAACCATCAAATACAAGAAACAGAAATGTTAGTTTGTGAACGAACCGAAAGTCCGAAAGTGAAAAACAGAGGAGAAAGAGAAGGACAAGACCTGGAGGAAGCTATATAGATCATTGCTCACACCAGTTTCGTTGTGTCGAATGTCACTATCGTCGGTCGTGTAGCTGAATCCAGTCCCCGTCGGCTGATCAACGTACAGTATGTTTGCTGCCTGAGGAGAAAAAAGATTGATTTCAGCGATCCGAAACAGGGGGAATCACTTACAGTTAAGAACAAGGATGCCATTAATGAGTTACCTGGTCCCAACCATAATCATTCCATTGCAGAGACATGTCGTCTCTAATCTGGAACGGACCGTTCTCGTAGAACAACGCGAGCTCGCTGGCGCACCCCGGTCCACCCGTCAGCCATATCACCACGGGGGCATTGCTCTTGTTCACCCTCGACTCGAAGAAGAAATAGAACATTCTGAAAGAAAATCCAGCGTCAATATTCGAGGCTACTCGAACCGAAACATAAACTAGTATAGTATGTGTTGATTAGACCAACTTGGCGGCTTTCGTGGTGGGAAGGGAATAGTAGCCAGCGTAGTGACCAAACTGTTGGATGGAAGGGCCATTTCCGCCGCCGGTGACATTCAAACTGAACTGCTTCTCGGTGATTCCCGGAGCATTTTTCGCAGCAAACCGGTCGTTCAGGACGACGTTGGCTTCGTGCTTCGGGAACAAGTTCAGCGACCGTATCAGTCTTTCTGCTTGTCCATTCGCCGAGTTCGTTTTGGAATCCGATTCGATCTCGTTTCGGTGGGAAGCAGGGTATCTCAGGGCAGTTGAGAAGGAACAAGAGAACAGAAGCAGAGTGAAGGATAGGAAATGGAAAGCCTCCATTGTTGGGTTTTCTCTTGAGATGGAATGAAATGAATTGATATGGATTCTGGGGGTTTTCGAAGGTTTATATAGAGTTTCCAATGGGAGACACTTGCACGTTTAGAATTCAAGTCCAATGAACATGTTTGAACAGAGTTTCATCAGCTTCTTCAAGGTAAAAAAAAAAAAACTAAAACAAAATGGCATCTCTCTCAAGGCCAAATCAGTAGCCAATGGACTTTTTTCGAGATTCGGAAGCCGAATTTTGAACCATGTTTCAGATTCTTTCATTGGATCATACTCTAGAACACTAATTCAGTCAGCAATGAGAAATGACTAATGTGCCATGTCGGCTGGGAGCCCATAATCCGAATCCTGTTAGGATTTGGAATCAAGTCTACTGCTGCTAGCTAGGTTGTGAGGGAATAAAGCTGTATTCAGGAATAAGTGGCCATCACGGCATGTTTTCAGATTGGTTCTGTTCAGAAATTTCTCTATAACTGAGGTATTGGAGAATCTTGGTTTGACTCTGTTTTTAACATGACCAGATCCTGAAAGATCTATGCCACAAACCACCAAGATTATGGGCAGGCTTTAGGTAACTGGTCTTACCGCAAAGTTCAACTCACATTGAAAAGAAAGCATCCCGTCTGAAAGACAAATCGCATCAGCATAGGCTGATAGGAGAAGTGAATTAGGTGAACTGCAAAAGTAGGGTTGGTCTGAAGAACTAGGTTTAAAGCAACCTGATGAATCAAGATGTTGTTCTTGGTCGGTTCGTCGATTTAAGAATCTTCGTTTTAATCGTTTTTCCTTGGATGACTTGATGTTAAACTTTGTAATTTAGTTATCGATTGGTCGTTTTGGATTTGTTAGTTTAGTTAGTGTTGGACCATGTTGATGGCAAGCGAGACTATAATCTAGAAATGACCATTTTCTGGTCAGCCCGTCAGCTCAAAAATTAACGTTTTAATCATTATCCTTGGATAGTTTGATGTTCAATTTTGTTAATTTTGTCATCGTTTGGTCGTTTTGGATTTATTAGCTTAATCAATTGTGGAGCTACGTTGATGGCAGGTGAGGCTACAATCACTCTCAACTCTCAAAAATCATGCAAAATTACATATAAATTTTTTAATAAATTTAAAAAATATAGTAGTTGTTAATGATTTAGTCCTCCTCGTCAGTTCGAAATCTCACAGTATAGATTTTTAGCCCCTCCCATTTAGACTGATGGCTCCGCAATGGAGCTTAATTGTCCGTTTTTTGAATAATTAAGGGTGTGGATTACGGGAGTGGCTCGGCCGAGGTTTAGAAGCTAAAAGGCCAAAGATACTTCAGTAACTCCACAGTTTGTATATCTATTAGTTTCGATGTAAGTTCGCGACATCTTCAGTTCCAATAACGTTATCCATCAACATCCAATAATATTTTTAGACTTTGCATAACTTCGTCAAGTTTGAGCCCGAGTTTCAGTTCCCCCTCTAACCCTAGTGACTTTAATTCTTTGTAGGAGCAAATGTTTGAGCCTACCAAACTCTTAACGAAATATGAAAATGGAATATTCACTTATGAGTTATGACAGAAAACAATCTCGTTTGTATCTTAAATCATTTTCATAATTCACCTCAATTTCATAAGATGAAAAATATCAACATGTACCACTAAAAATTCACAATTCCAAATCCTTAATCCCCAACCATTTCTTCACATCTATATATTATCAACAATCCCCAATTCTTCCTCAACTCAAACAAGAGAAATCCCTCGTTTAGTACTCCCAGTCGTCATCAACGCAAGCTTCCCCTGCATCCACCCTTCCAACATCTGCAGCGCGGCCTTGGGCTGGTCCATGGGCACCATGTGGCCCGCATTGTACACCTTCAAGAAGGCCAAAGGCCCATAGCTCTTCATCTCCCCTGCCTTCGCCCCGCCGCCGCCGGCCACAAACGGCACGGTGGCCGCCGCCTGGAACTTCCCCTGCCCCGACCACTTCATCCCGTTGACCCAGTTCGAGTTCCCCAGCCAGTTGCAGATCAAGTCGTACTCACCGGCGTAGATCAGCACCTTGATCCCGCTCTCCAGCAGCGCCGGGATCACGGTCTCGTAGTCTATCATCCAGTCTCCGGCCATCGCGTCGTAGACCTGACTGCTGCAGGAGACGTAGTCAATGTCGTGCACTCCCAGCGCCGATTTCACCGAGTCGTCGCTCAGGAAGTTTTCCATGAGGGAGAAGTCGTAGCATAGGCTTCCCTCGCATTGTTTCCTGATGTCGTAGTACTGGAATTGGAAATCGAAATTAGTTTCAGAGGTCGGAGTTGAGGCAGAACAGTTGAATTGCTTAATGAGTATTTTTTTGACTGCTTACGTTTATGCCGCCGGCGACGTTGAGAATGGACTGGAAGATTTGATTGCAGGTGGGAAGTGCGTCCTCGCAGGAATTCTGGTTCTTGGCGCAAGCAGCGATGGCGGATTCGCAAGGCGGGACGAGATCGCTGACGATGGAGTCGTGGTCGGACTTGGAGATTAGTTTTGTTGCGAGAGCGTAGTCAGGGTAGGCTCTGTATTGGAATGCAGGGTCGGTGAGGCCATTTCCGATTGCGAATCCCTGTTTCAAGAAAACAGAGCATTTTCGTGAGGACCCATTTGATCAACAAAATAAATATATGGATTGGATCGGATTGGAAAATTTAGTCAAATTGTTGGGTTGGTGATTAGTTAATAGTTACCTTCATGTTAATGTGGATTCCTTCATTGTTTTTGTTTCCTTTGAAGACCCTGGAAGCCAAAGCAGGGATATAATGTCCGGCATACGATTCTCCGGTGATGTAGAAGTCGTTGCTCGCGTATTTGGGGTGTCCTTTGAAGAATTCCTGAAGGAAGTTGTACAGATCGTTGCTCACGCCTACTTCGTTACTTCGAATGTCACTGTTGTCGGTCGTGTAGCTGAATCCCGTTCCAGTGGGTTGGTCTACGAACAATATGTTCGACGCCTATAAAAGAAACGAAACCATAACGTAAAATTTACGATAATCGAGAAAAACATTAAAAGAAATCATTAAAGACAAGTAAAGTAGATGATTGGTTTACCGTGTCCCAACCATAATCATTCCACCGCAGAGACAAATCATTGTTAAGTTTGAACGGACCGTTCTCGTAAAACAACGCCAACTCGCTACCGCAACCCGGCCCGCCGGTGAGCCAAATCACCACCGGAGCATCGGTCTTGTTCACCCTCGACTCGAAGAAGAAGTAAAACATCCTAAGGAGAGAAGAAAAAAAAAATTCCAAAACGTGGTCAGAAAGGTTAGATTGGAGAGTTGGTGTACCAATCCGAACATTTTCCTGCCTGCCCAATTGGTGTTTGGTTTGGCTGGTTGGTGTTAAAAGTTAAGAACTCACTTGGCGCCCTTGGTGCTGGGAAGCGAATAGTATCCGGCGTAATGACCAAACTGCTCGATCGACGGCCCCTGGCCACCGCCGGCGCCGCCGCCGGTAACGTTGAAACTGAATTTCCTCTCGCTGATCCTCGGCTCGTCTCGAGCCGAATCGTCGTTCAACACGACGTTGGCTTCGTGCTTGGGGAACAAATTCAGGGACCTGATCATCATCTCCGCCTGCCCTTTTGCCGTCAATTCTGCAGAGTCGAATTTCTGGTTGGTAGGTGACGGTTGGTATCTCAGGGCGACGGCAGATGAACAGGAGAAGACGAGAAACAGAGTAAGCGAAAAGCAGAGAGCTGCAGGGGAACTCGAAGAAGAAGAAGAAGCCATTGTTGCTTTTTGGTGGTGGGATGGGAAATTTTTATGGGTTATGGTGGAGAAAGCTTTGGATATATATAGTTTGGAAATGGACCTCGCCATGACAATTGGCATCTATTTCGTTTGTTTTTCTTGGCGTTTTTGTTTCTTGAGAGGAGAGGGGTCCAGTCAAATGGAGAAGCAAGCTGTATCAAACTTGTCCTCCTTGAAATATATTTCATTTTTCTACCTTAATTGTTTGTTTTGGAATTCATACCAATAAGAAAAAAGACTATGAATTTTCACAATCGTGACATCTGTGGCACCAACTCTTACGTAATGACATTTGTTGCAGGGTGATTGTGTTTTTCAATCTGGTAACGTATGTAGTATACGTTGATCGTTATAATCCACGTTAATAGATACACGTATTTGGCTAGAATTTTAAATTTTGTTATATCTAACGGTCAACTAAGCGTCGCGTGTTATCAAATATGTAAAGTTCATGTAGACAAACGTCATCGTGAAAAAATTATGGTAGACTAATATTAATGTTGATAAAATTCAGTATTTTTGTGGGTATTAGCCGTATTTTCCCCCTATAAATTATACTTCCTTAAATGAGAATAGAATGGGAAGAATCTGAATTAATATTAGGCCAAATTGGTGTTCAAATTCAAGGTATTAATAATTGAATTGTGTACTATGTATGTTGCACGCAATTCCCTAATAATTCATTAAATGACACAATTAGAAACTTTTGCGTCCAAATCCATGGTAATTTAGAATAATAAAAACCATTAATAACGTTGGGGGGAAGAAGAAGATCCCAACTTCTTGCTTTTTGTGGTTGGATTCTGAGTAACTAATATGCGAAGGGTCAATTTTTTTTTGGCCTAACACCCATCGGGTGAATTGGCATATATACTAGGTAGCCGTTAAATGTCTTCTTCACTAAAATGTTGCTACATTAGGTTCTCGCAATTTTGTTTCTTTTTCATGTCGACAGATCTAACGTACAAGTAATTACTTTGATCGTCAATTTAATTATGTATGGTGGAAGATGATTAGATATACAAAATGACTCTTGATAACAAATTGTATTCTCTACATTGACGACGGTGAGATTTGAACCAAGACTCGTCCTATTCAATATCAATATCTTCACCATAAGTTCACACTCATTCAATTATTTTAGATAGGCCGATGACGAAACTAATTTAACGAAAGGGGATATCATGCTCGCTTGAAGAGTAAACTATAGATAATATACGACTAATACTTATCACACATTTTGGATTTCTGCCACTAAGATCCTAATCTCTCAAGCTTTACTTTGTTTTTTCTTTTACTATTCACCATAGAACTCATAGCAAATTTTGGATCCCTACCTATCCACTTCTTCCTATTGAGTAAAACCTTTACATCTTGGATTACTTTGGGGGAAAGGTCCGAACAGAATTGCAATTCAAGTTAGTTTCCCCCCATTGTTATTATTCCAGTTCTCTTTGCATCTTGCTTTACTATAAAGATAACAGCATTTTCATTTCTAGATATTTTGTGCCAATTTCCCCCTGTCTTTTTAGGAGGATTTTCAGGGAAAGAGATGATGATCTTGCGTGCAAGATATCCGATATATGAAGGGTTCTGTTTGGTTTCCTTCCCATTTTCTTCTGGTTTTTGTTCTTTCCATGGTGGACCATTTTTTGTATTCATTATTCGACAAAAAAGAATGGTCTTTCACTCAAAGTGAGATAAGGGTTTTCATAAACGAAAACAAACAAACTGATGGCTTCCAAAATCCCACTCCATTGCAACTGTAACGAGGTCCAATCTAAGCCCCTGTAATCACTCCGGGAAGGAAAAACAGAGCATGCCGTATATTGGATTAATCTGCCGTCGACCGTCGTCATGCCGGGACCAGAGGATGGAAATTAGCGTGTGTCTCAGTTGCAACTTGTGTTTATTGTTAAACCCAAATTCGGGGTCCAAGTCCGACTGGAGATTAATTGATTATCCCACTGGAATTAACGTGGACGCCATGCGATAACAGACCATTCATTTGCTCGGCCAGGCAGCAATGGCTTGGCTTGGGAGGAAACGCTAGTGTCGAAATCACGACAATGGACAAACTACACGATTAATGGATTATAGAGGTATAAGTATCGTCTATAAATTGTGTTTATATACCAAATTGCCTAATTAAATTTCATTGCCAAATCTGCAATCTAGCTGATTTATCAGTTCACCCCCACATGTGCAACTTGGAATGCCATGGATCTATGTCAACTCTGCATAGAAAGTAGTTACTTTGCATATGCGATTTCCATATTGTTAGGCAGATTACACAAAGGAGTTACCATAAATGTTCAGGATTTACCTTAACTTCGGCGAAATGATCCCATGTTTTGAGGTCCAAGTGTGTTCATGTATCCACTTCGACGATCGAGGCACAGAAAAAAAAAACACAGGAACGATCAAATTGGCAGAAATGCAGCCTTCAGATGAACCGTGAACCGGGAACTCGAGAGCCACAAATGGCAGGGCATTACAGGGCTGGAAAGATATTAACTACTCCCTTCTTTGTACATATGAGGTATGAAGCAGTCGGGCAATGATATCAAGTCATCCGAGGCGGCGCAGATGGTGGCCAATATAGTTACAGGCTGCTTTTTCATACAGAACACAACACATTTTACTCTTCATTGATACATCAGAATTTCCTCCATGGCAGAGGGAAAAGAGGCTGGTGTTGAGACGACGAGCATTTAAAAAGCAACTGATAATTACTCAAGACCTAACTTTGGCAAGTCGAGCCCTGATCTCTTCTAGTTCTTCCTCATCATCACCACCCTCAGCAATGGCTTCTTCCTAAAACAGCAAAACATGTTTTTCCTTTGTTATTGCATCGCTGATTAAAAAGCAAGATCAAGATACTTACCTTCACTATCTTGGTGTTATATTAGTTTGAGCACGTACCTCAGCTGCTCTAGCAGTTTGAGCTGGTTGCTTTACTCTCTCCTTTCTGACTGCTTGCGGCAATTCAGCTGCAGTCTCGCCAGCTATAGCAGTCAACACCTTGTCCACTTCTTCCTCGATCTCCTCCTCCATATCTTCTGTGTCCAGAGCATTGTCCACAGCTTCATTCACAAACTCTTCAATCACTCCAGCCTGACACATCACAGCCCCAAAAAAAAGGTCAGAATATGTCCATGATTATCAAGGATGGCAACTGCACGGAAAGTAATAAACTTGAGACCAGTTACATTATAAAAACATAACAAAGAATACTCCCTGAAACTTAAAAGAAATGTAACATGCAGATAGAACTTGAAAGTCTTGTGAAGAAAAGAAAGAGGAAAAGAAGGCAAAGTAGAACCTTGGTCATTTCTTTGCTGAACTCTTGCATAGTAACAGCAACTTCTGGAGCTTTCATCAGGTTATTGACAAGTTTCATAACCTCGGCACTCTTTGATAGATGTCCCACAGTGCGTGCAATTGCTGCAAGATCAACAAGGAAGAAAACAGATTGAGAGGCTAACAACGCATCCACAGAGCAAATTAGTGCAATGCCACTGAAGTAAGAGAAGTATACATACCCACACTTTCTCCAAGGTGCATTGATATGGAATTCATTTGTGCCTTGTTCTCATGAAGACGGTTCACTGTTTGCCTAGATCTCACAAGCTCTTTAGCAAGCGCCTAATGATGTATTAGAAAACACGATTAGTCATCACAACAAAGGACCATAGGGAGCTTATCAAGTATACTGATCCCTCAGTTGCTAAAAAAAAAAAAATCGTGTTACTCATGCAAAAGAAGCACTGCAGTCAATAAGCGAGAATCCAGCTGCAACACGCAACATTCCTTCGAAACATAAAAGATCAACTACCTTAGTTGACTAATTTGGTTGTACACGATCCTTATGACAAGAAAATGATCACATAAACAGATAGACGTAAACCACTCTCAGTCAGCATCCTAACGACCTATGTTTATGTCTCTCCACATAAGCAAAGCATCCCCATTGTTCACAAAATGCCACTGATCAGGGCCAAACTTCATGAATCCACCCAAATCGAATAATTCACAGAGCTAAAAGATCACAGTAGAGGCAATCACTCTATAGAAAAGTACCTTAGCAGAGCCCATGTCGTTTCTCTTGGCTGCTTCTTTGATTGCTTTCTGTACATTCTTCTCTTCTCTCTGAATATCTACAAAAAAGTTCAACCCGAATCCCAAAATCAAAATCCATCGAAGTCCATAGGGTTAATAAAAGCACAACGATCACCAGCCCAGCACAATCCAATCTGAAAAATACCTCTGATTTGACGCTCAATGTTACGGCTCTCTTGACGGAGCCTCCGCTGCCAATCCCTCAACTGCTGCTGTGGATTGGCCTTGGGCTTTATCAAGTTCATTACTTTCTCCATCTTCGGAGATTCTTCCGACTTGGGTGACTATGACCCGAAGCTGAAAATTGCCGATCAAACGGAAGACTTACGCCAACAAATGCGAAGCTCAACTGTCTATCCGCTTTACGACGATGGAAAAATCGATGGCGTCTCGAAAGCCCTGACTCTCTGGAGGAAGACAAATGAAATTATGAAGTGGGAATCGGGAATAATTTCTGGGATAGGGATTGGGCGAATCTTAGGGTTCAGGCAGCCGTTGGTGGTGGAAATCGTTGTGGCGGAAGGAGGAGGACGAAGCCACCGGGAAGAATTATTATTCGATCCAGAAAAGTTGAAATGAAACCACGCGTAAATAATCGCGGGTAAGGCCGACTGGCCGAGGATATCCGAGAGGCCACAAACTATTACGACGCCGTTTAGCTCATGTCCGTTTGTCGTCAGGCGAGGCCCAATGTGTATGTTAGAGGCCTAGTTCAAATCTGTATGAAAGCCCAATATAGATAGCCGGGTAATTTGATGGGCTAATGTTGCTCCGAGCCCATTTCTTGCACCACTGAAATAGCTGAAGCCCAATTGGAAGGGCGGGGAGAGTTTGTGGTCCACAGTGCCAAAACTGTCGGTAATAAGGGCAAAGACACGTTTGTTTGTAGCACTATACTCATCATCAATGACAAAAAATTGCTTGTAATATTATTATCGTAAACGGAAGTCCTAATTATCGATTCATGTTGACTCAATCGTGTATCAATACTTTAATCGACTCGAGTTGTTGGGAAAGGATTTGTATGAGTTTTACTCTGCTCGGTCAAAACAAATCATTTATTATCGTAAACGGCGACATTCTTTTACACGTCCAGTCGAAACAAAAATTTACATGTGGAATTTTGGTTCGCACATGTCGAACATCATCATTAATTGTGCTAAACCATTAGTGTGATGTATCGGATCTATCGTCGACATTGCATTCGCGCTTTACTTTATCTTCAGCTCCTTCGAACTAAATTGCATGTAATTAAGTACGATATGTACCCTATGGTCTCACACATATATATATATCAACTCAATAATCCTGCGTGGTTAAGGGCAATCATAGAAGATTTGGATAGAACTCACAAGTCGCACTCTGTCAAGAACCAGTTGATCCCAATAACTCGAGTTGTTGGGAGAGATTCAATCGTGGATCATATACCACAACACTAACACGCCCCCTCAAACGAAAGCCACTCACAAGGGCTTGAACAATAACTCGAGTTGTTGGGAGAGATTCAATCGTGGATCATATACCACAACACTAACACGCCCCCTCAAACGAAAGCCACTCACAAGGGCTTGAACAATAACTCGAGTTGTTGGGAGAGATTCAATCGTGGATCATATACCACAACACTAACACGCCCCCTCAAACGAAAGCCACTCACAAGGGCTTGAATTTTGCACAGGTTTGAAGACAAGAATACCATGTGCTTAACAAATGGGGGTCACTGGGAATCGAACACAAGACCTTTCGGTCACAGAAGGCTCTGATACCATGTCAAGAACCAGTTGATCCCAATAACTCGAGTTGTTGGGAGAGGTTCAATCGTGTATCATATACCACAACACTAACACACTCGACATATGAATTGGTTGGTTATGATAATCAAATTAACCCTTCTAAATTTTATAAAAAAAAGTTAGAGAGATATCTTGATCATCAGCAGCATAAAATTTAGGCGATTGAATGAGCTATACGTGGTGATATCGTTACCCTTTATCATAATTATTATATAATTAAGTAATTAATTAGGCAGCTTAATGATTCCATGCTCTTGATATATGAATTTGTCGGCAAACACAGAGTCCACAGATAGGCAAAGTGAAAAAACAAAGAAGAGACATCTATAAACTATAAGCACGACACCCGCAGGAGCTAACTAGGTGGCCAGACCTCATCTACCTGCTGATAAAAAAAACTACCCAGGCAGTTGAACTGATGATATATGGATATATTGTTTACCTCGAAATGTGTTCTTTTTCTTCTTTCTGCATCTGCAACTGTCTGGTCTGGTCCCATCTCGCCACCTTTCAGGGATTCACCATATCGTTAGTCAATTTCTCTTTAAAATTTTGCTTATTCTAAGTTCAATGACACTAATATGAACATTTCCTGGCAACTAGCTTCAAACAAAGAGGTCATATATATATAGAAGCACAAAGATTTTTTCCCCATGGAAAGTTGATCATCCACTCCGTACGTTTTCGTAATCTCAATCGTCGAACATCCCTGCATATTTCCCAGTTTTACGAAACTAGGTTGATCGGAAACGCACTGCATGCATGTCCTTCTTGAACAGGATGAACTCCTTTACGACCACACTTCTAATAGTTTGAGTACCATACGTAAATCTTGTTAAAACCCACTAACTCACACCACTATTTAAGCCAGATTGACTCCTCCTTTTGTAATTTACCTCAAACATGATAATAATTAGTTGAGTACGTTACCACTTCCATATTTTCTGACTTCAAACCATACCGGCAATACAACCACATAACTACTCACATGAAGATGTTTACTTATCCAAGTGGACAAAACCACATTGATCCCAAATAGGGAAAAATGCAGTTGCAAGTATAGAATAGATCATCGTTGCACACACGAAAGTACACCAAACCACTCCTACTATACAAGTGGAACCAACCAACAAAACCTTCTTTTGCCTTTCAACTTTTGTCTTCATCCCTAACTTCCCCACACACACTCTGAAATTTAACCAACTTATCTATCAACTCACAACTTCTGTCACAGAAGAGAGAGAGAGGGAGAGAGAGAGTGAGAGATGAGAGAGAGAGAGGTCCCATTTCTAGCACCTCTCCACTCTTATTTATAGCAACCATATTTCCCTCACAAAATTTGAGCACCCTTTCCTTCAGTTTCTTCTCTTATCTTCACTGTTGTCATCAACAATGGCTGCTGCTACTGCTCTCTCTTTAGCTCTGCTCTTTCTACTACTGGTAATTCTCAGTAACCCTTCTTCAGCCGTTAATGCTCAACAAAACCCACCTAGCCCTGGCTACTTCCCTAGCTACAGAGCACAATCCGTTGATTTCAACCAAAAGTACAGAACCCTTTGGGGTCCTCAGCACCAGAGACTTGACCAGGACGCATTGACGATTTGGCTCGATCGTTCCACAGGTAAAATTGGATTCCACTTTGTCACACTCGATGGCTTGAAGTTTTGTTTATAAAGTTTGTTTCTTTCCCCCTGTTTTCACCGAATTGTTGACAAAACAGGAAGTGGGTTCAAGTCGGTTGAGTCATACAGATCGGGATACTTCGGTGCTTCAATGAAGCTTCAGCCCGGCTACACCGCCGGCGTCATTACTTGTTTCTATGTAAGCCACATAATCCAGAAAAACAGAGCATACTAATGAAAAACAGAGCACTCTGTTTCTATTACAGAACAACGGTGACAAAATTCTGATTTTTCCACAGTTGTCGAACAATGAGGCGCACCCAGGGAAGCACGACGAGATCGACATCGAGTTCTTGGGTACGATTCCTGGGGAGCAGTACACGTTGCAGACGAATGTGTACATTAGGGGAAGTGGGGATAGGAACATCATAGGCAGAGAGATGCAGTTCCATCTCTGGTTCGACCCTACTCAGGATTTCCACAATTACGCTATCCTTTGGGACCCTAGTGAAATTATGTCAGTCATCTTCTTCTCCCTCTCCATAAAATGTCATTAATTTACTTGATTGATTAATGTTTGTCTCGTGGGCTGATTCATTAATCATATGACTCACTAATTACATCTTTTTTTTTCCCGGGTGGCTAGATTTTTCGTGGATGATGTGCCAATCAGGAGGTATCCACGGAAGAGCGACGCGACGTTCCCAGAGAGACCAATGTGGGTGTACGGCTCGATCTGGGACGCCTCGGATTGGGCCACGGATCATGGCAGGTATCGAGCCGATTACAACTACCAACCTTTCGTCGGTAGGTACAAGGGGTTCAAGATCGGAGGCTGCACCGTCGACGCGAGTCCCGGATGTTGGGCGACGTCCGGGTCGCCGAGGGGGTTCGGGGGGTTGAGCTCGCAACAGGAGAGAGCCATGGTCTGGGTGCAGAACAACTACATGGTGTACGACTACTGTTCTGACCCACAGAGGGATCACACCCACACGCCTGAGTGTTAGTGCAAGCTAGTACTACATCGGCGAAGTAAATTGTCACAAAGTTTAATAACGATAAAGCTGTAATTATGAAATATTTGCCCATAAAAATTGGGGATTGAAGTGTGTGCATTTGGATAGTGAAGAATTGGGAGCCATGGAGGGTTATTTGGGATGTGGTGAGGATGGTCCTCAAAGTTAACTACTTTTGCAAAGAGTAGTTGAGCATCCAAGCCCTAAGTGTCTCCTAACTTATTTGGTTTGTTGTTGTTGTTTAGGGGAATATTGGACAATCAAGTTAATAGGTCAATAATTTTGATGTGTGTTTTGTACTATTGTCCTTGTGTTGTCATTACTAATGAGTAATGATGCAACAATAATGATGAACACGTCCACATAAAATTTGGAGGGATTTCGTATGAAGAACATGTGGATGCTCTGACAAAAGGATATGGGAAAAGGAAGGTGGTGGTGGGGATGGGAAATGGGTGTTTGGATTGAGATTGGCTTTGGCCCATGAAGTTGATAAAATGGATTTAAAGATAGAAAGAGATTGGTTCCTATTCAATTCAATGTGGTTTTGGGGGGTGTTTCTCCTTTTTGTCACCCATATGTTAATAATTCACAATATGAGAGGACTTGATTAGTGAATTGTAGTTTATGTTTGGATGGTGAAAGAGAAAATGAAAAAGATTTATAACGAGAATGAGGTTACATTTATGATGAATGAAAGGATGAGCCATAATTGTTGATTCTCATATGGTCTCATTAAATTTAATCGGCGGAGTTTTGTTGAGATCTTTCTGTGTTATGATTGTTGTTGTTCTCGTCAACCATTTCCATCTAGCTCTCATAAAACGGTAACAGATCATATACGTCTAATTAAACAAAATAGGTTTGTAATAGTAACGACGAAAAACATACGCCGTTTGTGAGGGGATGGATCGCGCATGTGATCGAATATATAGCTAAAAAAGGTTGGTTGCAAGAAGTTCTTTGATAGGGCGTGATGACTGGCAAGGGCCACACCCGACGATAATTTCCTGTGTAAAAAGAAGTTAAATCATATGAAAAAAAAACATCAAAGTGAGTAATGAACAAGTACACATTTTATGTCAACCATGCATAAAGAAAAAAATGACGCCAACTTAGTATGGTTTCTCCGACGATCGGGTCTAACTATCCTACGAGAAAGGAGAAAGTTCCCAAGCTATATAAGTTACATTGTGCTAATGTACAGTCGAAAATGGTCAAACCTTTTGAACATTCTCATCGTTTCTTTGCCATAATGGTCTTCTTCCCATACCTAGAAAGCAAAGCAACTCCTTATTAGATTCTCTCACCTGGCCAGGTTATGGACCATAGTACTTTGTCTGTCTGTGTCGCCTGATATCTGATCACATGTGTGGACTGTGAATCGTATAATGGATTTTTCCCCTCGACCACTTTCTCTCACTCTTTCTTTTGGCACAGACAAAAAAGAATTTCGTATAATCGTGGGTCATGCTCATACAAAGCTAAGCCCGGCCCATCAACTTTCAGCCCATCTGGTTGATCTGGATTGTGCTGAGCGAATTCCATAAGAAGGCAGTAATATAGGACACCCACTTCGACAACATGGACTGGCCCATGGGCCATGAGTACTTACAATTGGATTACCCTAAGGTGTGAGTACGGCCCATGAATCACGGTTTAATTTGGAGTCGTTTGTCCAGTAATGAGCTACACCCACTAAAAGAAGCGTTTTACGATAATATATATAAAAACTGAGTTGATAAACTAACAAGCAACCGACCTTAGCTCAGTTGGTAGAGCGGAGGACTGTAGTGGTTAGATCTGCCAGTTAATCCTTAGGTCACTGGTTCGAATCCGGTAGGTCGGAATTTTTTTTTTCTTCATTCCACGTGTATTTATTTCATCAGAAAAATATGAATATCCATTGCCTGTCAATATAAGGCCCGTAGCCCATAAAACTGACCATTCTGCACCATTTTTTTTTGTCTGGGCCGGTTTACTGCACTTTGCTCGTGGGCCTGGGTCTTGTCAGCTTCGTTTGCATTATCGTTGTCACTCTCGTCCGTGAGATACTGGGAGGAGAAATTAGTGACCACTCTCTATTCCGTCACCAATTCCCCGTGACATCTATAGTGTGGATGAGATTTGCCACTTCTACTTAGTTGAGTCATTAATGAGTCGGTCACGTTATGAATCCATTGATGACTTGTTACCATATTCCAAATCGATAGGCAGTTTTTACGGTATAAAACGGTTGAACTACTTTTTAAAAAATACTTGTTTGTTAGATATTGGAGTTTTGGGTTACTCTAATTAAGGATTGACTCACTTCTTTTGATCGTCGAAGCTAATATACGCGGCTACACGTTATTTTGGTTAGATTGTTTATGTCACATTTCGTCGATCCAAGAGTCCAAAATCGATATGTGATGTCTCCAAAAGCGATGGAAAATGTAACCCTCATATCGTTTATCAGTAAACTTGTTGAGAACATTTGGATAGAACAATTGAGAAATCAGACAAGTCAATTCGAATTATTTGTTACACTACAAACAATTGCAATGGGCTCAAAAGTCAAAACATGACAATTCAAAATCCCCCATACCATATTTCATGCTGTCAATTGGGCGTATCTAGGGCTGCAAACGGGCCGGGTCGAGTTTTCGATTAGATGGAGCTCGACTCGTTTATAAATTTTTCTAGCTCGAGCTCGGTTCGAACTCGAATTTTTATAATCCAGCTCGAGCTTGGCTTGAATACAAAGAATCTAGCTCGAGGTCGACTTGGCATAGCTCGGTAAATGCTCATTACCACAGCTTGTCGAGCGTAGTACTAGCTCGGCTCATGATGAGCTCAATATGAAATTATTCTTGTTGAAAATTGTGTAAATATGAGAATTTAAATGATAAAAAGAACATTAAAAACTAAGAAAACCTGCTAACTTCCAACACATTTGTATTAACAAAATAATATTCATGTTCAAAATAGTAATTAATCTTTCTACAAGCTCTAAACAAGCCAGCTTGCTAGCTTAGCTCAACAATCCACCAAGTCAAGCAAGCTCACGAGCTAATCAAGCTGAGCATGGTCGAGCACATGTTTGGCTCGTTTGCTAACGAATCGGCTCGCGAGTTGACTTGTTAAATAATGAGCCAAATGTCGAATGAGTTTTTTCGATTCGAATAGCTTGACTCATTTGCATAATTGCATCTCTAGGTGTACGAGTATCAAAGCGGTAACGGCTGCTCCCTACTCGACCTCTGTTGGACAGTGAGAACTGAGAACTGAGAATGCATCATTTCTGCACCAAAAGTTATCGAAAGCACCAAAAAGGCAAAAAAAAAACCCCTCTCTTTGGCTTATCCCAACGCACACTTTCCACCAGTTCTTTTGCAGATTCCAGAAACGACCACCACAATCCCAACAGACCCTCCAATTTCTTTTTTGAATAACTGACTACTGACCATTACTCCCAGCAAAGTAAACAGGACAAATGGACAAAACCACACTCTGCCCAAAATCAAACACTTGCCAGTGCCACTCTCCATAACCTGTACTGTACAGCTTCTGCATTTATGCACCAAACCAATCAATCTTACATGGTCCTCTGTTTTTACCTTCTCTCATTTACACCCCACAACACACAATCCAATCTCAAGTTACCGTCACACCCTCACCGGCGGGTCCAATAAACAACAGCTCATCCTCCTTCCCGCTCCGGCGACCAACTCCCCAGCCGGCGAGGTCTTGAATCTAGAGCTTAGCTGTCATCATTCCATTATTGTTCTCTGTTCAATGTCCACGTTGGTGAAAAGCAGAGGAGAAAAGCAAGCCAGCCTGTCTACTACCAGGTGGCCTCCACGCCGAGTTAGTTGCACTGCCATCCACGTCAGCTCCGCCCGCCTCATTCATTGGTCCGAAACCCTCACCGTCCGACACGACCGGTCCAGCTTCCTCGCCAGCGTGTAAAGCACCTGCCACGTGGCGTCGCCTTCTTCGATCTCCTCGTGGTAAAGCAGGGCCCTGCGGACCTCCGGGTCCCACAGGTTCCGCTGGATGGTCGACAAATTGGTCGCCGCCACGTGGTCCAGGATCTTCCCCAGTTCCCCCACGTCGCTCTCCGCCACCGTGAGCGATATCTCCGGCCAGGGGACCGCCTCCGGGAAGGGGAGACGAATCCCGTCGGCGATTATCACCGGGACGCAGCCCAGCGCCACGGATTCGACCAGCCGCGGGCTCCACGGGGCCCACCCCAGCGGGCAGAGACAGAACGTTGACCGGGCGATCTCTGATTGGTAGCCGGCGAATCTCTGCCTCTGTAGGTAGAATCTCCGGTCGCCGCTGAACTTTCGCCATATCGCCGTCCTCACCTTCCTATGAAAACAAAATAAATAAATTAAATTATCCCCAAATGAGAAAGAAGTTTCCTCTCTCGAATGAATTGGGTTGAAAGATCATTACTTGCTGTAAAATCGGCCGCTGACATTTTTGGGATTGACCTCCATTTTCCCCCTGAAGAACGCCCAAATGTCCCGCCGGCCGGTTACCGGCGCTTTCTCCAGCGTCCGGCTTATGCTTACCGGCGAGACGTAAGGGGGAATGACGATATTCTCCACTTCCTGACACGGATGGCGATATTTCACCCCAAATGTCTGCAATACAATCGACTGCTTCATGAACTCAGGGACTCCATCTTCAATCGCTCTGTCTTCCTGAAAAAATGTGGTTTCCCCCCAATAATCAGAAACTTGATAATCAAACACAAAGGCTAACAAATCGTTTGATTCAGTTTATGATTATACCAGGGTGTGGAAGCAAGAGCCGAAATCGTGAGAGGCGACGAAGACGTGATCGGCTCCCTGAGAGCGGTTCCAAAAAGGGTAGCTCGAGGAAATGAGCTGAATCGCCGACGAAATAAGCGTCCTAGCGTGACCAATCGCCGGGAAGCCATTGACGGCGCTGAAATTGCAGGCGACGTAAACAGGGACGAAGAACAAATCGGCCTCGTATGGGTCGTAAGTGCGTACGTCGTCGTCGCTAGCAATCGCCCTGTGAATGGCGACCTCGGAGGCGAACAAATGGTTGCCGCACCTCTCGTTGGCGAGCCAATCGGAATTGTACTTCGGAGGCAAATCGTAGACGAATATCTTCAAATCTTTCAACAAATGCCTCCGGCTGTTCTTCTTCTTCGGCGGCGGCGGCAATGACGACGAATTGGAAACAGAGGAGGAAGAAGACTCAAACAGGGCGCGGGAAGCGACGGTGGAATGGGATTTGGAGAAGTGGGTTTTGGAGAGAGGGATAGGCTTGTGGCTAATGAAGAAAGATGTGAGGAAATAGAGGGAAAGGGAGATCCAGAGTATCCATTTGTAGAATCTGAAATAAGGATTCTTCTTCTCCATCTGCTGGGCTTGCTTCCCGTTTAGTCTCATCTTGACGTAGAACCCTCTGCTGTTGTTGCTGGGTCGTTTGAGCTCCGCCATGACTCATTTTAAAAACCGAATCTCATGCGACGACCAGGGAAGGGGAAGATTGGATGGCGGTTGGGATGTAGCCTTTTCGCCTGCGGTTGGGAGGTCGTCTTTGGAGTAGGGATTAAGGGAAAATGGAAGAGGTATTAGTTGTTACTTGGTTATTTTCACCTACTGAATCAGGGGATTGAAAAAAAAAAAAAAAAGATCGGATCTTTGTCAAAAAGAAACAATTTTTGGATAAGATCAATTATGTCCTCCTCTCCCTTTCCCTTCTCTGTTTTTCATTTATCGATTCTGGAATTTGGGTTGGAGTTCCGATGCTTCGTTTGAAAGGGAAACCCAAAAGAAGGATATTAAAGAAGGGTCGTAATGAGAAGGTAAATGAAGAGGGTTTTGCAGTTAGGTTGCGATGAAGAAGATGATGGAAACCTAGAGAGAGAGAGAGAGAGAGAGAGGGAGGGAGGAACAGAAGGTGGGTGGGTGTCAGGTTTCACATGACGACGGTGGTGGAGAAAGGGAGCAGAATGAAATTCGGCGGAGGGCGCGGCTTCTCTTATTTGGGACTACGACTTACGAGTTACGAGTCACGGAGGAGGCAGAGGAAGGTAAAAGGAAGGAGAGATGAATTGGAAAAACTGACTTGACAGGGACGACCCATTGGCAATGGATCGGTTTTTGTCAAATCCAAACTCAAATTTATGAGTTTATTCGTGTCAAAAAAAAAAAATTTAGGATAAAATTTATTGGGTTTGGAAATTTAAACCCAACCCAACCGGTTGGGTACTTGCGGGTTCGTGTATACCCATGGATTTTTGTGGTAAAATTTTTACAATAACAAGTTCCAATTAAAATATAATTCAAACATTAATTTTCCCATACAAATTATCCATACATAAAATCTCATTCTAGAAAATTCAAACATATCACAATTACACTAAAAAAATCATACAAAATAAGTGTAGTGGGAGTGAGATTGGGGGAATTAGAATTAGGGTAGGGTTTGGGAAGAGTAGGGCGATGAAATAAGTATGGGCTGGTATCCATGGGTCGGGTACCGCTAAACTCAAACCCAACCCAGTGAATAATGTACGAGTTTAAATCCAATCCCGACTAGAAACCCGTCAATACGGGTTGGGTCGGGCAGAGTACCCATGGATTCGGATTTTGTTGTCATCCCTACTTGCGTGCCACAATGTAGTTAAAAGCTATAGTTTAAGCCTAAAAGCTTACGCTTTTAAGTTCTTACCTCCTCCAATATAGTAATTTTCTTTGAAAAATCTTTTGACACCATAAGCTTAATATAAACTCTTTAAAACCACAATATGTGCATAAAAAATCCTTAAAAGCTAGCTTTTAGGACGCTTATAAGAGCTTTTAATGATAATGTTTATGGAGCGATTTGGCACGTCGTGCGATGGTCAAATGGTTTTTTGTGGATGAAAAAAACTAAAGTGATCATGCCGCTGGCTTCAAAATGATTCTTTTAACATGAATGATGATTGATGTATTTATGAGGAGCATGATGTTAGTGACAATAACAACTATGATGATGGCGGTAATTAAGATGATATGATTTGGATGGAAATGTGGACGTTGCTGCCCAAATGTAGCATAAATCATGATCAATTTTTTTGGGGGGCTTGTGATGTCCATAATATGAATATTTCAGAGTAATGATTCATATTAGCGTACGATTCAACTCTTTTTCTATGTTTATGAACTTGTTCTGAGTTAGAATGTACTCTAGTTCAAAATCTTTTCCAATTTTCTGTGTGTGGATCCTATTAGTCTTTTAAGTTGCTTTTTTACAATTTCAATGGTTCATATAAACTTACGTTCTTACGCTCCGCTTTTACGCTTAAGTTTGTACCCATCATTTCGCTTATACATAAAAACTATAGTTTAACTACATTGGCGTGCCGTAATTTTTTGTCATTTATTGTGCTCGGAAATCGAAACGGCGGTAACAGTGAAATACAACGGTGACAGTACAGTACAGTAGCAGTACAAAGATGGTATGGTCCTTGGGATGGGATTAGGTGCTAACCCGCACCGTGATAACTAGAAAAAAACGATACTAAAAATAATGAAATCACTACGGATTATTATAAAATCAATACAACATCTAAGCTAAATCACTACTAATTCAAACTAGTAGTAGTTTTTCCCTTGGTTAGGACGGTGCTAACTATTGTACAATTAGCACCGTAACCGCTACCTAGTCCTTGGATTGGCAAACCCATGTTGCTTAAATGGGCTAACCAAAAATTATCTACAAAGCCCATTCAAATTAAAAGCCCGTACATTTCTTTAAAGAACGGAAAAAAAAACAAACAAAGCCAACATAAAAAGCCTATCTCCCAGATATCTCATTTTTTTGCCGCTCTTCTTCTCAAACTTTTGGCGCTACAATCGTAGTCGCTACTCGCTACTACTAATCCAGTAAGCAACCGTTCTGCTGCGTAAAAAGCTAGGTCACCGGAAATCGGCGCCCCCTTTTGCTTTGGCGACGACGGAAGATGGATCTCATGGACACGGACGGTCCTCTAGATTTCGAATTCGAAGACCCACTTTTCACTTCCGCTGGTGATGTAGCTAAGAGAAGGTTTTTCCTCCTCCTTTTCCAATCTCTGCAGTCGCTTGTGAGGTTCTTCCTATTATTTGGCGAAGGGGGTTCCTAATCAACCATATGAGTAGTTTCAAATCTTTATACCACTCTATTGTGGTGTTTTGAATGATCTTCGTGATGGAATGGGCGGTCATTAAGTTTGCTAGGGTTCTTATTTGAAGGAACTTTTTTTTGCGCAGAGATAGTAAGTTTATGGAGTAATTGTAGTAATAATTTGATGTGCGCTCGACTTGGGTGCATCCAAAGTTGTGGTTGTGGCCTTTGTAGTGATGGGTCTGATGTTACGGTTTTTGGTAGGACGAAAACCATTGGCCTGGATGATCTGTTGACTGATTACTTCAAGGAGCAAAGCAAAGTCATCGAGAGGCAGTCCAAGCGGGCAAAGGCTTTGAAAGACCATGATGAAAGTGGGGTCAGACAAGAAGTTATGCTAAAGAGCCTTGAAGAATGTGAATTCAAGGCATGGGATGTGCTCACTGTCTGACTGATTGCGGCTTATGTTGATGCTGGTCTCTTTATTGGATGTTTTGTAACTGAGCATGTGGTTTGATTGGTGCAGATAAATGAGATAGGATGCGGCGAAGAAGAATTTACTTGGGGGATGCAAGTCTTTGGAAACCAGGTCTTCTTTGCTTTGGTATATGAATGATTCAATGGATTTCCTTCTTCGTAGTTAATGATGGGTCTGGGTATCTGGATGACTCAGCAGAAACCTGCACCGCCGCTTGTCTTCCCGGAGCTTGCGAGTAACTCTTTGTTGCAGTCGGTCATGAGCAACCAGGTCAATTCTTTGGTGAAACTCACTGTAGATGAAGGTAGTCCTTTTGGGTCCCGTATTTCAGGATTTGAGTTTTACTGAGTTCATTCAAGATTACATATAATTTTGAACTACAATGAATTTAAGGAGCAGTTTATCTTTGAATATCTCTTTGCAGGACAGGTTTTTTTTGAAGGATTACTTATAAATGGCTGGCTCTCGCAATTGGTTGGTAGAGGTGGTCGGTTGGAGAAATCAGTAGCTCAATGGATCTATCATATAAGTCCGTCCAAGTCTGCTCTCTATACTCCTTTTGGATGTCCTTCACTATTTTGTAGTTACTCATTCTTCAGGTTATTTCAGTGTTATATTCACAGAAAGAGGAGTTGAGGACAGCTGCTTGTAACTTTTGGTGCACTGCTGTTCAACTTGATGTGAAGGTGGCTGGATACGTGCTTGTGTGATGTGTTCAGTTTCAAAAGATCATGTTTCTTTGCTCTTTACAGTGTTAACATGCCTTTACTGTGTTATTAATCAGGATAATAAGCAGCCCACTGGAGTTGAGTGGTTCCCAAGTTACTCAGATCTAAAAACAGCTGTTGAGATATATGGATTTGTTCTACACGTTCCACTGCAGGGAGAGTCGCCAAGTGCTGGTATAATCTCCCTCTTTCCACGTCTATTCATCTATGGAAAATTGCTAAGTGAACTCTTCTTGCCGACAAGAATAAAATATCGGTACGGCTTTTTTGTCTGCTGGAAATAGTTTTTACTGTGGTCTTGACGGAGTCAAGAAGAGCTGGATTTAGGATGTTGGGAAATGCATATTATTTCTGTTTGTTCTTCAACCCTGATTCCAGCACTAGTAATGCCACATCACTCGTTGTTTTAGACTAACGGCCATGGCTGTGTACTGACCCATTATTCTGACCCCAGGTGCAATTTATACGGATATGAGTCTAGTCTATCAGAATTCAGATGTCCCACATTTTTTCCCCGTGAATTGCAAAAATCCTACATTAGGTTAATAGTTATATTAGTCGCATCCGTGCCACCTTTTCAGATGAGGGGCTGGCTACAGCAATAGTTGAATACAAAGAATCATCTGCTTTATTTCTCCACATAATTTCGATGACGGAGAACACTTCTATGTTTCTTATGTCATTTAACCGATTAGATGTTTTCAGCATTTGACGTGGCATGATCATATATGTGCTTGTCGTGGTAATGATATCTTTGTCATTCTCTTTTGAAATTGGTGCATCTTCAGCATAGATGTTTCTAAATGCATGATTTAATTTTTCGCACTACCTATCTATAAGTACTTGTGTCAATATCTCAACTTCAGGACTCCAAAGCATAGCAAGCTTTCTTCTAACCACATATGTTGTACTTATGATTTAGATAATGACAATAGAGGACCACCTGATAATATTCAAATGTGGATAAAGTTTACAGCTGCGTGCTGTCAAGCAAGGTATCTGACTGTTCTGAAAGGCATATTATACGAGTTATTCCTACACCCATTCATATATTTGTTTTCTTTCCTATTTTTCAGTACATCACACAGAAGAGATTCACATAGCTCAGTTATTTCTTCCTTCTGATTTAGTTTGTGCATTTGTATTTGTGCAGCAGGGGGCAAGAGTGTATGTTTTTGGCTTCAGAGGCTGAAACTTTACTGGAGGTTATAGTTCTTCTGTCTCTAGACCGCAAACTGGAAGGATTCCTGCTACTTCTGCATGATGGTGTACAGTCTGTCATTAATTACTTCACAGATGAGGAATGGCAGGCAGCATGTCAAAATGTTGCAAGATCTCTTGCTTGCAGGTAATTGTTAGTTTAGCTGTTCCAATTGTTTTTAAGTAGGAACTGTCGTTGTACAGTAAAGCAATTGCTTGCGAAGTAATGGCTTCCATGAAACTTCAACTATAGATGATAATAGACGTTTGTTCCTCTGTCTCAATGCCATTGAGCCGAAATTTTGATCAGGGTGAATCAAGAAAAGAAAAAGATAACAGCAAAGTTTTGCTTCCTCCGTAGAGTTGAAACACTTGAAGTCTTCCAATAAATCAACAAATGTGCTGATTTTGATTTGCAACTATGCTTGATTAAGGATCTTGAGAAGTTTGTAATTTTAAACCGCAAAACGGAAAGGAGCATTTCTTGATATGCCTTTGGTTCTCCAAATTTGTGTTATGTTGTCGTTAATGCAGGGTTCCAAAGGATTTGAACTGCATAAGAGCCCTGGAATCCATACCAGGAATCAGCCCCCGTGCTAACAGCCTCAGAGCTGCAGTTTCCCATCAACTACTGCATAATTCTTTTGATAAGGTAGTAGGCAGTTGCATTATCACATTTACTTGCAGTTTCTTGTCAAATAATCATTTCTCATTGTTGGGCAACCAAATGATTTTGTCTTCTGCTTACCACCATGCTTAACATTCACAGGCGTGCGATGAGGAGGGAATCCTTAGCTGCCTTATCGCCATTAACATGGCGGAGAGAGAATGTGATCTGTTCAAAATGTACATATACCTTAGTTTGGCGGAAAATTGGCTGCTCTCTACCACAGTTCTAGAAGACAAGCCGCTAATCTGCGAGATGTGGGGTGTTTACTTGCGTCACTGTACTTGCCAAATTAGCCATGGGGATCTGCGGCCCTATGCAGCAAAGGTTTGCATCCACTAAATTATTCTGCTGTTTCTCTTTTCATCTGCTTGGGTTCTTTTCTGTTCAAATCGACAATTCGTCGTGCTCTGATTTCAGATTCGTGCTAAAGCCACATATCTACTTCACTCGAAAACCAAGAAATATTGATCATTATGCCAGGTATGCCCTCTGCATAGACACTAGACACCACAGACAGTAATCTTGTAGGGAAAAAATTGTGAGTCATCTTAGACGAAATATTTCTGAAGTTCTTTTATCATCTTTGTGATAATCTCAGTATTCCTCAAAAAGATCAAACTTATATCACTTTCCGAATCGACGAGAATGTCTGTTCTTTCTCGAATTTTTCATTGAGTGGTCGATTGATGTATATTGTGCAGGATAATTACTTTGAATATCTACATTCACAATCTTTTATAGAAGACCGTTCATCTAGACAAGATTTCATAATCGAAACATCATTTGTTAACATGCTAAATGTTGAATACTTCAACACAACCTCCGATAATTAGGTATCCGCTGCACGGTTGCGCACCCTCGTCAGAACTTGATGGCGGCGCGGCTCCTCATCCTTCGCCGCCGCCACATCGGACGGTGGAAGTAACCAAACCCATACATCCCAAGGACCGTCGTCACAAATCCAGCCGGGTACCCGATTCCGGCCGTCATCCAAGAAAACCATACGAGTCCCTCCTCGCTCTCGATTCCGTCTCCGGGAGTCGATGCCGCCTCCTCCGGCGTCACCGGCTCGATGCAGGGCACGCGAATTTGCGTCCCGCACAGCCCACCGACATTTCTCGCGTAAGAATCCGGGTCGTTCATCCTGTCCATTTGGGGACCGTGCGGAATCCGGCCGGTGAGATTGTTGTCGCTCAGCTTCAGATTCGTCAGCTGCAACAGTTTCCCCATCGACTCTGGAATTTCTCCGTACAGATCGTTGTGCGACAGATCCAAGCTCTCCAAATCCCTCATTTCGCCGAAGCTATCCGGGATTCGACCGGTGAGCTGATTGTGAGAGAGATTGAGCACTTTCAGGCTCGTCAATCTGCCCAAGGTGCGAGGAATTTCACCGGATAATCGATTGTTGGATAGATCGAGGAAAGTGTATAACCCTAGATGCTCGTTGGGAAGACCCAGATGGAGCGTCTTCCAGAACACCTCCAACAATGGAGTGAAGCTAGTCAACATCTCCCTGTCAAAATAGCTGAAGTAACCCGAGCTGTGACTAACCATCTCCTTGATCGACGAGTCGGAAGGAGCGATTCGCATTCCGGCGAGATCTCCCAAACTCGCCGGCACTCTGCCGCTTACCCTGTTCCCGGAGAGGTCCAAGATTCGGAGACTGGTCAGGTTCGAGAACGCTTGCAACGGGATCGAGCCTTCGAGGTAATTGTTGCGAAGAACCAGAATTTGGAGGGACGACATTGTGGAGAGGGACGTCGGGATTTCACCTGAGATATTGTTGTTGTTCAGGTCGAGAAATTTGAGGGTCTCGAGATTTCTCGGCGAAATCCCGGTGAACTCGTTGTGGCTGAGCTCAAGCACTCCCAATTGGTAGCGATTACTGACATAAGCTACAGATATTTCGCCATGGAAGCTGTTGAAGGAAATGTCAATGTATGAAGGACAAGACGAGGAAGGATGTCGACAGAGGGATTGAAATGGCTCCCCTGAAAGTTGGTTCATGGACAAGTCCAGCAGTGCCAGAGTGGAGACGTTTGAGATGCATTGTGTGATCGGGCCGGTGAATTGGTTATTGGATAATACCAGGGCCATGAACCAATCTCGATCGCATCGATCGCTGTCTGGGAAATTCCCACTGAACTTGTTCTTCGACAGGTCGAGGATTCCTTGGCTTGGCCTTTCTAACCCTCGTTCCAAGAACAATTCCAGAGGCAGAGTACCTTCGAGCAAGTTATCGGAAACAACAAGATCAATGATTCCCATTTTAGCCAGCCACTTTGGGAACCCTCCGGTGATTCGATTCCTGCTCAAGTCCAAGTAAGAAATTTCGGTCTGGTTTCGTAACCAAACAGGGATTCGTCCTGAAATGCTGCAAGAAGCCAGTGACAGCTCTCCCAGCTTTGATTTGGGAACCAAAGCATCTACATTTTTCAACGTGAGATTGTTGTTCCCCAGATACAGAGCTCCCATCTCAGGAAAATCGAACAGCCCAACTGGAATCCCACCCGATAGAAGATTGTCGTCGAGGGTGAGCGTGTATAGCTTGGTCAAGTTCTGGATCGAAAGAGGTATCCCGCCGGTTAGTCGATTGTCGCTTAGAGAAATGCTGTCGAGTCTCGACAAGTTCCCAATTCCAACTGGAATCTCCCCTGACAGAAAATTCCCCCGCAAACTTAAAGACTCCAACTTCTCCAATCCCAGAAGAGCTTGTGGAATCGCACCAGTTAATCTGTTGTTACCCAGATCAAGTTCCTGCAACTTGGTCAGGTTCCCAATCTCGCTCGGGATTTCCCCAGTCAGGAAATTCCCGTTCTTGTAACTCCGCCTCACAAATGGCCCATCAATGTAGCTCCCTGTCTTCTCAGCTTCATAGACGCTGAGCCTCAGGGTTTGGAGACTGGTCAGGGAAAACAGCTGAGGAGGAATGGCGCCGCTGAAGTGATTGCTGGAGAGATCGAGGTCCTCGAGCCGGGTTAAGTTGGAGATTTCAGGCGGGATCTCGCCGTGTATGTAATTGGTAGTCAGGTCGAGTCTCATGAGCGTGGTCAAGCGGAAGAGCGGGGCCAGAATGGCGGAAGTCACGGTGGCGTTTTCGTCCAGTATCGAAGGGACGAGATAGGAGAAGTCAAGATCAGTTACCACGCGAGGTTCCACTTCGGACCAGCAACCAACGTCGGACCATCCGCAACAGCTGGTGTCGGGGTCCCATTCGAGCAGACTGTCGGCGGTGGCGGAGGTGTTTGCGAGTAAGAGGGATTTGAATTCGAGGAGGGCTTCTTTCTGGTAGTGAGGACAGCCATTGGAAGGAGCTGCCGAGGTGATAAGAAGAACGACGAGGAGGAAGAAGGAGAAGGGGGTGGCCATGGTTGAATTGCCTAGTATTACTGCCACTGCTCGGTAGTGCTCACTTATAACAAATTCCTGCCTCCCATTTTCGTTGCTTTTGGCTAAAGTTTGGAGACTTGTGTGATATGTGAATTGCGGTCGTTGTGGATTTGCCAGTCAACAGATTCGGTTTTGCAAGTTTCTCCATTTTCCACAACTTGCTTTTTGGGAGTGCTATATACCGCTGGTGGGATGTGACGAAGAGAGTGATTGACACGTTGGGACTTGGGGGTAACTATCAGGAATGGTCGAATACGTCTGGAATTCGTACAAAAATGATCACAAAAGTTTAATTTTGTACGATTCGACCACATAATTCGATAACCGAGAAAACCAACTAACATAAATAAGGAAATATGAATTATGAGAAAAAAAATGCAATCATAAAGCTCGAGGAGCGAGGAATCGAGCTATAGTTTGAAACTGTAAGTTAGATTTTACCCATCAGAGAGTGGACTCATTTGGCTCGTCGTTAAATCGTAATGGCTTCGTCGCCGTCATTGTCGTAATCCACCACTTAGGATTTAGGAAGCCAACAGAGAGCTTAGTTTAAGCTATTTTTAGTTGAAATTATGAATTTACTGGTTGATTTATTATTTAAATTGTCTTGGTTTCAAGAAGGATTGAACGACGATGTGGAGGCTTGATGTGTGGTAGAGGCGGCGGCGGAGAGGGAGAGGAGAATGGTTGGGTAGGTTTGGTTTGGATCTGACCACCGGGTTGGTTCGGAATTTTAATTGGGTTGAATTTAGTGTCTCTCTTTTTCATAGACAACCAAAAAGAAGTACAAATGGAGCACATATACATTATTACATACGGCAGTCGGTAGCTAATCAATCCATCGACCAAAGAACTTTTCTTACCACCAGATGAACAGTTCCTGTCGCAAATACAAACGAGAAACGACCAACACGGATGCGTGAAGACGGAGGAGCCAAACAGGAAGGAAGGAAGTTTCAGTCAGTCATATTTGCAACGACACCTTCCATCAACATCACAGTAATAATAGTAGAAAACATGGCGCTCTGAATGGCAATAATCATAGCATTTTGTGAACATGTTATCAGCGTTGCAGCTGGGGCCGGTACTCGGAAGGCTTGTATGTATGGGTGTAATGTTGGCCGAATCGTTCCCTAATTCCCACTGATCCACCGCCGCCATTGATTTGATGATGGACTCGTTTTTGACTCGCTCGGCCTTGCCATGCCTACAACAGAAGAAAAATAAGAGATAAGACACGACACAATACCATGATGATCGTCGCCTCCTTCAATCAGAAACCCCACGTTGTTACGGAGCAGAGACGACCGTGTCTCCATATGACAATATGTTAATGTTTATGATGAGTTTGATGCAAGTTGGGTTGCTCTGACTTTGTGTTTATTGTTATTAACTTGAATTTATAGTGTTTACACCTAAAATATTTTTGGCCTAAATTCAATGCCGTAATAATGAGTCTCGGCATTTAATTCGATATCGCATGGCCAAAACGATGTCGTTTGGAGTCGAGCAATACCGCGAGAATTTAAGTGAGACCGCGAAGAGGCTCCGCGGTACCGCGGTACTTGAAACGACATTGGTTGCAGACCATGTGTGAGTCATGCGCAGGACATGTGTTGCTGTTGGACAAGGAATGTTTTTTATTTTATTTTTTCCTTGTCGGAGGAGGAGAGTAACAACACCGTTTGGAGTCAAGCAATGCCGCGAAGAGATAAAACGGTGCCGCGAACCTCAAAGCTCGACGGCATCGCGAGACTGGGAAACGGTGTTGTTTGGCTAAAAATGGCGCCGCGAATAAACCCAACGACACCGCGGATCAGAAAAACGGTACCGCAAGGGAGCTCACCGGTACCGTGGCATTGGAAACAACACTGTGTACCAGAAAACATGATGGGGGCCGCGCACGTAGTATTGGTGTTGGAAAAGGAGTTATTATTATTATTATTATTATTTTTATTCCTTGTAGGAAGGGGAGAAGCGGTACCGCATGGAGACAAGCGGCATCGCGGAAAATAAAAACGGTACCGCGGATTTAAAAATGATGTCGCGAGAGCCTTGATAAGCGGTACCGATTAAATAAATAAAAAAAATATATTGGGTAAGTGACCAAAATTCGCCCAGCCCCATGCGAGTGCAGACTCGCGGCGGTTCCATGAATTAATATTTTTGGTTATGTTAGCGGTGTCGTTTAATTAAAAACGGTACCGCGAGCAAGCCCAACGGTAACGCTGTACTAGCAAACGACAGTGTTTAATTAAAAAACAATGTCGCAAAAGGAAAAGCAAACAGAGCTGTTTGGGAAAGGAAACGACATCGCGTGATCATGAAAACAACTCACGTAAAGTTCACGCGAAGCAGTTTGAGGAACGAAGCGGTTGAGACACGTGGGAGTTCACGATGGAGCGGTTGAGGAAGCAGTTCTACGGGGCGTGAAGACTACGCAAGTGATTTCAGATAAAATCACTGGAGCAAGGAGAGAGAAGGGCACAACCAAATCAACACATAAACACTCTGTCAAAACTTTACCTTTTCTCTGTAACTCCTTCGCGGAGCTCTCCTTCCAGGAAGGATCTCCATAGTTGGTAGAAGTAGTCGTAGTCGCGGAGCTCTCCACAGGAATCTCCATAGGAGTAGTCGTAACGTAGATTCCCAAAACTCAAACACCCTCGTTCGAACGTAGTTTGGAGAGGTGCGAACCGCAGTAACGGTCGCGTTGGTTAGAAGTCAGAGGTGCATCGATCAAATCAATGGCGCCGACATTCGGCGGCGGATATTTGACGGTCACGTTGATTTCATCATTTAGAGGTGCATCGATCAAATCAACGGCGCCGACATTCGGCGGCGGATATTTGACGGTCGTCTCGATTTCAGCAATCAGCGGTGCATTCGATCAACGGCACCGCAAGAGTTTCCATCGCAAAACATCGAATCAACATCGCCGGAAACAAATTCGGCACCGGCGGTGGCATTTGGTTTTTCCGAGGAAACATATAGTATCAAAATTATGCATGCGTGCATGCTGGAATTTATGCTCTAAGAAAAAAAGAAAATTCTTCGTTAATGTTTCGATTTTTGTGTGGTTGACTAAACAAACTATTTATTTTAGCACAATTTCGTGTGCATGGTCCAGATCATGCCGAATCAGATCACACAAGCGTGGTCTTATCTAGTCTCAATATTCTAATATAATTCATGATGAATGTTTTCATCCCTACACTATCAGTCAATCACTAAGCCAACATCTCGGGTTAGAAAAATATAATTTTCTATTTTTTGTATATATCTAAATGTACATAGTAGATTTATTATATTACAATTACTATTGAAGTTTAATTCTTGATTCATGTGACAATAAAAGTATGACATTTTTTTAATTTTCTTCAACTCGAACTCGATAATTTGGGTAACTCTTGAAATTGGACTCGAATCCCAGAATTTAGAGTCAATCCACTCGACATGTTTTAATTTCCTCCAAACAACACACATTTAACTCGTTACACATACCTGGAAAAGAATAGTGATTGCTTCACATTTAACTCGTCACAGCAATATAATGAATCTGTGATTCTGTTGTGCACATTTAGATAGATTTCACATAAAAAGATTTATCTAAAAAAAAAAAAAAAAACTCAACCTGTCGATCATATTACCCGAGTCGCGGTTCAACCATGAGTCGGTCTACCGAGATTAGCAACCTCAGAGAATAAAATATGAGGTTCGGAATTTCAAAAACTGGTTTGGTAGGCTGGCAGTGAAGGTTCGGAAAGCCGTTCGAGATCCAATGCTAAGTGCTAACACTCTACCGTCCCGCTCCTTCAATCCTTCTTTCCAAATTCCAATTCCCATCTCTCTCTCTCTCTAGCTTTGCTCCTTCCCAGTTCCCATTTCCTCACTTAATCGGTCAATCCCAAACCCAATCCTGCGAATCTTCCCCCTTCCGGTCCTCAACTCGACATTCTGGCCTGAACCCTAGAAATTCCCCCCCTCTGAGCTAAACCGGCCGTCGGGATAAACCAGGTCAACAGATGGGAGGCGAAACGCTGGCGATGAGATCTCCGTTGGGAAGCACGGCGAGAAAACGGCTCGCCGACATTTCCAACCTTCCACCGCCACCCGAATTGGCTGTTCTGAAGCCGAACTCCAGCCGAGACCACAACCCCTCCGGAGACCTATTCAATCGCCTTCTTCAGGTAACAGGGAAAACAACAAAGAGAATTCCTTCGCCTCGATTCCTTTGCTGCATCCATGGAATTGAATTAGGGTTTCTGTTCTAACCGCGCTCTGAACTCTTGCTACGTTTCTTCTTGCTCTGAAGTCGGAAAAGGAGAAAGCTGCACTGTTGCAACTCGTCGAGGAGAGAGAGTAAGCACCCCCCCTTTGTTTTGGATTTTTTGCGTCTTTGTTGTTGGGTTTTTTGGTTTCTGAGGAGGTAGAGGGGGGTAATGAACTAATTGAGGAACTTGATTAAGCTTAGAGGACAGCACTAGTTGTTTTCTTTCATTGCTACTGAGTTTAGTGTGTCTCCCTTCATTTTGTGATTGAAACAGTAAAATGTTGGTGTTAAGGGAAAAGGATTTCTCCGCACTGTTGCAACTCGTCGATGAGAGAGAGTAAGTATCTTTTTGTTGGGGATTTTCCGTCTTTGTTAGTTGGGTTGTTTTGTTGCTGAAGAGAGTTAAGAGGGGGTAATGAACGAATTGAGGAACTTGATAAAGCTTAGAGGACAGCTGTAGTTGTTTTTCTTTTTATTGCTACTGAGTTTAGCGTGTCTCCTTCATTTTGCGATTGTAACAGTAAAATGTTGGCGTTAAGGGCAACGGAGATGCAGAATCTACACCGTGGATACCAGACAGTGCTCCAGCAGAATCGAAGTCTTGCTCAATCCAACAGCCAAATGTCCGCTGTACGGCTTTCTCTTTACGCAGCATTCTCTTAAGTTGGTCTCATTTCCATACAACATTTTGTTCCGCTCAGTTGCTAAATCTTCCATTTCAATTGTTTCTTCAGGAGGTTAACACGGCAAGAGATCGGGTAAGTTCCACTTCTCTGACCTCGAGGGGATGGTCTTGTGGAGTAATAGGTGATAGCTGAGATCTGTCCCATCTCTTTTAGAGTCAACATCACTTATCTATCGAAAGTTTCACTTGTGTGAGAGCTTCAAGAACAAAATGATCAGTTGTACATTAGTGTTTAGACTTTCAGAACTCTGGTGTGTTTTTTTACTGCAGCTGAGGGTATTACAGCATGAAGTTGCCTGCAAGGATGCCTTGCTTAAAGCAAGAGGTTCAGAACTTGAGGTTGGTCTTTTGGTTATCTCTGCAACAGGAATTTTCAGTCTTATGGATCTTTAGGCACTTCGAATGTAACGTTTATATGCTAATTGTATAGGGAAAGCCAGTTACAGAACGTCAAGATGCTGTCCCCCAGGTGAGCTTTATCTTGATAGATTGTGACGCATCCTACTATTTGGATTCCTCGTCATCTCATTGTAATTTGTGTGGCCTAGGTAAGGGAAGAGGTAACCGCAGAACGTTTACAGAAAGCCAACAATGGCAAGAAACCGTGTAACCGTGGCAGAGTGCGAGCCACCAGAAGTCAATGTAACGATTTTTAACATAAACTGTCTCCCAATTTCTCATTCTTAATCTTCTGGTTTCCCAACATAACCTTCCAAACTACTTTGCAGCACTGGGCCCATCTACAAGTCAAGTTGAAGTAGAAAAAGAGAAGGCCGAAACCAAAAGGTTGGTTGATTTGAGTGTGCAATGAAGAGTCCTTTTCGCATTCGATCACAGCATCAGAAGACACAAACCAAATCTGCTCCAAACTGAACTTTTTGATACCTCTTCTATTTGTGTAGGCAATGTTTGAGAAGGCAGTCTGCACGTTTCAAGTCCCCAGAGAGAGAGCCACCAGCAGAGGAATTGTTTGAGATAGAAGATACTAAATCTGCAGTATCCCCGTCATCAAGGATGCAGGAAGATACTTCTGAACCAGGAAGTGAAGCTCTAGTAGATGCAGCAGCATCACATCGATCTTCGATTGGACGGCCTGTTCGAAGAGCTGCTGTTAAGGTACAGTCCTACAAAGAACCTTCACTTACACAGAAAATGCGCAGGCCAGAATGAGGATGAACGATAATGGTTTGCTGCAGAAAGAATTGGAGGGTTCTTGTAGAGTATGCTTTATTAGCTTCACAAACTAGTTTATGTGTGACATGATATTCCAACGCAAGCATTTTGTTGCGACTGATCTATGATTATAGTCTACTTGTCTGTGTTTTCAGTTTTCACCCTCTATATTCTAGGATTGGCTACTGGTATGTAAACTAGGTTCATTTGTAGACTAGGTTTTGGAGTTGTAATCATTCTCATCCTTATGCTCGATGGGGAATGATGATATATTAAGAATTTGGTAGATCCTTAAAAGTAGATGGAATAGATCGTTGGTGAGAACATATTGTTCGAATGTTTTTTTATTTTGAATAAGGTGTGCCAGAAATCTAAGTTAGAAGGCCGAAAATTCAAAATTTAAGGAATTTGTACCACGTTATTGTTCGAATGTTTTTATTTTGAAAGGTGTGCCAGAAATCTAAGTTAGGAGGCGGAAAATTTGAAATTTAAGAAATTTGTACCACGTTAATTGAATAAGTCTGATCCAAATCTAGCTAATTATGCTATTTTCAAAAGATTTACAAGCTCAATGTAATTTTTGCTATAACCCTTTCCCATCCCACGGAAAGGTCTGCCACAATTTCCACAATGGTTGATACTCTTGAAATACACAGGGATGATTTGTCAGAATCCATGTATTTGTATATTTTTTTTCCGTTGATAAAGTAGCACTTCTATTGCGTGGATAAACAAGTATAACAAAGAGTCACGTGCCGAATATAACTAAAAATGAAAATCGAATCCTATCAAAGAGAGGCACTACAAAATCTTAGTTTATTGCTAATTGGGCAATCCTCTTCACTAGATCACACATCTTGTGCTTGTATTTCTCCTACCTTGTTTTGGTGTGGCACAGTACGTTGAACTGCGGTAACGATGTTTTGTGCAATGCGATGAGGAAAGGAAGCGTTGCGACTTGCGATGTGGGCGCGTGATGAAGGGCGGATAAGAATGAAAGTTAACCATACCTATAAGGAGCAAGCAAAATTACAAATGAACATCATTAATATGAGCATGAAATCAGAATCTCTAAGTTCACAATCTCACGCCACAACCATTGAACCAAAACTTATATTAGCAACAAAAGTCATGAACCCAATTTCATATTTGATGAATTTGTTTTGTCCGTACTTCGCACAACGACGGATTACCAACTTGGGGATTCCGCAGATCTTCAAAGAACACGACCATATGATTTGAGCTTGAATTGACGACTCACCTAAAAGAGGTTAGCTAGGCTAATGCTGTCATTAAACCCTAAACCTTCCCTCCAAAAGCATTGATTGGACCACATTAATTCACCTAAAACTGTAACAACATTACTATTAATAAACCTATTTAAGGTTCTTTTTTTTTTATGTTAAATGGAATCCCACACAGGATTAGTAAAAGAGAGTTGGGGATCTAACCATCTTTCTCCCCCTTCGATTACTTTCTGGTCTCCCATCCGACAGATATTATACCATTTAGGACTTTGGTTTAGTGGACTTGAGCACTTTGTGTGCTAATACTTGGGATCAGGAGCTGAATTAAGCTCCATGATTAAGCAAATAGAAATCGTTAATTACTGAGGTAAAAACTGATTTAACAGATGAAATTTAGTAAAGTTTGTTTTTGGAAGATACACTCGTCATCACTCTCTATAGAAGCGTCATAAAAGGAGAGAATGACGTATTGAATGGAGTCAAATTTTAGTAATGTAGATGGATGGCAGCTTCACCTAGTGGGAACTAAATTAGGTTTAGGTAAGATTAATGTCAATTCAAAGGGGTCAATATTAGAAGAATTGATTTAGCCATCAAAGAACTTGGAATTAGGAGAATTATTTGTGAGGAATAGGTGTTGCGTTTAGTGAAGTGTTTGTGAAATCGGATCGTACTGACGGTGTGATATGAAAAATCTTCTATAAGAACTTATACAGATGCACGATTGTAGCGGTATGAAGCGGTTGAACCCCGATTTAACCACAATTTAACACAAAATACACTATCGGTGACTTTTCCAATACAATCTTCGGTACGGTTTTATAATCCTTTATTTGGGAGAGAAAAGTGATGTTATATCAAATCGCAATTCATCAAAAAATTCATGTTATATCAGCAACCAGCTAGTAGCCTTTGCAATTAATCAATCAACATCCAGCCGTGTGCATGCATCATACAAGATTTTATATCAAATTGATTTGATCTTTTTGCAAGTTGGGGTTTTGTGATTAGAGGGTTAAAGGATTGATTTGAGATTAGATTTTGGGAAGATCCTCTCGCTTTAAATTATTAGTAGGTATGAGATCAATCATGAGGAGATGCGACAATGAAATGAAGAGAAGAGGAGCTGCTTACGAATTTGATTGTGCATCACAAAAAATTGAATCGCAGATTATCAAAGAAATGGAAAAAGCCAATTATTTCAAACAAAATATATATCATGATCAATGTGAGTCAGATGGATAGTTTTATCGTAGTCATTTCGAAAAGGGTTATACGTATAATATGCTCATCTATTATGACATTTAATCAACATGTCCTTCTACTAATTTTTACATCAAACATGCCCCAGTACTTTGTAAAAATGATCAAACATGCACTTTTGTTTAAATATTTCATCCAAAAGCCGTTAACCAAGGTCAAACTTTAGTTTGGGCGGCGCAAATGTCTAAAATATCCCTAATAATTTCACTTTTAATTTTTTTTCTTTTGTATAGCTAAATAATTCAAATAATTTCACTTTGAAGACACCCAGAGAAATACAATGGGAGATAAAACTGACATTTTCTCTCCAATTTGCTGATGTCGGGTCGTCTAAATCTCGGTTCAACCATGATTGATGATTTTTTCAATGAAAATTTTAACATAAGGGTATGTTTGATAATTTTTTCATAGTACAGGGGCATGTTTGATGTAAAAAATAGAAGAGAGGCATGTTTGATAAAACGTCATAGTAGAGAGGCATATTATACCTATAACCCTTTCGAAAACTAACCCATTTTGTAAGTTGTAATCCCATTTACAATGAGCTCGCGTTCATCCTCTCGCATCCAACGATCATAAATGAAACTTTGAGTTCTCTACTGTTTTCAAAGATTTCACGATACTCTTAACAATTATCTAGTAACTTTCACTTGGATTCGGAGTTAATATTTCCTTGTCACGATACTCGTAAGACCATGAAGAACCGATAATTCCTTCTACACAACTATGGACCCTCCAAAAACAAAAAGAAATTAGTTAGTTATTTATCGAGTTCGTTATAGCTTTAGACTAAAACTATTGACCCAAAAGCAAGCTTCTTGCCTATGATAATATGATTTGATTCTATACTATGTTTCTTTGATTTCTTCAGTACGACAAAACATGATTGTGTCTACGAAATTAACGAATACTAGTACACATATGGTGAACCCTTTTTATCATAGTTAATTAAAAAATTAAGTGGGGAATTAGACAAAAGATAATCATGCATAGGAATTAAGGGAGATTCGTCCTTGAATATATATATATAAATTACTATAAGGCAATGCCAAGATACAACCTTTGCCACGTCAGTCTATGCTGAAAAACCCGCATAGTTCAGAAGGTTGTTATTGTCAATTCATAAACTCCCTCTTTCTTGCCGTTTTTCCTTCTCGACAGCGAAATCTCTCTCCTTCTCTTCCCAACCTGAACCGGAAATCGAGACTCCCACCGTCCTTTTTATCATGCTGAATCCCAAATTGAAATCTATCCCGTCTCCCTCTTTGCTCATCACAGTCTAATCTAATTTTGTTTTGCTACATTTAATCTGAAATCCAAATCGCCCATATTCGCCCTGACTTTACTTCTCCGATCGTCGTCGTATCTCTGTCTTGTTCCGCTCTCCCTCTCTCCCACTGTGGCTCTCTCTGTGCTCCATCCCGCTCTGCTGCTGTCTCATCGGTACTCATGGATTTCGATGGTGTGCAGGTCATCAACAATGTTGAAATGACTTTCCAAATAATAAAAAATTGAAAAACTAAAACTGGAACTAATTCCCGTCCTCTCCTGAACCCTTATTCTGTTTATCTCCAATCAAATTGCGGCTACAAATTCGTACAAGGAAAAGGAAATTGATGAGGCAGATCCATGGACTCTCCTCGCAATTGGTGGTCTGGTGCTATTACTCTCATTCCAACTCCATGAATTTGCCATCTATTATCTGTTTTTGGTAGAAGAAAATAATAGACAGAGAACAATCTGGAACCCAAGAGCTGATAGAGTCATATAGATAGAGACCAATAGAGTGAGACTTCTTTCTTTAAAACAAAGAAGGAGAGAGATTGAGGAAGGATAGGAAGCAGAGGAAAAAAAAATTAAAAATTTGTTCCTAATTCCTATAGTTGTGTGCCGACAAAGAGAGAGAATAAAGGGGTGATTAGAGAGATGGGGAGGAAGGAAAAGAGAAAAGAAAGTGATAAAGGCTAAAGCAATGTGCATAAATCGTTTTGTGTTTGCGATCCAACCATGAAATAATAGTATATGAGATTAAATTGGTATGCGGTATTTAATGATATTGTCGATTGAAATACGATTAAATTAAGATTTTACTATAAAATATCCTATATTGCTGACTTTTCCGGTACTGTTGCATGGATCATAGAAATGAAAAAAGAAATTGGTATCGAATGCTTTGGTTGTAGATGTCATTAATTTATTATTACTGTTTGAAGATAATATTCATAAACCTGTTAAACTATAACTTATGCTACTATTATATGAAATGGTTCTTTTATAAATTATATAGCTGGTGGCTATAAATTAACCGATGAACAACATTTCTCTAATTTGGATTGTTATTCAAGTCGATTTTGACACGCTGAAAACTAGAAGTCAAGTAGATGACTTTGATGGTTTTGTAAATGATTTGTTTTTGTCATGCGATTTTAATGTTTCTTCGGATTAATTTTACAATATGTTAATTTATTAGTTTTAATGTTTCTTTGGATTAATTTCACAATATGTTAATTTTTTAGTGTTCAATTTATTGGTTTTGATAACATAACAATTAGTTTTGATTTCAATAGATCTATCAGGATGTGTTTAATTAATTTTTTATGAACTGCTTATGATTTTTCAAACCCTTTAAGCTATCATGACTGTGTTCACAAAAATAATTTTATTCAAACGTTAATTGTGGATCAGTAGGCTTCAATTGGTAAATTTGGATATCAAAGGTCGGTTTAAGAGATGAAATTTCTTTAAAAGATTCCTTGAATGATTTGTTGGTAACATATATGTAGATTTTCAATATGAAAGATAACTCAGCAACCACAGTCTATTTGCTAAATAGGTGATGTGTTGGACACTCGGAGTAAGGAT